TGTCATCCCTACTGTACTCTGTGTCATCCTCCTACTGTACTCTGTGTCATCATCCTCTACTGTACTCTGTGTCATCCCTCTCTACTGTACTCTGTGTCATCCTCTAGTGTGCTCTGTGTCATCCTCTACTGTACTCTGTGTCATCCTGTAGTGTACTCTGTGTCATCCTCTACTACTGTACTCTGTGTCATCCTCTACTGTACTGTGTGTCATCCTCTACTGTACTCTGTGTCATCCTCTAGTGTACTGTGTGTGATCCTCTAGTGTACTGTGTGTGATCCTCTAGTGTACTGTGTGTGATCCTCTAGTGTAACTGTGTGTGATCCTCTAGTGTACTGTGTCATCCCTCTAGTGTACTGTGTGTGATCCTCTAGTGTACTGTGTGTCATCCTCTAGTGTACTGTCGCCATCCTCTACTGTACTGTGTGTCATCCTATACTGTACTGTGTGTCATCCCTCTACTGTACTGTGTGTCATCCTCTACTGTACTCTGTGCCATCCTCTACTGTACTCTGTGTCATCCTCTACTGTACTCTGTGTCATCCCTCTAGTGTACTCTTGTGTCATCCCTCAATGACTCTGTGTCATCCTCTACTGTACTCTGTGTCATCCTCTACTGTACTCTGTGTCATCCTCTACTGTACTCTGTGTCATCCTCTCTACTGTAATGTGTGTGTGTCATCCTCTACTGTACTGTGTGTCATCCCTCTACTGTGACTCTGTGTCATCCTCTACTGTACTCTGTGTCATCCTCTACTGTACTCTGTGTCATCCCCTTCACTGTACTCTGTGTCATCCTCTAGTGTGCTCTGTGTCATCCTCTAGTGTACTCTGTGTCATCCTCTAGTGTACTGTGTGTCATCCTCTACTGTACTGTGTGTCATCCTCACGCATGACTCAGTGTCATCCTCTACTGTACTCTGTGTCATCCCTCTAGTGTACTGTGTGTCATCCTCTAGTGTACTCTGTGTCATCCCTCTAGTTTACTGTGTCATCCTCTAGTGTACTGTGTGTCATCCTCTACTGTACTGTGTGTGTCATCCCTCTAGTGTACTGTGTGTCATCCTCTACTGTACTGTGTGTCATCCTCTACTGTACTCTGTGTCATCCCTCTAGTGTACTGTGTGTCATCCTCTAGTGTACTGTGTGTCATCCCTCTACTGTACTGTGTGTCATCCTCTACTGTACTCTGTGTCATCCTCTAGTGTGTACTGTGTGTCATCCTCTAGTGTACTGTGTGTCATCCTCTCTAGTGTACTGTGTGTCATCCTCTACATACTCAGTGTCATCCCTCTAGTGTACTCTGTGTCATCCTGTAGTTTACTGTGTCATCCTCACTGTACTGTGTGTGTCATCCTCTACTGTACTCTGTGTCATCCTCTACTGTACTGTGTGTCATCCTCTACTGTACTGTGTGTCATCCTCTAGTGTACTGTGTGTCATCCTCACTGTACTGTGTGTGTCATCCTGTAGTTTACTGTGTCATCCTCTAGTGTACTGTGTGTCATCCCTCTACTGTACTGTGTGTCATCCTGTAGTTTACTGTGTCATCCCTCTACTGTACTCTGTGTCATCCTCTACTGTACTCTGTGTCATCCCTCTACTGTACTGTGTGTGTCATCCTCTCTACTGTACTGTGTGTCATCCTCTACTGTACTCTGTGTCATCCCTCTAGTGTACTCTCTGTCATCCTGTAGTTTACTGTGTCATCCTCTACTGTACTGTGTGTCATCCCTCTACTGTACTCTGTGTCATCCCTCTACTGTACTGTGTGTCATCCTCTACTGTACTGTGTGTCATCCTCTACTGTATTGTGTGTCATCCCTCTAGTGTACTGTGTGTCATCCTCTACTGTACTCTGTGTCATCCTCTACTGTACTCTGTGTCATCCTCTACTGTACTGTGTGTCATCCTCTACTGTACTGTGTGTCATCCTCTACTGTACTCTGTGTCATCCTCTAGTGTACTCTGTGTCATCCTCTAGTGTACTGTGTCATCCCTCTACTGTACTGTGTGTCATCCCTCTACTGTACTTTGTGTCATCCCTCTAGTGTACTGTGTGTCATCCCTCTAGTGTACTGTGTGTCATCCCTCTACTGTACTGTGTCATCCTCTACTGTACTGTGTGTGTGATCCTCTACTGTACTGTGTGTCATCCTCATGCACTCTGTGTCATCCCTCTACTGTACTCTGTGTCATCCCTCTACTGTACTCTGTGTCATCCTCTACTGTACTCTGTGTCATCCTCTAGTGTACTCTGTGTCATCCTCTAGTGTACTCTGTGTCATCCTCTAGTGTACTCTGTGTCATCCTCTACTGTACTGTGTCATCTTCTACTGTACTGTGTGTCATCCTCTACTGTACTGTGTGTGATCCTCTACTGTACTGTGTGTGATCCTCTAGTGTACTGTGTCATCCTCTAGTGTACTGTGTCATCCTCTAGTATACTGTGTCATCCCTCTAGTGTACTGTGTCATCCTCTAGTGTACTGTGTCATCCTCTAGTGTACTGTGTCATCCTCTACTGTCCACTGTGTGTCATCCTCTACTGTACTGTGTGTGATCCTCTACTGTACTGTACAGTGTCATCCTCCTAGTATACTGTGTCATCCTCTAGTGTAATGTGTCATCCTCTAGTGTACTGTGTCATCCTCTAGTGTACTGTGTATCATCCTCTAGTGTACAGTGTCATCCTCTACTGTCCACTGTGTCATCCCTCTAGTGTACTGTGTCATCCTCTAGTGTACTGTGTCATCCTCTAGTGTACTGTATCATCCTCTAGTGTACTGTATCATCCCCTAGTGTACAGTGTCATCCTCTAGTGTACTGTGTGTCATCCTCTAGTGTACTGTGTCATCCTCTAGTGTACTGTGTCATCCTCTAGTGTACTGTGTCATCCTCTAGTGTACTGTGTCATCCGTCTAGTGTACTGTGTCATCCTCTAGTGTACTGTGTCATCCTCTAGTGTACTGTGTCATCCTCTAGTGTAACTGTGTCATCCCTCTAGTATACTGTGTCATCCCTCTAGTGTACTGTGTCATCCTCTAGTGTACTGTATCATCCTCTAGTGTACTGTATCATCCTCTCTAGTGTACAGTGTCATCCTCTAGTGTACTGTGTCATCCTCTAGTGTACTGTGTCATCCTCTAGTGTACTGTGTCATCCTCTAGTGTACTGTGTCATCCTCTAGTGTACTGTGTCATCCTCTAGTGTACTGTGTCATCCTCTAGTGTACTGTGTCATCCTCTAGTGTACTGTGTCATCCTCTAGTGTACTGTGTCATCCTCTAGTGTACTGTGTCATCCTCTAGTGTACTGTATCATCCTCTAGTGTACAGTGTCATCCTCTAGTGTACTGTGTCATCCTTCTAGTGTACTGTGTCATCCTCTAGTGTGTACTGTGTCATCCCTCTAGTATACTGTGTCATCCTCTAGTGTACTGTGTCGTCCTCTAGTGTACTGTGTCATCCCTAGGTGTAATGTGTCATCCTCTACTGTCCACTGTGTCATCCCTCTCTAGTGTACTGTGTCATCCTCTAGTGTACTGTGTCATCCTCTAGTATACTGTGTCATCCTCTAGTGTACTGTGTCATCCTTTTAGTGTACTGTGTCATCCCTTCTAGTGTACTGTGTCATCCTCTAGTATACTGTGTCATCCCTCTAGTGTACTGTGTCATCCTCTAGTGTACTGTGTCATCCTCTAGTGTACTGTGTCATCCTCTAGTGTACTCTGTGTCATCCTCTCCTGTCCACTGTGTCATCCTCTACTGTCCACTGTGTCATCCTCTACTGTACTGTGTCATCCTCTAGTGTACTGTGTCATCCTCTAGTGTACAGTGTCATCCTCTAGAGTACTGTGTCATCCTCTAGTATACTGTGTCATCCTCTCACTGTCCACTGTGTCATCCTCACTGTACTATGTGTCATCCTCTAGTGTACTGTGTGTCATCCTCTAGTGTACTGTGTCATCCTCTACTGTACTCTGTGTCATCCTCTAGTGTACTCTGTGTCATCCTCTACTGTACTGTGTGTCATCCTCTACTGTCCACTGTGTCATCCTCTACTGTACTCTGTGTCATCCTCTAGTGTACTGTGTGTCATCCTCTAGTGTACTGTGTCATCCTCTAGTGTACTCTGTGTCATCCTCTACTGTACTGTGTGTCATCCTCTACTGTCCACTGTGTCATCCTCTAGTGTACTGTGTGTCATCCTCTAGTGTACTGTGTGTCATCCTCTAGTGTACTGTGTCATCCTCTACTGTACTCTGTGTCATCCTCTACTGTACTGTGTGTCATCCTCTACTGTACTGTGTGTCATCCTCTACTGTACTCTGTGTCATCCTCTACTGTACTCTGTGTCATCCTCTACTGTACTCTGTGTCATCCTCTACTGTACTGTGTGTGTCATCCCTCTAGTGTACTGTGGCATCCTCTACTGTACTCTGTGTCATCCTCTACTGTACTGTGTGTCATCCTCTAGTGTACTGTGTGTCATCCTCTAGTGTACTCTGTGTCATCCTCTACTGTACTGTGTGTCATCCTCTACTGTACTCTGTGTCATCCTCTACTGTACTGTGTGTCATCCTCTAGTGTACTGTGTGTCATCCTCTAGTGTACTCTGTGTCATCCTCTAGTGTACTGTGTGTCATCCTCTACTGTACTGTGTGTCATCCTCTAGTGTACTGTGTGTCATCCTCTAGTGTACTCTGTGTCATCCTCTCTACTGTACTGTGTGTGTCATCCTCTAGTGTACTGTGTGTCATCCTCTACTGTACTGTGTGTCATCCTCTAGTGTACTGTGTGTCATCCTCTAGTGTACCCTGTCATCGCCGAAAGTGTGTCGCCTTCTTGTGTACTGTGTCATGTTTTGGTGTATTCTCACATCCACTGCCTCTTCTTTATTAACAGCATACAATATGATTAAAATATATGTCAAAGCAACATAAAACATTAAAACACGCCTTTGTTTGAACAATGTGTTACTTATGATTTCTTGCATTCAGGGTGTTGCTAAGCAACTGCTGTTCCCCATCCTGCCTCAGTTTGTGCAGGCACTGGTGATGGCCTTGAGGACACCCGATGGGGAGACATCAGATAGTGGACTCAAGATGGAGATTGTGAAGGTGAGAACAGGTGATGAGGTGTTGCATCCCCAAGAACTTTCGGTTACAGTACTTGACCTCTGTCTATAGTACTTTTGCCCCCAAACTCAATGCTTGATCCCCAGATACTGTACTTTGCCCTCAGACTCAGTACTTGATACCCAGATACAGTACTTTGCCCCAGACTCAGTACTTGATCCCCAGATGCAGTACTTGGTCCCCAGATACAGTACTTGGCCCCCAGACTCATTTCTTGATCCCCAGATGCAGTACTTGGTCCCCAGACACAGTACTTGAACACTCCAGATACAGTACTTTGACTCTTAGATTCAGTACTTGACCCTCAGATGCAGTACTTGGCTTCCAGATACAGTACTTGGTCCCCAGATACAGTACTTGGCCCCCAGATACAGTACACTGACCCCCAGATACAATACTTGATCCCCAGATGCAGTACTTGGTCCCCAGATACAGTACTTGGCCCCCGGCCCTCAGATACAGTACTTGACCCCCAGATGCAGTACTTGGTCCCCTAGATACAGTACTTGGTCCCCAGATACAGTACTTGGCCCCCTACAGATTCAGTACTTGGCCCTCAGATACAGTACTTGATCCCTCAGATACAATACTTGATCCCCAGATACAGTACTTGGTCCCTAGATACAGTACTTGGCCCCTCAGATACAATACTTGATCCCTCAGATGCAGTTCTTGGTCCCCAGACACAGTACTTGGTCTCCAGACACTGTACTCAACACCCAGATACAGTACTTGGCCCTTAGATTCAGTACTTGACCCTCAGATGCAGTACTTGGCCTCCAGATACAATACTTGGCCTCCAGATGCAGTACTGGCTTCCAGATGCAGTACTTGGTCCCCAGATTAAGTACTTGGTCCCCAGATACAGTACTTGGCCCCCAGATTCAGTACCTGGCCCCAGATTCAGTACGTGACCCCCAGATACAATACTTGGTATCCAAATACAATACATGTTCTGGATGCATTACTTGGCCCCCAGACTCAGTACTTGATCTCCAGATGCAGTACTTGGCCCCCCCAGACACTGTACTACTCGACACCCAGATGCACTTGGCCTTCAGATTCAGTACTTGACCCTCAGATACAATACCTGGTCCCCAAATGCAGTACTTGGTCCCCAGATGCAGTACTTGGTCCCCAGATACAGTACATGATCCCTCAGATACAGTGGCTCCCAGATACAGTCCTGACCCCCAGATGCAGTACTTGGTCCCCAGATACAGTACTTGGTCCCCAGATACAGTACTTGGCCCCAGATTGGCCCCCAGATTCAGTACTTGGCCCTCAGATACAGTACTTGATCCCCAGATACAATACTTGATCCCCAGATACAGTACTTGGTCCCCTAGATACAGTACTTGGCCCTCAGATACAATACTTGATCCTCAGATGCAGTTCTTGGTCCCCGGACACAGTACTTGGTCTCCAGACACTGTACTCAACACCCAGATACAGTACTTGGCCCTTAGATTCAGTACTTGACCCTCAGATGCAGTACTTGGCCTCCAGATACAATACTTGGCCTCCAGATGCAGTACTTGGCTTCCAGATGCAGTACTTGGTCCCCAGATACAGTACTTGGCCCCCAGATACAGAGATTCAGTACCTGGCCCCAGATTCAGTAATGTGACCCCCAGATACAATACTTGGTATCCAAATACAATACATGTTCCCCAGATGCATTACTTGGCCCCCAGACTCAGTACTTGATCTCCAGATGCAGTACTTGGCCCCAGACACTGTACTCGACACCCAGATGCAGTACTTGGCCTTCAGATTCAGTACACTTGACCCTCAGATACAATACCTGGTCCCCAAATGCAGTACTTGGTCCCCAGATGCAGTACTTGGTCCCTTGATACAATACTTGGTCTCCAGATTCAGTACATGGTCCCCAGATACAGTACTTGGCCCCAGATACAGTACTTGGTTCCCGGATACAATACTTGGCCCTCAGATACAATACTTGGTCCCTTGATACAATACTTGGTCTCCAGATTCAGTACATGGTCCCCAGATACAATACATGGCCCCAGATACAGTACTTGGTTCCCCGGATACAATACTTGGCCCTCAGATACTGTACTTGGTCCCCAGATACAATACATGGCCCCAGATACAATACTTGGCCCCCAGATTCAGTACTTGTCCCCGGATACAGTAGTTGGCCCCAGATACAATACTTGGTCCCAAGATGCAGTACTTGGCCCCCAGACACTGTACTCGGCACCCCAGACACTGTACTCGACACCCAGATGCAGTACTTGGCCTTCAGATTCAGTACTTGACCCTCAGATACAATACCTGGTCCCCAAATGCAGTAGTTGGGTCCCCAGATGCAGTACTTGGTCCCTTGATACAATACTTGGTCTCCAGATTCAGTACATGGTCCCCAGATACAGTACTTGGCCCCCAGATACAATACATGGCCCCCAGATACAGTACTTGGTTCCCGGATACAATACTTGGCCCCTCAGATACAGAACTTGGTCCCCAGATACAATACATGGCCCCCCAGATAAAATACTTGGCCCCAGATACAATACATGGCCCCCAGATACAGTACTTGACACCCAGATACAGTACTTGACACCCAGATACAGTACTTGACACCCAGATACAGTACTTGGCCCCAGATACAGTACTTGACACCCAGATACAGTACTTGACACCCAGATACAGTACTTGACACCCAGATACAGTACTTGGTCCCCAGATACAATACATGGCCCCAGATACAATACATGGCCCCAGATACAATACATGGCCCCCAGATACAATTCTTGGCCCCAGATACAGTACTTGACACCCAGATACAGTACTTGGCCCCAGATACAGTACTTGGCCCCAGATACAGTACTTGGTCTGACAGATACAGTACTTGGCCCCCCAGATACAGTAGTTGACACCCAGATACAGTACTTGGCCTACAGATACAAAGTGCTTTGGCCTACAGATACAGTACTTGGACCCCATATACAACAGTACTTGGTCCCCATAGATACAGTACTTGGCCTACAGATACAAATGCATACTTGGCCTACAGATACAATACTTGGCCCCAGATACAGTACTCTGTCCCCAGATACAAAAGTACCTGGCCTATAGATACAGTACTTGGCCCTCAGATACAGTACTTGGTCCCCAGATACAGTACTCGACACCCAGATACAGTACTTGGTCCCCATATACAACAGTACTTGGTCCCCAGATACAGTACTTGGCCTACAGATACAACAATACTTGGCCCCCAGATACAGTACTTAGCCCCAAGATACAAAAGTACCTAGCCTACAGATACAGTACTTGGCCCACTGATACTGTACTTGACACCCAGATACAAGACTTGGTCCCCAGATACAGTACTTGGCACCGACCTGATAATTGACCCATATTAGCATGTATGAGTGCCACCCACTGACGCATGGTGTTGTTAGCGAAGGGGCCCAAGGTTGTCCTCAATCAAGAACTTGCTACACCGACATGAGAGTCTCATGAGCAAGGCGTGTGCAGCTATGTGCAGAATCAATTTCATCGTCATGCAATGCACGTGCACTAGCCTACATCTACTTTACCTTTTACAAACCAAATGGTTTTGCTCATGCCGTCCACTGCCTACTTCGTGAAACGCTCGCTCCCTCAAGCGCCGGGTCTAATTTATCCTTGTTTGCCAGTAGAGAAGAGTTTCCCATGTTTGTTACGGGGCATCACGACATTAGTGAAGAGTTTCCCCATGTTTGTTACAGGGCATCACGACATTAGTGAAGAGTTTCCCCATGTTTGTTACAGGGCATCAGTCTCGTAACGCACGACATTAGTGAAGAGTTTCCCCATGTTTGTTACAGGGCATCACGACATTAGTGAAGAGTTTCCCCATGTTTGTTACAGAGCATCACGACATTAGTGAAGAGTTTCCCCATGTTTGTTACAGAGCATCACGACATTAGTGAAGAGTTTCCCCATGTATGTTACAGAGCATCACCACATTAGTGAAGAGTTTCCCCATGTTTGTCACAGAGCATCACGACATAAGTGAAGAGTTTCCCCATGTTTGTTACAGGGCATCACGACATTAGTGAAGAGTTTCCCCATGTTTGTTACAGAGCATCACGACATTAGTGAAGAGTTTCCCCATGTATGTTACAGAGCATCACGACATTAGTGAAGAGTTTCCCCATGTTTGTTACAGAGCATCACGCGACATTAGTGAAGAGTTTCCCAAGACGATGCTGCAATGGATTCAAGAGGTGTTGCCGACAGTGTGGGGACATCTTCACTCTAAGTGCCGACTTGTATCCTGTCTATATACTGATGTAACAGGCAGAGTTTGGGAATGAAGTGGTATTCATTGCCATACAGCATCTGATGAAGACACTGCCCGACACGGGTCAGATTCCACGCTACACCAGATGCTTCATGGTTCATATGCACACATAAGGCACGCAGCGTCTCTGCAACGGCCAATAAATGTTAACGTGATCTTCAGTCCTCATATTGGCCAGATGACAGAGCATATATTTGTTTCCAGCAATATTACAGCTTTCACCCATCGATGTTGTTAGTAAACAAATGTTATTGAGTAGGACTCATTTTTGTCCCTGATGGTATCAGATTTCTAAATGGCCTCCACATGTTCACCATGAAACTTCTTGAAAGCTTTACTAATGTCTTGAGTGTTGTAACCTTGATCACACAACTTCGGGGCAAGAGTGGCATGGACGCTTTTTGAAATCTTGGTAAAGTGAGCATGCTTGATTGTACCTCAGGCGCTGTGAACTGTAAACAGCAACGGCTGGAGCTGTTGGAATATTGCTTTCGAAAATGAAATGAAAGTTGACTATTGGAAGTTGAAATTATCCCTTGTGCTGGAATTATCCCTTGAATCCCTGATTGGACTCAACCCAACAAAAGTCCAAGAATCTGTACTTTACTGAGGAAGTGTAATCCCCAATATAACATTTGTTACATACGTACACACATGACTTATCATAAAGGAATTCATGTTATTTTTAGCTCCATTCAGGAATTCAGTTAAGGTAGTTCTGTGTCTCTCTGTCCTCTTGACATTATACAACATGCAGGGAATGTATACATGGTCGTGGGTATTGACTAGTAGTGGTTATCAGTACTTACTAGCGAATACATCAGAGGTGTGGTACTGGCGCATACTGTAATTATTGAGTACTAGCATACACTGTAATTGGTATGGTACTAGCATATGCTGTAGTGGTGTAGTACTGGCATATACTGTAGTAGTGTAGTACTAGCATATGACTGTAGTGGTGTGATACTAGAATATACTGTAGTGGTGTGGTACTAGTCTGTAGTGGTGTAGTACTGGCAGATACTGTAGCAGTGAAGTACTGGCACCTGCTGTACTGGTGTGAGACCAGCATACACACTGTAGTGGTGTAGTACTAGCACATACTGTAGTGGTGTAGTACTAGCATATACTGTGGTGGTGTAGTACTAGCATATACTGTAGTGGTGTAGTGCCTGGCATACGACTGTGGTGGTGTAGTACTTATATACTGTGGTGGTGTAGTACTTAGCATATACTGTAGTAGTGTAGTACTAGCATTATACTGTAGTGGTGTAGTACTAGCATATACTGTGGTGGTGTAGTACTAGCATATATACTGTAATTGATTATTAGTACTAGCATATATACTGTAGTGGTGTAGTACTGACATATACTGTAGTGGTGTAATACTAGCATATATATAGTGTGGTTGTATTATAGCATATACTGTAGTGTGAATACTAGCATATACTGTTGGTGGTGTAGTACTAGCATATACTGTAGTGGTGTGGTACTGACATACACTGTAGAGACCAGTACTAGCATATACTGTGACTGATTAGTACTAGCATGTATGCTGTAGTGGTGTGTACTAGCATATACTGTAGTGGTGTAGTACTAGCACATACTGACAGTGGTGAAGTACTAGCACATACTGTGGTGGTGTGGTACTAGCATGTACACTGTAGTAGTGTGGTAAAAGCATATACTGTGGTGGGGTGTAGTACTAGCAGATACTGTGTGAGTGGTGTAGTACTAGGATATAATGTAGTGTGTGGTGTGGTACTAGCATATACTGTAGTGGTGTAGTACTAATATACTGTAGTGAAGTGAAGTACTAGGACATACTGTAGTGGTGTGGTACTAGCATATACTGTAGTGGTGTAGTACTAGCATATACTGTGTGAGTGGTGTGGTACTAGCGGATACTGTGGTGGTCTTAATTACTAGCATATACTGTAGTGGCGTAATTACTAGCATTATACTTGTGGTGGTGTAGTACCAGCATATACTGTGGTGGTGTGAGTACTAGCATATACTGTACCGGTGTAGTATAAATACTGTAGTGTTGTAGTACTAGCATATACTGTAGTGGTGTGAGTACTAGCATATACTAATGAGTGGTGTAATTACTAGCATATACTGTAGCGTTGTGAGTACTAGCAGATGCTAATAGTGGTCTGGAGTACTATATACTGTGAGTGGTGTAGTACTAGCATATACTGTAGTGGTGTGAGTACTAGCATATACTGAAGTGGTGTGGTAGACTAGCATATACTGTAGTGGTGTAGTGCCCAGCATATACTGTAGTGGTGTAAGTAGTACTAGCATATACTGTGGAGTGGTGTAGTTACCCTGGCATATACTGTGATGGTGTGGCGGTACTAGCATATGCTGTAGTTGTGTTAGTGCTAGCATGTATACTGTGAGTGGTGTGGTACTAGCATATACTGTGGTAGTTGTAGTGCTAGCATATACTGTAAGTGGTGTAGTACTAGCATATACTACAGTGGTGTAATTACTACTTAGCATATACTGTAAGTGGTGTGAGTACTAGCATATACTGTAGTAGTGTAGTACTATAGCATAGTGGTATAATTTTGTAGTGGGGTTGTAGTACTAGCATGTATACTGTCGTGGTGTGGTACTAGCATATACTATGTAGTTGCAGTACTAGCATATATGCACAGTAGTGGAGTTAGTATTACTAGCATAATATACTATTAGTGAAGTTAGGTACTAGCATGTATACTGTAGTGGATTAATGTAGTACTAGCATGTATACTATGTAGTAGGTGTAGTTACTAGCATATATGCTGTAGTGGTGTGAAGTACTAGCATGTGTACTTCTGTAATTGATGTAGTGTACTAGCATATTGCTGTAAGGTGGTGTGAGTACTTAGCATATATACTGTGGTGGTGTAGTACTAGCACATACTGTAGTGAATAATTACTAGCACTAGGCAGATACTGTGATATACTGTAGTAGACATGTACTAGCATATACCTAGTAGTGGTGTAGTACTAGCATATACTGTAGTGGTGTAGTACTAGCATATACATGTAGTGGTGTAGTACTAGCATATACTGTGGTGGTGTAGTTTACTAGCATATACTGTAGTGGTGTAGTACTAGCATATACTGTGGTGTAGTACTAGCATATACTGTAGTGAGGGTGGTGCTGCCTGCCTGTAGTGTGGTGTACTTTAGCATATACTGTGTGTGGTGTGAGTACTAGCATATACTGTAGTGGTGTGAGTACTAGCATATACTGTAGTGGTGCTGAGTACTAATAATATACTGTGGTGGTGTAGTACTAGGCATATACTGTAGTGGTGTGAGTACTAGCATATACTGTAGTGGTGTAGTACTAGCATATATACTGTGGTGTAAGTACTAGCATATACTGTAGTGGTGTAGTACTAGCATATACTGTAGTGTGTGTAGTACTAGCATATACTGTGAGTGTAGTACTAGCATGTATACTGTGTAGTGGTGTAGTACTAGCATATACTGTAGTGGTGTAGTACTAGCATATACTGTAGTGGTGTGAGTACTAGCATATATATGAGCAGTGTATGAGGTACTACAGCATATACTGTGATGGTGTAGTACTAGCATATACTGTAGTGGTGTGAGTACTAGCATATACTGTAGTGGTGTAGTACTAGCAGCATACTGTAGTGGTGTAGTACTAGCATACTGTGAAACAGTTACTAGCATATACTGTAGTGGTGTAGTACTAGCATATACTGTGAGGTGGTGTGTAGTACTAGCATATATGCCTGTGGTGGTGTGAGGTACTAGCATATACACTAGTGGTGTAGTACTAGTATATACTGTGGTGGTGTACTAGCATATACTGTAATTGTGGTAGCATATACTAGCATTCTTAGATACTGTAGTGGTGTAGTACTATCACATATACTGTAGTGGTGTAGTACTAGCATATACTGTGGTGGTGTAGTACCTAGCATAATATGCTGTAGTGGTTGTAGTACTAGCATATACTGTAGTGGTGTAGTTACTAGCATGTATACTGTGGTGTGTGTAGTACTAGCATATACTGTAGTGGTGTGATACTAGCATACTGTAGTGGTGTAGTACTAGCATATATACTATGATGTGGTGTAGTGGTAGCATATACACAGTGGTGTAGTACTAGCATACTATGCTGTAAGTGGTGTAGTACTAGCATATACTGTAGTGAGTTGTAGTACTAGCATATACTGTAATTGATTGTGGTACTAGCATATGCTGTAGTGGTGTAGTACTAGCATATACTGTAGTGGTGTGGTACTAGCATATACTGTATACAGTGATTGTGGTACTAGCATATACTATTAGGTGGTGTGAGTACTAGCATATACTGTGGAGTGGTGTGGTACTAGCATATACTACTAGTGTGAGATGGTGTAGTACTAGCATATACTGTAGTGGTGTGGTACTGGCATAATGCTGTAGTGAAGAAGTTATGAGTACTAGCATATACTGTGAGTGGTGTAGTACTAGCATATACTATGTGAGTAGTGTAGTGCCTAGCATGCTGCTGTAGTGGTGTAGTACTAGCATATACTGTAGTGGTTGTGAGCCACTAGCACATATACTGTAGTGGTGGTACTAATATACTGTGAAGATGTGGTACTGCAGTGGTGTAGTACTTGTGAGCAGCATATACTGTAGTGGTGTAGTACTAGAGGGATATTAGGGGGAGTGGGCTTCGTTTTCGGATCACAACTCAAAACTGTTCAATATCTTTCAACATAACTAGGCAAATATATGGAGTCAGATCTTGAAATTGATGCCTTTTGCTATTTATAAGATTTTTTCATGTATATTTTTCATGATTTCCATAGAAAATGATTTGAGACTGTAAGATTTGTCCGTGAAAATGTAATAGGGATATAATCATCTCCTGATGACTCTTGTTTATAAATGACCTTTGCCTTGATCAGGATGTTAAAATCTGTGTACTTGTATTTTTGTGAACATCCTTGACTTTGATCAGCTATGTGAGAACAGTTGTCAACAATCAGGAGGAGGCAGAGGATCCAGTAGATTAGGATGGTGAGTTCTTGTATTGATCTGTTACCCAGTCTCAAGTAACCTTCATGTGAGAGTAATGCAGTGGTTCCAGTGTTTGCCACTTGTGTCCTGGAATACACTAAGGCATTAAACAGCTTTTCCTGATAATGTCGCTCTTGTTACCTTCAATGATGTAGCTTGTAGCTGAATATTCCATTGTGGCTGTATACTGAGGTGACTGTCCTGTGGGAAGCCGGCTGTGTGTATGAGTGAGGTGACTGTCCTGTTAGAGTGGCTGTATAGTGAGGTGACTGTCCTGTAGAAGTGGCTGTGTAGTTAGGTGACTGTCCCTGTGGAAGTAGCAGCTATGATAGTGAGGTGACTGTATCCTGTGGAAAGGCTGTGTGTGGTAGGGAGGTGACTGTCCTGTGGAAATGGCTGTGTAGTGAGAGGTGGTTGTCCTGTGGAAGTGGCTGTGTAATGGAGGTGACTGTCCTGTGGAAGCAGCTGTGTAGTGAGGAGTGACTGTCCTGTGGAAGCGGCTGTGTAGTGAGGTGACTGTCCTGGTGGAAATGGCTGTATAGTGAGGGGGTTGTCCTGTAGAAGTGGCTGTGTAGTGAGGTGACTGGTCCTGGTCATGTGGAAGTAGCTGTATAGTGAGGTGACTGTCATGTGGAAGTGGCTGTATAGTGAGGTGAATGTCATGCGTGGAAGTGGCTGTATAGTGAGGTGACTGTCCTGTGGAAGTGGCTGTATAGTGAGGGGGTTGTCCTGTGGAAGTGGCTGTATAGTGAGGTGACTGTCCTGTGGAAGTGGCTGTATAGTGAGGGGACTGTCCTGTGGAAGTGGCTGTATAGTGAGGGTGACTGTCTTGTCTTGAAGCCGGCTGTATAGTGATGTGACTGTCCTGTGGAAGTGGCTGTATAGTGAGGTGACTGTCTTGTGGAAGTGGCTGTATAGTGAGGTGACTGTCCTGTGGAAGTGGCTGTGTAGTGAGGGGTGAATGTCCTGTGGAAGTGGCTGTATAGTGGAGGTGGACTGTCCTGTGGAGGCAGCTGTATAGTGAGGTGACTGTCCTGGTGGAAGTGGCTGTATAGTGAGGTGACTGTCTTGTGGAATCGTCTGTGTAGTGAGGTGACTGTCCTGGCGGCTGAAGTTAGGTGACTGTCCCTGTGGAGGCTGACTGTGTGGATGTGACTGTCCTGTGGAAGTGACTGTATAGTGGTGACTGTCTTGTGGGAAGTGGCTGTATAGTGAGAATTGGACTGTCCTGTGGAAGCTGGCTGTAGTTTGTCCTGTGGGAAGTGTGAGGTGGGTTGTCCCTGTGGGGAAGCTGGCTGCATAGTGGGAGTGACTGTCACCTGTAGGAAGTCCTGGCTGTGTATTTGGAGTGAGGTGGGCCGTCCCGGTGGAAGTGGCTGTGTAGTGAGGACTGACTGTGACTATCCTGTGGTAGTGGCTGTATAGTGAGGTGACTGTCCTGTGAGGGGCTGTGGAGTAGGTATAGGAGGTGACTGTCCTGTGGAAGTGGCTGTAGTGAGGTGACATGTCCTGGAAGGGCTGTATAGTTAGTGTGGCTGTCTGTGGAAGTATATATGGCTATGTAGTGAGGTGGACTGTCCTGGATTAGGAACCCCGTGGAAGGGCTGTATAGTGAGGTGACTGTCCTGTAGGAAGTGGCTGTATAGTGGCCGTGAACGCCACAGTCCTGTGGAAGCGGACTGTGTAGTGAGGTGACTGTCCTGTGGAAGTGAAAAATATGTAGTGAGGTGACTGTGTCCTGTGGAAGCTGGCTGTGTAGTGAGGTGACTGTCCTGTGGAAGTGGCTGTGGCAGGCTGTAAGGACCAGTGTAGGTGTGACTGTCCTGTGGGAATTGGCTGTGGTGGGGGTGACTATCAGTGGAAGTGGCATTGTAGTGAGGTGAATGTCTTGTGGAAGCTGGCTGTGTGTGAGTGGGTTGTCCATGGATGGTGAGGGTGAGCTGTCCTGTGGAAGCTATTATGGAAGTGGCTGTGCCTGTGGAAGGGGGTTGTGTGTGGAAGTGGACTGTCCTGTGTGGAGTGGCTGTGTAGTGAGGTGACTGTCCTGTGGAAGTGGCTGTGTAGTGAGGTGACTGTCCTGTGGAAGTGGTATAAGTGAGGTGACTTCCTGTCCAGGAAGTGGGTGAGGTGACTGTCCTGTGGAAGCGGCTGTATGGTGAGGTGACTGTCCCAGTAGGAAGTAGCTGGTGTGAAAGGAATGACTGTCTGTGGAAAGTGGCTGTATAGTGAGGGAAACTGTCCTGTGGAAGTGGCTGTATAGTGAGGTGACTGTCTGTCTGTGTGGAAGTGGCTGTATAGTGAGGTGACTGTCCTGTGGAAGTGGCTGTGTAGTGAGGTGACTGTCCTGTGGGAAGGTGACTGTCCTGCTGTATAGTGAGGTGACTGTCCTGGGAGGAAGTGGCTGTATAGTGAGGTGACTGTCCTGTGGAAGTGGCTGTATAGTGAGGTGTGGAAACCTGGCTGTGTAGACTGTCCTGTGGAAGTGGCTGTATAGTGAGGTGACTGTCCTGTGGAAGTGGCTGACTGTCCTGTAAGGGAAGTGGCTGTAGTGGGAATTGAGGGGTGACTGTCCTGTGGGAAGTGGCTGTATAGTGAGGTGACTGTCCTGTGGAAGTGGCTGTGTAGTGAGGTGACTGTCCTGTGGAAGTGGCTGTATAGTGAGGTGACTGTCCTGTGGAAGTGGCTGTATAGTGAGGTGACTGTCCTGTGGAAGTGGCTGTATAGTGAGGTGACTGTCTGTATAGGAGGTGAGTCCTGTGGGAAGTGGCTGTATAGTGAGGTGACTGTCCTGTGGAAGTGGCTGTATAGTGAGGTGACTGTCCTGTGGAAGTGGCTGTGTAGTGAGGTGACTGTCCTGTGGAAGTGGCTGTATAGTGAGGTGACTGTCCTGTGGATAGTGGTGATGTATAGTGGGAAGTGGTGACTAGTGGGTCCTGTCCTGTGGAAGTGGCTGTATAGTGAGGGTGACTGTCCTGTGGAAGTGGCTGTATAGTGAGGTGACTGTCCTGTGGAAGTGAAGTGGCTGTCCTGTAGAAGTGGCTGTAGGTGACTGTCCTGTGGAAGTGGCTGTATAGTGAGGGGTGACTGTCCTGTGGAAGTGGCTGTATAGTGAGGTGACTGTCCTGTGGAAGTGGCTGTATGAGTGAGGTGACTGTCCTGTGGAAGTGGCTGTATGAGTGAGGTGACTGTCCTGTGGATAGTGGCTGTGAAGTGGCTGTATAGTGAGGTGACTGTCCTGAGTGGAAGTGGCTGTATAGTGAGGTGACTGTCCTGGAGGCGGCTGTAGTGAGGTGACTGTCCTGCTGGAAGCTGTATAGTGAGGTGACTGTCCTGTGGAAGTGGCTGTATAGTGAGGTGACTGTCCTGTGGAAGTGGCTGTATAGTGAGGTGACTGTCCTGTGGAAGTGGCTGTATAGTGAGGTGACTGTCCTGTGGAAGTGGCTGTGTAGTGAGGTGACTGTCCTGTGGAAGTGGCTGTATAGTGAGGTGACTGTCCTGTGGAAGTGGCTGTATAGTGAGGTGACTGTCCTGTGGAAGTGGCTGTGTAGTGAGGTGACTGTCCTGTGGAAGTGGCTGTATAGTGAGGTGACTGTCCTGTGGAAGTGGCTGTATAGTGAGGGGTTGTCCTGTGGAAGTGGCTGTATAGTGAGGTGACTGTCCTGTGGAAGTGGCTGTATAGTGAGGTGACTGTCCTGTGGAAGTGGCTGTGTAGTGAGGTGACTGTCCTGTGGAAGTGGCTGTATAGTGAGGTGACTGTCCTGTGGAAGCGGCTGTGTAGTGAGGTGACTGTCCTGTGGAAGCGGCTGTGTAGTGAGGGGACTGTCCTGTCCTGTGGAGGAGGTGACTGTATGGAAGTGATAGTGAGGTGACTGTCCTGGGGGAAGTGGCTGTATAGTGAGGTGACTGTCCTGTGGAAGCGGCTGTATAGTGAGGTGACTGTCCTGTGGAAGCGGCTGTATAGTGAGGTGACTGTCCTGTGGAAGCGGCTGTATAGTGAGGTGACTGTCCTGTGGAAGTGGCTGTATAGTGAGGTGACTGTCCTGTGGAAGCGGCTGTGTAGTGAGGTGACTGTCCTGTGAAAGCGGCTGTGTAGTGAGGTGACTGTCCTGTGGAGGCTGCACTGTGTAGTGATGTGACTGTCCTGTGGAAGCGGCTGTATAGTGAGGTGAATGTCCTGTGGAAGCGGCTGTGTGTAGTGAGGTGACTGTCCTGTGGAAGTGGCTGTGTAGTTAGGTGACTGTCCTGGGAAGTGGCTGTGTAGTGAGGTGACTGTCATGGGGAAGTGGCTGTGTAGTGAGGTGACTCTTATGTGTCTTTAGTTAAAGGTCACATGCAGCGTAAAACACAACTTTGCAGATTCTGAAACCTTACCAAAACAAATCATCAAAAATGCAAATTCAACTTATAAAGTTTAAAAATAACACGATGAAAAAAAAAAAGGCGTGAAATCGGAGTTCAAACGATTCACTAATTTTCCCCAGCTTTTAGGGAAAAGTGGTTTCAACGGCTGGGCTGGGCTCATAGCACATGCGCGAGTGAAAAGGTTCAAGCGCAGCTTGGAAGCCGGTTGTCCGGATTATAAGGTCGTGAGCAGGAGTGGTCTAATGAAAACAAATAGTAAATAATCTACTCATTACATAAAAGAACCTTTGTCAACCAGTGAGGCGCTTGACATTTCAAAACAGAAAACCATCGCTAAAGGTGAATGCTCAATTGAAGGCTTTGGTGTGAGCTATATTTTTCTAATGTTTTGTTGATATTTCACAAACGCCGATCTTTTTATATGTTATGACAGTATTACAGATTTAACTGTTTATATAATTTCATTTGTCTATTTCACCACACATTCTTCTTACGAAGTCACTTTCTCAGTTCGATACTTAAAGCAATGTCATTATTTAAGCGTTGACAGAATTTCTAACTGTGATATAGATATGTCGTTGTCACAGACAAAACTCAATGTCTGTTTTATTGACACCTATGTGTCTGCCTGCATGTCTGCTAATGACAATATTCAATACACAACTTCGATCACTCACCACATGCAATTTGAACTTAACACCTATCAGTGTCAATGTAATTACACAGACAGGCATGTTATGATGTCTGTTGATTGCAAAATGTTATACACACAAAGCATGAGCATGTATTTACATAACCTAAACATCTCTATATATACACACACAATGAGCTGTGAGGGCATCTTCAAATGAACCAGCTGTTACACTTGAGTGCACACCCACCGCTCTCTGACTGGGTTCGTTTATCCCGGCTGCTTCGCTTTCTAGGGAAGTAAAACCCAAGTACAAAATATTGTACTTTTTGCAGTCAGAGCGGGTGGGTGCAACGGCTGGTTCATTTGCAGATGCCCTCAGCTCATTGTGTGTGTATATATAGAGATGTGGGTTTTGTAAATACATGCTCATTTTGTGTGTATAACATTTTGCAATCAACAGACATCATAACATGTCATCGCATAAGTATCACACCTGCCTGTCTGTGTAATTACATAATGTGACAGAGACCGAACTCGAGGCCATAAATCAATGCATTTTGTTTATGGTGTATAGCCTGATTGGTGTTAAGTTCAAATTGCATGTGGTCAGTGATTGCAGTTGTGTATTGAATATTGTCATTAGCAGACAGGCAGGCAGACATATAGGTGTCAATAAAACAGACATTGAGTTTTGTCTGTGACAACGACATATCTATATCACAGTTAGAAATTCTGTCAACGCAAATAATGGCATTGCTTTTAAAAATTATCGAACTGAGAAAAGTGACTCGGTAAGAAGAACGTGTGGTAAAATAGACAAATGAAATTATATACAGTTAATCTACTGTCATAACATATAAAAAGATTGCGCTTGTGAAATATCAACAAACCATTAGAAAAATAGCTCACACCAAAGCCTTCACCGAGTATTGACCGGACAACCCGCTTCTAAGCTGCGCGAACCTATTTCACTGCTCACGTGCTATGAGCACAGCCCAGCTGTTGAAACCACTTGAATTCCCACCAAGTGCTGGGGGAAAATTAGTGAATCATTTGAACTACGATTTCGCGCATTTTTTTATCGTGTTATTTTTCAACTTTATAAGTTGAATTTGCATTTTGATGAGTTGTTTCGGTAAGTCCATACCGAAAGGTATCAGAATCTGCAAAGTTGTGTTTTACGTTGCATGTGACCTTTAACATTCCTTGTCTAGACTTGTGATGTTTTTGCAGGTGACATCTTGGGGTTTGAGAACCTGGTATACAGTGTGTTTGAGTTTGTTCATGCTCTCATTGATTCCTCCAAATTCCGCAACACCGTGAAGAAGACCATTGACCAGATTCTGTACTACGTGATAATCTACATGCAGATGACACAGGACCAGGTGAGCAGTCAGACACTTCCTCCATATTAGCAGTCAACCAGTCGGTCAGACACTATCCATATATGGCACAGCAGTAAACCAGTCTGTCAGACACTTTGGCCATATATGGCGTAGCAGTGAACCAGTCTGTCAGACACTTCCTCCATATATGGCGTAGCAGTCAACCAGTCTGTCAGACACTATCCATATATGGCACAGCAGTGAACCAGTCTGTCAGACACTTCCTCCATATATGGCATAGCAGTGAACCAGTCTGTCAGACACTTCCTCCATATATGGCATGGCAGTGAACCAGTCTGTCAGACACTTCCTCCATATATATGGCGCAGCAGTCAACCAGTCTGTCAGACACTATCCATATATGGCACAGCAGTGAACCAGTCTGTCAGACACTTCCTTCCATATATGGCGCAGCAGTCAACCAGTCTGTCAGACACTATCCATATATGGCACAGCAGTGAACCAGTCTGTCAGACACTTCCTCCATATATGGCACAGCAGTGAACCAGTCTGTCAGACACTTCCTCCATATATGGCACAGCAGTGAACCAGTCTGTCAGACACTTCCTCCATATATGGCATGGCAGTCAACCAGTCTGTCAGACACTTCCTCCATATATGGCATGGCAGTGAACCAGTCTGTCAGACACTTCCTCCATATATGGCATGGCAGTGAACCAGTCTGTCAGACACTTCCTCCATATATGGCAGCAGTGAACCAGTCTGTCAGACACTTCCTCCATATATGGCACAGCAGTCAACCAGTCTGTCAGACACTTCCTCCATATATGGCAGGCACAGCAGTCAACCAGTCTGTCAGACACTTCCTCCATATATGGCATGGCAGTGAACCAGTCTGTCGTCAGACACTTCCTCCATATATGGCATGCAGTGAACCAGTCTGTCAGACACTTCCTCCATATATGGCACAGCAGTGAACCAGTCTGTCAGACACTTCGTCCATATATGGCGTGGCAGTGAACCAGTCTGTCAGACACTTCCTCCATATATGGCATAGCAGTGAACCAGTCTGTCAGACACTTCCTCCATATATGGCACAGCAGTGAACCAGTCTGTCAGACACTTCCTCCATATATGGCATAGCAGTGACCCAGTCTGTCAGACACTTCCTCCATATATTGCATAGCAGTGATCCAGTCTGTCAGACACTTCCTCCATATATGGCATGGCAGTTAACCAGTCTGTCAGACACTTCCTCCATATATGGCGCAGCAGTGAACCAGTCTGTCAGACACTTCCTCCATATATGGCATAGCAGTGAACCAGTCTGTCAGACACTTCCTCCATATATGGCATAGCAGTGAACCAGTCTGTCAGACACTTCCTCCAGTCTGTCAGACACTTCCTCCATATATGGCATGGCAGTGAACCAGTCTGTCAGACACTTTAGTAATGTAAGGTCTGTATTCGTGTCCAGTGAACTGTGCAGCACCGTTCTGTGTTGTTGGTAATGTATTCAGCGTAGTCGGACATGTTTTGGTGTATCTGTTTCCTTGCAGTGTGTGCATTTGTCAGTCTTTAGATTTATGGTAGTTTTTCGAATGGATGTTTTACTTTTGAATTTGAAATTTGGTATTTACATTGCCACTTTAGGCCAGACCAATTTTATTTCTTGTTTTACTGATTTTTGTCCTCAGAAAACCTAAAGGCAGGAGGAAAAAGATATAAAAATAAAGTCACCTGTCAAAGTAGTATTCCTTCTAAATACTAAAAGTATTTTACTTTTGGGAATTCATGAGGTGTATATGAGTAAGAAAATAGTCTAAAAACAATGTCTTGTAAGTTTACATTTTTGTCCAATTTTTGTTCCTTATTCTTGAAAAAATATGACCGGCAGATCTGTGAAAAAAGAAATAAAATCTGTTATGGCCTTAGGAAGATTTTTTGTTTTTGTTGGCTTTTGAATTCATTTTTAGATAATAGTATGTTTATGTTAACTTCCGGGAGTTTAAGTGCCACTTTGGCTGTTAGGTCGGCATGTTCGTTGCCGAACACACCAACATGGATAGGGATCCATAGGAACTCTGCCTTATTGCCTAAGGCGAGTGGTTTTTAGTATCTCGTTTATTAGTTTTAGGTTGGTTTTTTTGTGGGGTTTTTCATTGCTTGGAGACCACTGAGTGAGTGTGTTGGTATTACAATGTTATTGTGATATTTAACAAGCGGGTCATGGAGTGCTGTTACCATGCCCATTAATTCTGCAGTGAACATTGATTGGCTGTCTGGAAGTCTTTTTGCTTTAGTTTGTCGTAGCTAGGCTCTTTTACCTCTGACATTTTTCAGATCCGACTGTGGAGCAGCAATCCAGACCAGTTCGTGGAGGACGAGGATGACGACAGTTTCTCCTACTCTGTGAGGATCTCTGCCCAGGACCTACTGCTGGTCAGTTGTCCCCCCTGTCTTCGTCTTTACTTGTCTGCGGATTGTGTCCACCTGTCTGTGATTGTCTGAGATTATCTCTACCTCTTTGATTGTCTGGATTATGTCCACCTGTCTGTGATTGTCTGAGATTATCTCTACCTGTCTGTGATTGTCTGAGATTATCTCTACCTGTCTGTGATTGTCTGAGATTATCTCTACCTGTCTGTGATTGTCTGAGATTATCTCTACCTGTCTTTGATTGTCCTAATATTTTAGATTATATCTACCTGTCTTTGATTGTCCTAATATTTTAGATAATATCTACCTGTCAGTGATTGTCCTAATATTATAGATTATCTCTACCTGTCTGTGATTGTCTGAATATTTTAGATTATGTCTACCTGTTTGTGATTGTCCGAATATTTTAGATTATCTCTACCTGTCTGTGATTGTCCTAATATTTTAGTTTATGTCTACCTGTTTGTGATTGTCCGAATATTTTAGATTATCTCTACCTGTCTGTGATTGTCCTAATATTTTAGTTTATTTCTACCTGTTTGTGATTGTGTACCTCTTGTGTTTCAGTCCCTGTCAAGTGAGTTTCAGGCAGACAGTGGTCCAGCTCTGTGTAATGCAGTCGGGAAACTCATGCAGGAAGCTGACGATGTGAAAAATTCTGGGAATCCCATGTGGTAAGTGTAGGTGTGATGTACAGGTGTGTTAGGTCGTGTGAAGGACAGGTGTGTTACACATGCGTTGTGGAGTACAGGTGTGTTACACAGGTGGTGTGGAGTACAGGTGTGTTACACAGGTGGTGTGGAGTACAGGTGGTGTGGAGTACAGGTGTGTTACACAGGTGGTGTGGAGGACAGGTGTGTTAGACAGGTCGTGTGAAGGACATGTGTGTTACACATGCGGTGTGGAGTACAGGTGTGTTACACAGGTGGTGTGGAGTACAGGTGTGTTAGACAGGTGGTGTGAAGTACAGGTGGTGTGGAGTACAGGTGTGTTAGGTCGTGTAAAGGACAGGTGTGTTACACATGCGTTGTGGAGTACAGGTGTGTTACACAGGTGGTGTGGAGTACAGGTGTGTTACACAGGTGGTGTGGAGTACAGGTGTGTTACACAGGTGGTGTGGAGTACAGGTGTGTTACACAGGTGGTGTGGAGTACAGGTGTGTTACACAGGTGGTGTGGAGTACAGGTGTGTTACACAGGTGGTGTGGAGTACAGGTGTGTTACACAGGTGGTGTGGAGTACAGGTGTGTTACACAGGTGGTGTGGAGGACAGGTGTGTTACACATGCGGTGGGAGTACAGGTGTGTTAGACAGGTGGTGTGGAGGACAATTGTGTTAAACACGTTCTGTAGAGTACATGTGTTACAGTTAGTGTGACATACAGATGTGTTACAGGTAGTATGACATGCAGGTGTGGTACAGGTTGTGTGACATACAGGTGTGGTACAGGTGGTGTGACATACAGGTGTGTTACAGGAAGTATGACATACAGGTGTGGTACAGGTGGTGTCTCATGCAGGTGTGGTACAGGTGGTGTGGAGGACAGGTGTGTTACACAGGTGGTGTTGACGACAGGTGTTTTAAACGTGTTCTGTAGAGTACATGTGTTACAGTTAGTGTGACATACAGATTAAGGGTGTGGTACAGGTGGTGTCACATACAGGTGTGGTACATGTGGTGTCACACACAGGTGTGGTACATGTGGTGTCACATGTGGTGTCACATACAGGTGTGGTACACATTGTGTGACATACAGATGTGGTACAGGTAGTGTGACATCCAGGTGTACATTTTGTGTGACATTAAGGTCTGGTACAGGTGTTACGGACAGGTGTGGTACATGTGATGTGACATACAGGTGTGGTACATGTGGTGTGACAGACAGTTGTGGTACATATGGTGTGACATACATGTGTGGTACAGGTTGTGTGACATACAGGTGTGGTACAGGTGGGATATACAGGTGTGGTACATGTGGTGTGACTTACAGGTGTTATGTGTGTAACATACAGGTGTTGTACATATGGTGTGACATACAGGTGTGGTACATGTGGTGTCACATACAAGTGTGTTACATGTGTGACATACAGGTGTAGTACATACGGTGTGATATACAGGTGTGGTACATGTGGTGTCACAGGTGTGGTACATGTGTGACATAGAGGTGTGGTACAGGTGGTGTCACATACAGATGTGGTATGGGCAGTATGACATACAGGTGTGTTACAGGTAGGATGACATACAGGTGTGTCACAGGTGATGTCAAATACAGGTGTGGTACAGGTGTGGTACACAGGTGGTGTTGACGACAGGTGTTTTAAACATGTTTTGTAGAGTACATGTGTTACAGTTAGTGTGACATACAGATGTGTTACAGGTAGTATGACATACAGGTGTGGTACAGGTGGTGTGACATACAGGTGTGGTACAGGTGGAGTCACATACAGGTGTGGTACAGGTGGTGTGACATACAGGTGTGGTACAGGTGGTGTCACATACAGGTGTGGTACAGGTGGAGTCACATACAGATGTGTTACAGGTGGTGTGACATACAGGTGTGGTACAGGTGGTGTGACATACAGGTGTGGTACATGTGGAGTCACATACAGGTGTGGTACAGGTGGAGTCACATAAAGATGTGTTACAGGTGGTGTGACATACAGGTGGTGTGACATACAGGTGTGGTGCATGTGGGGTCACATACAGGTGTGGTACATATGGTGTGACATACAGGTGTGGTACATATGGTGTGACATACAGGTGTGGTACAGGTGGTGTCACATACAGGTGTGGTACATAAGGTGTGACATACAGGTGTGGTACATGTGGTGTGACTTACAGGTGTTGTACATGTGGTGTGACATACAGGTGTGTTACGTGTGTGACATACAGGTGTTGTACATATGGTGTGACATACAGGTGTGGTACAGGTTGTGTGGCATTCAGGTGTGGTACATGTGGTACATGTGGTGTGACTTACAGGTGTGGTACAGGTGGTGTCACATACAGGTGTGGTACATAAGGTGTGGCAGTCAGGTGTGTTATTTGTGGTGTGACATACAGGTGTGGTACAGGTTGTTTGACATACAGGTGGTGTCATACCGGTGTGGTATAGGTTGTGTGACATACAGGTGGTGTCATACAGGTGTAGTGCAGGTTGTTTTACATACAGGTGGTGTCATAGGTAGTGTGACATACAGCTGTGGTACAGGTGGTGTGACATACAGCTGTGGTACAGGTGGTGTGACATACAGGTGTGGTACATATGGTGTGGCATTCAGGTGTGTTATATGTGGTGTGACATACAGGTGTAGTACAGGTTGTTTGACATACAGGTGGTGTCATACAGGTGTAGTGCAGGTTGTTTTACATACAGGTGTTGTCATAGGTAATGTGACATACAGCTGTGGTACAGGTGGTGTGACATACAGGTGTTATGAATAGGTGTTTGACAGGTATTTGTTGCAGGTGGAAGACCCACGAGTCGAGTATGATGGCCCTGGGCAGTGTCAAGGCGTTAGTGCTGGAGTCTATTCAGTCTGGGAAAGTACAGTTTGACATCATAGGCTTCCTGCAGTCTGTTGTATTGGAGGATCTCAGTCAGTCTGGTGAGTTGTGAGTCATGGCAGTGTGTTGTGAATCAGCCCAGTGTGTTGTGTATCTGTATTGGATGTTGTGAATATGTATTGGATATTGTGCATCAGCCCAGTGCAATGTCTGTTACGTCAGATGGTGAGGTCAAATCTTCTGGTTTCTTGGATTCCAAGGAATGCTACATCCTCTGACTGTTATTTGCCAATGCCAGTCTGCGTGAACATATCAATGCTGAATGTCAGGGAAAAGACACTTTAGATTTGTTGTTCCTGGAGGAGAATACAGCTGTTAACATTGGTCACTGTGGAACTGTCGGTGGATTCACTAGGTGTAACATTCATGTCCTGATGTAAATAAACTATATGTGTGTAGATTCTTTCTCCCATTTTGCATGAAATGTTAGTACCTTTCCTTGTAAAATTAGTTTGAGTAGTTTGTAACAAAAAAACAATTCTGGTGATACTCTTGTGTTGTACATTCATTTCACTAAAGATAGTGGACACTGGATTTTTAACCTGTCGTGTTCATGCTTTGAAATATGAAGTGTGAAATCTCAGTAGAAACAGATGCTAATACTTCTGACTGCCATTTTCAGCATCTCCATTCCTGGTTGGTCGGTGTCTATGGATGGGAAGCAGGTATGCTGAAGCCATGCCACAGGAACTCTTACAGAGGTGAGACCAGCACTTAGTGAGCTTATCTTACAGAGGTGAGACCAGCACTTAGTGAGCTCCTCTTACAGAGGTGAGACCAGCACTTAGTGAGTCTTACAGAGGTGAGAACAGCACTTAGTGAGCTCCTCTTACAGAGGTGAGAACTGCACTTAGTAGCTCATCTTACAGAGGTGAGAACTGCACTTAGTAAGCTCATCTTACAGAGGTGAGAACAGCACTTAGTAAACTCATCTTACAGAGGTGAGAACTGCACTTAGTAAGCTCATCTAACAGAGGTTAGAACAGCACTTAGTGAGCTCATCTTACCAAGGTGAGAACACCACTTAGCTCATCTTACAGAGGTGAGAACAGCACTTAGTGAGCTCATCTTCCCAAGGTGAGAACAGCACTAAGTTCGTCTTACAGGGGTGAGAACAGCACTTAGTGAGCTTATCTTACAGAGGTGAGAACAGCACTTAGTGAGCTCATCTTACAGAGGTGAGAACAGCACTTAGTGAGCTCATCCTACAGAAGTGAGAACAGCACTTAGTGAGCTCATCCTACAGAGGTGAGAACAGCACTTAGTGAGCTCATCTTACAGAGGTGAGAACAGCACTTAGTGAGTGCATCATACAGAGGTGAGAACAGCACTTAATGAGCTCATCTTACAGAGGTGAGAACAACACTGAGTGAGCTCATCTTACAGATGTGAGAACAGCACTTAGTGAGCTCATCTTACAGAGGTGACAACAGCACTTAGCTCATCTTACAGAGGTGAGAACAGCACTTAGTGAGCTCATCATACAGAGGTGAGAACAGCACTTAGTGAGCGCATCATACAGAGGTGAGAACAGCACTTGGTGAGCTCATCCTATAGAGGTGAGAACAGCACTTAGTGAGCGCATCATACAGAGGTGAGAACAGCACTTGGTGAGCTCATCCTACAGAGGTGAGAACAGCACTTAGTGAGCTCATCTTACAGAGGTGAAAACAGCACTTAGTGAGCTCATCTTACAGAGGTGAGAACAGCACTTAGTGAGCTCATCCTACAGAGGTGAGAACAGCACTTAGTGAGCTCATCCTACAGAGGTGAAAACAGCACTTAGTGAGCTCATCCTACAGAGGTGAGAACAGCACTTAGTGAGCTCATCCTACAGAGGTGAGAACAGCACTTAGTGAGCTCATCCTACAGAGGTGAGAACAGCACTTAGTGAGCTCATCCTACAGAAGTGAGAACAGCACTTAATGAGCTCATCTTACAGAGGTGATAACAATAGACAAATATTGAAGTAATGTTAATACAGTCATCCCTCGCAATAACGCTCTTCGCGATACCGCGGATTCGGTTAAACCGCGGGGTAATCCGTGGCTCCCATAAAAAAAGTTGCCCAGTGATCACACATATTCACGTCATCAAAAATAGCACATCAACAAATCCGCTGTTGAGCTCTGGTTAATCACATTGTAAACTAGTGAAATTCAGTGCGGATTGCAATTAACAGTGTTTATCGTACATATATGGTTTTCAGATGCTTAAAACATGCAGCGTTTTTTCAATAATAATAGATTAACAGCGAAACATCATAATAACTTTATCATAAAGACATGTCGATCATCAGCCGAGTACTTACAACGTTTGCTATGATGCAACACACCGCGTAATTGCGCGGGTAAACACTGTCATCCGAGAATGTATGATGTCAGAAAACACATTTTATTTGATTAAATTCAATCCCATTTTCATTCATTAAAACTGTTTACAATAACAACGGAGAAACCGTGAGTGAAATGGCATTACCTCATTCCATGCAACGCCCGCTTACCACATTGGTGAGGGTCCATTTTTCGCGCCTACCGCGATAGCACCAATTTCACATTTTTCTCAGCAATCAATTACAGCCTTGTCATCCATTGACCCCAAGACCCGCTTTATTGACTCATTGAAGTAATATTTGACAATTAATTGCCAACATTTTGTTTTTACAACAAAGTGGCACGTACCGCGGGAAGTCAGTGGCGACTTGTCGAACTGTCTCCTACGTAAAATGTATCCAGCCAGGTAACCCAAAGTGCTTAGCAATGCTAATTATTATGTTAAATATGTTCGTAGAAAACATGCATTATACTTATACGATAGCAATATATAAGATCTCTGTTAGAATAACTGCTTGACATATAAATTATTCTGATAATGGAACAGAAATTCTTTGATGTTATATGTTTGGATCGTTTTTAACTGAATCACCGGTACATTGGACCAAAACATCGATCTGTGCCCAGCTGATTGCTATTTCCCGGCTTAGTTGAATAACAGGTAGCATGACGGGAACAACAGTTGAATTATCATGTCTTGTGATGTTTAATTGCAAGTTTCATGTACATACATCTATTTTCATTTACAAAGTTGTTGTTGTTTTCACCTCCAACAATATGATATAGTTTTGACTGGGCACAATACACAAAATAGCAGTTTTGTTATGTCCATGGAAAATATTATTTTACTTGGCCTTTGTTCCGCGTTATGTAATCGTTACTATAATGCGGGTGTCTAATAACGCGGGGGGTCATCCATGGACCCCAAGACCCGCGCTATGGCGAGGGATGCCTGTATGAGTAAGCTATAGATACAAGTCATTTAAAAGACGAGTTGTGAGCCCTTAGAATGTTTTTGACAACATTGAAATGTTTCAGGTTTCTGCAGGCTACAGTTGGAGGCCTGAACATCTCTCAGCCTCCCAGCATCAGAATCTCAGCCATCAGAGCTGTGTTTGGATTCTGTGACCATCTCAAGACATCAAACAACACACAGCTCCTTGTGCCATATCTGCCAAATATTGTGTCAGAATTAGTTACCATAGCTACACAGTTTTCTGCTGAAGTCCTTGGTCTCTGCCTAGAAACGTTGACAGTTGTTGTTGCGGTGAGTAGTCTCCCTGACTGTTGTTTCTTTGAGTAATCTCACCCTGGTGGTTGTTGCAGTGAGTAGTCTCCCCTGATAGTTGTTGTTGCAGTGAGTAGTCTCCCCCCTGACAGTTGTTGTTGCAGTGAGTAGTCACTCCTGACAGTTGTTGTTGCAGTGAGTAGTCTCCCCTGACAGTTGTTGTTGCAGTGAGTAGTCTCCCCCCTGACAGTTGTTGTTGCAGTGAGTAGTCTCCCCTGACAGTTGTTGTTGCAGTGAGTAGTCTCCCCCCTGACAGTTGTTGTTGCAGTGAGTAGTCTCCCCTGACAGTTGTTGTTGCAGTGAGTAGTCTCCCCTGACAGTTGTTGTTGCAGTGAGTAGTCTCCCCTGACAGTTGTTGTTGCAGCAGAGTGCGGTGAGTCTCCCCTGACAGTTGTTGTTGCAGTGAGTAGTCTCCCCTGACAGTTGTTGTTGCAGTGAGTAGTCTCCCCTGACAGTTGTTGTTGCAGTGAGTAGTCTCCCCCCTGACAGTTGTTGTTGCAGTGAGTAGTCTCCCCTGACAGTTGTTGTTGCAGTGAGTAGTCTCCCCTGACAGTTGTTGTTGCAGTGAGTAGTCTCCCCTGACAGTTGTTGTTGCAGTGAGTAGTCTCCCCTGACAGTTGTTGCAGTGCAGTGAGTAGTCTCCCCTGACAGTTGTTGTTGTTGCTCCCCCTCCCTGACAGTGAGTAGTCTCCCCTGACAGTTGTTGTTGCAGTGAGTAGTCTCCCCTGACAGTTGTTGTTGCAGTGAGTAGTCTCCCCTGACAGTTGTTGTTGCAGTGAGTAGTCTCCCCTGACAGTTGTTGTTGCAGTGAGTAGTCTCCCCTGACAGTTGTTGTTGCAGTGAGTAGTCTCCCTTGAAAATTATTAGGAATGAGAAGTCTTTATGGATGACCAACTAATTGTTGTTGTGGTGAATAGTCTCTCCAGATAATTGTTGTTGTGGTGAATAGTCTCTCCAGATAATTGTTGTTTCTTTGAGCAGTCTCACCCTAAAGGGGGTGGTGGGGTAGCCCAGTTGTTAAAGCGTTAACTCTGTCACACCGAAGACCTGGGTTCAATTCCCTACATGGGCACAATGTGTGAAGCCCATTTGTGGTGCCACCTCCAGCTGTGATATTGCGCCAATATTGCTAAGATGCGGAATGAAACTAAACTCTCTCACTCTCTCACTCACCCTGATGGTTGTTCCGGTGAATAGTCTCACCCTGATGGTTGTTCCGGTGCATGATCCCCCTTACTGCATCATGGGAACTCCCACTGTACAAGCAGCATATAGATGCGTGAGAACACGTCACTGTGTAAGGGATTGTTGTATTTATAGGCCAGTTATGTAGTAGACCTGTGTGTTCAGTGTACAAGATATTAGCAACTGTCTTCAACTCAGTTGAAAAAGTTGTCTCCTGTTTGTAGGTTGACAAAGCTTTCACAGCAGCCCAGGAGAGCAAGTTGTCTCCCCTTGCCATTGCTACATTCCTCAAGTTCTCTGGCGGTAAGAACAGTGTCTTTACATGCTTGTGTTATGTGTGAATTTCAGAATTCAAAAGCAAATGCTAACCCAGAAAGTGGAACATTCAAAAGTATAATTTTACCTTATCCTCATATTAATTACTCGACCCAATGGAGATTTTTAATCTTTTGCATTGGTTGTTAATTGACTATTTATGGTTGACTTCAAATTTCAAAAATGTAAAAAAAGTAAGTAAAAGTATCATTTCTACTTAATATCCTGACTCCTACTCAAACATGTCACTGCCCTACCATTTGGATCCTAACTCCTACTCAAACATGTCACTGCCCTACCATTTGGATCCTGACTCCTACTCAAACATGTCACTGCCCTACCATTTGGATCCTGACTCCTACTCAAACATGTCACTGCCCTACCATTTGGATCCTGACTCCTACTCAAACATGTCACTGCCCTACCATTTGGATCCTGACTCCTACTCAAACATGTCACTGCCCTACCATTTGGAGAAAAAGAGATCAGTATTAGCAAGAGTCAGGATAAGTATAATTATTTTTCCTTATCCTGACTCATGTTTTATGCTTATCTCCCTTTCCCTTCGAATGGTTACGTGGAAACTTGAATCCTTTTGCTCCCTGAAGCAAACGTAAAATCACTCACCCAGTGGGTTGCCTCCCCTTTCCTGCCAATAGTGTCTCACGTGATCTGAACACTGACATGCCCGCACTTTCTTCATCGCCCAAACAGACGGTTGGGCAGCAACTTCGGATCCCTTTTACTAGGGCTGTGAATTGCCCCAAATTTCATTTTGCGATATATTGTGATATACTTTTCTGTATTGCGATATATTGTGAAAGAACAGTTATTGAGATCTGTCCACTTTGTAATATTCTTTTACCTTCAAATTGAATCACAGTATATGCGAGTAACCATTGTGCATTGTATAGCTTCTTTCAAAGCAAGAAAAAAGAAAAACCAGAACATTCATCTGTTTGTATTTTAAAACAGCAGGGATCGACACTCACTAAACATTTAACTAGTCCTTCGGGCTAGTGGATTTTGTATGTCACTAGTCCTTTCCAAATATTACTAGCCCTACACTTTACTATAAAAAACTTTCAACAAGTCTTTCTTTTAATGGTAACTGCTGTCCAAAGGAAAGTTAACACAGATAAATGTATGATTTCTCATTTCAGATATATGACAAATTCAACTGAAACTACCATGTCCTCCATCAACCCACCCATACTAAACTAACAGACAAAGGAAACGATACTGAGTCAAAATCACAGATATTACAAAACGACAAACCACCATTGTGTAAAAGGAAAGAGAATTTTGATAACAGGTGTATGGGCAACATGCATGTGCATACACATGCCCATACACCTGTTACCAAAATGCACTTTCCTATTACACAATGGTGGTTTGTCGTTTTGTAATATCTGTGATTACGACTTGGTATCGTTTCTTTTGCCCGTTAGTTTATCTTCTTAAACAGCAAAGGATGTTGAATTTCAAATAATTTAAAGAGTCTGAGCTACTGTGCACATCTGTATTACTAAAAAATAATTAATTGAACTGAACATCTAATCAAAACAATGATTTATGCACCTTTGTCTTTGAATAAAAGTATTATTAACATTACCTATTTCATGAATGACGTTGGGTACACTTTCTCATACAGAAATGATTTAACAAAGAACTCAAGATGGGCAAAAGTCTCTCTGTATTAGTTAAAGTAAACTTTCTTTAGACGGAATAGAATAATGAAAAAAAATTGAAACATGAGAAACATAGCCTTATAATAAGATTGAAGCCTACGTTTGTCAAGGAAAATATCAGCTCGTGAAACATTATTGCTACCACATGTCATACACTATTTAAATTTTTCAGGTCTAATCCAACTGTATAAAATACAAGTTTACACACTTATAATGTCCAGTTAAACCAGGAAGGACATGAAAACTCCCGCTATTTTAATCCATTTGTAAGATGTCATAATATCCTCTTACCTGTTTTTATATTTTCATTTTTAAATAATCAGAAAATTATTATCTAAAGATTAAATAAGTAATATGGTCGTCTATTTCCCGGTAGCCGTGGCTTTTCGCCCGGTAACACGACACAACATTGGAAAATGCCTCCGTTTTCGAAGCTCCGTATGAATAACACTCGAAAAAATTCATTTGTTGACCGGTATCGTTCGAAAGCTCTAATCATCAATAATATCGCAATAACCCTGCCAGGAGTATTTTCTGAGTTGTAAGAAGCTATTTTACTGGATAAAGATTGGTCCCTAATGACGCTTTTTCGCCACAGTCTGCTATATGGTTTGTGATTGGTAAAAATCATGCACGTAACCTAAGGCAGCCAATCATATTACAGCAATGGATACCGTCCTCATAAACTTTTAGACAAAAGTTTTGGGTACAATGATGCTATTCTGAACGTGTTAAGCAGGAAATCGCCATAAGTACGTAAATTATGGAACATATTGGATGTATCGGGCTAGGTGGCGACCTGTGACAAATATTCTTTATGCAATTTGTTTCACATTAAACATCATGTCAGAGCATGAAGATCGAGGAGACGAAAGTCGAGATGTCACTTGACTTGCATAACATGATCGCACGAAATGATGGAAATAGTAAATTAGATGTACGTTTGACAACTTTTATGAAAACTAGCTTTTATTCATTAGTTTCTTCAATTTTAATGATTTCCTCGAAACATCGATACTTTGATACTCTTTTACAATTTTAAGTGGACCCGTTGCCAATCATTTGGAAAGAGTTCCGCCCAATCCCCACCCACCACTACCACCCATAGTATCTGAATATACATATATATCTTTTTCCTCACCTTTAACATTTAGGGGGTATACGGGCGGAAGTCTTTCCTGCGGTGTTGAATGGATTAAAATTGAACAAATAAATCTTTGTCAGTACATCATAAATGTATCGCGATACGTAATTGTTACAATGTCGTATTGCAGTTTACCGGTATACCAGTAATACCCTGCAGCCCTACCTTTTACGGCTTCATATCCTTTTCTATTTAGGCCTATATCCAAATTAATGCAGTGAAATGTATCTTTAGGCATTCTAAAACAATTACGATGTATATATTCATGTAAATTGAAGGCTAATTTTTATTTTACTCCGATTTCGGGTGACTGATTGTGTATGCCTGCATGTAAACAATATAGACTGCGTACTTCAGCGGCTGACCCTCACCCTGTCTCTTCATCTTGCGGGCCTGCTTCGTGTGCGTTATATTCACGTATATATTGCACACATTTGTCAACATTTTAATGTAATAAATATTTGTTGTCCTGCTTACACAAGAGCATGGACAAGGTATGGCGTGATAATAAAGATCTCCGCTGAAAGGGTTAGTTCTCAGTCATCAGATCATGAGTTGCATGAGTTGTAGTCTTTATTTCCATCTGGTAATTGCCATATGTCATCTATTAATGCGTGTGAGCCACTGAATGTGGTCTCTCCTGTTTCTACTCTAAATCACTAGATTGGGACGTACGTCTCACCAGTACCAGATCCTCTAGCCTGGGCTCTTGACGCTCTAGCCATTCCATGGGAGGGACTGAACGCGTACGCGTTCCCATCGCCAATCCTGTCACCACAAGTTCTACAAAAGATCGCCCAGACCAAAGTAGTAGGACTGATTTTGGTCGCGTCCTACTGGCCAGCGAGAACCTGGTTTCCAGACCTAATAGCAACGAGAACCAACGCCTACCAGATTGGCCGAATCTACTGATCCACCCTCACACAAGACAACCTAACGGCAATCCAAGATTGCTCCAGCTTCACGCATGGAACATATTTGGCACTGCCTGAGAAGAAGAAGGTACTCCACCAGAGCAGCTAAGGCAGTTACGATCAACTCACAACCTCTACGATGATAAGTGGAAGAGTTTGACCAGTTTCCTACACATAAGGGATTTTTGGCTGTGAAAGCTTCGCATCCACAGGTAACAGAATACCTATGTCTATCTGAGGGTGGCAACACACGATGGGATCTACACTTTCGACATATTTGGCGACAATCAGCTCCGTACTCACCATGGATACAGGAGTCAAACTCACCAAAGTACCTGAACTCGTCGCCCTACTGAGGTCATTCAAGCTTGAAGACCAACAGCAGAAGTTTAGAATTCCAGCCTGGGACCTCAGTGTAGTGCTGCAACATCTGACCAGCGACAACTAAGAGCCACTGATACACACTACCTTTGAGCTGCTAACACAGAAGACGCTATTCCTCCTCGCACAAGCTACAGCGATTTGAATGTCAGAGATACACGCCCGCCCTCAACTACGGACAAACCAGATTCGACTCTGGAGACCATCCTGCCCTCCACCTGAGACTTTGATGGGACTTTATAGCAAAGAATCAGCTAGCAGGTCAACCAGATAGACAATTCCACGTCCCAGCATTGTCTATGATCCTCGGACCAGATGATAAACAAGACCTGCCCCTGTGCCCAGTCAGAGCCTTGAAGACATACTTAGAATGGGTTGCTACAAGAAGGAGGAAGTTCAAGCGTCTCCCTTGACCCACTATCAACCGCCACGACTATTGAAGGCTCCCGACAAGGATCTTGTTTTGGATTAGAGCTGTCATCCTACAAGCCTACAGAGCAGCAGGGTTAGATCTGCCCAGAGCCTCCAACCCACACGAAGTTAAAGCGTTAGCGTCGACACTCGCCCTGCATGGGAATTGCTCTTTATCTTCCATCCTGGTATCCTGTATCCACCAGTTCCGGGCCTCTTGTAGCAGCGCAACAACTCACGTCCAGCCAGACGATGAGAAACCCTTATCACGTTGACTTGTTGATGCCAGACCAGCAGATAAGTCAGCGCATGGGTGTATTAAGACTTAGTTTCGGTAACAGCCCTTACCTTAACAGATAGGTCGCGATTCAGTTTCGGTAACAGCCCTTACCTTAACAGATAGGTCGCGATTCAGTTTCGGTAACAGCCCTTACCTTAACATATAGGTCGCGATTCAGTTTCGGTAACAGCCCTTACCTTAACAGATAGAGTTCGCGATTCAGTTTCAGTAATAGCCCTTACCTTAACAGATAGGTCGCGATTCAGTTTCGTAACAGCCCTTACCTTAACAGATAGGTCGCGATTCAGTTTCAGTAACAGCCCTTACCTTAACAGATAGGTCACGATTCAGTTTCAGTAATAGCCCTTACCTTAACAGATAGGTCGCGATTCAGTTTCGAGTAACAGCCCTTACCTTAACAGATAGGTCAGCGATTCAGTTTCGGTAACAGCCCTTACCTTAACAGATAGGTCGCGATTCAGTTTCGTAACAGCCCTTACCTTAACAGATAGGTCGCGATTCAGTTTCGGTAACAGCCCTTACCTTAACAGATAGGTCGCGATTCAGTTTCAGTAACAGCCCTTACCTTAACAGATAGGTCGCGATTCAGTTTCAGGTAACAGCCCTTACCTTAACAGATAGGTCGCGATTCAGTTTCAGTAACAGCCCTTACCTTAACAGATAGGTCAAGCGATTCAGTTTCGCAACAGCCCTTACCTTAACAGATAGGTCGCGATTCAGTTTCGTACAGCCCTTACCTTAACAGATAGGTCGCGATTCAGTTTCGCAATAGCCCCACCTTAACAGATAGGTCGCGATTCAGTTTCAGTAACAGCCCTTACCTTAACAGATAGGTCGCGATTCAGTTTCAGCCCTACCTAACAGCCCTTACCTTAACAGATAGATAGGTCGCGATTCAGTTTCGGTAACAGCCCTTACCTTAACAGATAGGTCGCGATTCAGTTTCGATAACAGCCCTTACCTTAACAGATAGGTCGCGATTCAGTTTCGAGTAACAGCCCTTACCTTAACAGATAGAGTCGCGATTCAGTTTCGGTAACAGCCCCATACCTTAACAGATGAGGTAAGCGATTCAGTTTCAGTAACAGCCCTTACCTTAACAGATAGGTCGCGATTCAGTTTCGGTAACAGCCCTTACCTTAACAGATGGGTTAAGCGATTCAGTTTCGGTAACAGCCCTTACCTTAACAGATAGGTCGCGATTCAGTTTCGGTAACAGCCCTTACCTTAACAGATGGAGTGCGATTCAGTTTCGTAACAGCCCTTACCTTAACAGATGGGTCGCGATTCAGTTTCAGTAACAGCCCTTACCTTAACAGATGGAGTCGCGATTCAGTTTCGGTAACAGCCCTTACCTTAACAGATAGGTCGCGATTCAGTTTCAGTAATAGCCCTTACCTTAACAGATGGAGTCGCGATTCAGTTTCGTAATAGCCCTTACCTTAACAGATAGGTCGCGATTCAGTTTCGTAACAGCCCTTACCTTAACAGATAGGTCGCGATTCAGTTTCCGTAACAGCCCTTACCTTAACAGATAGGTCAGCGATTCAGTTTCGTAACAGCCCTTACCTTAACAGATAGGTCGCGATTCAGTTTTGGTAACAGCCCTTACCTTAACAGATAGGTCGCGCGATTCAGTTTCGGTAATAGCCCTTACCTTAACAGATAGGTCGCGATTCAGTTTCGGTAACAGCCCTTACCTTAACAGATAGGTCGATTCAGTTTCTCGGTAACAGCCCTTACCTTAACAGATAGGTCGCGATTCAGTTTCGGTAACAGCCCTTACCTTAACAGATAGGTCGCGATTCAGTTTCGGTAACAGCCCTTACCTTAACAGATAGGTCGCGATTCAGTTTCGGTAACAGCCCTTACCTTAACATATGGATCGTTCCAGATAACTATACATCGAGGCGTACTAGTTAAACTAAAATCAACGAATTGTTCAAGATTACTTCCTTATTAATTTAAGAGAAGATGGTCCCCCGATTGTCATCAGAATGTTTTGGCAGCAGTAGAAGAAGCCATAAGAAGAGTTCCCAGTAAGAGTTCAGTAAGCAATAGCATGAGTCAGAATAAGAGAAAATATGTCATTTTTATGATAAAATTGATATTTTATACTTATCCTGACTCATTATCAGAAGGACCCTGAGCACTACGTGTTTCACTGCAGACCCTAGTGTGTGCAATTCAGGAGAGAGTGAGGAGAGCTTGGCTCAAGGCACGTGGGCGGACTTTTGGCGGGAATGTGGGGCTCTTGATGGGTGAGTGAATTTTGACTGTTCTTGGGAACAAAGGGATACCAGTTTCCACATAGCAATCGAAAGGGAAGGGGAGATAAGCAATATAGCATGAGTCAGGATAAGTATAAAATATCAATTTTATCATAAAACTTACATAATGATATTTTTCATTGTCTTGTCCTTCTTTTACAGATCTGTTTATTCTGTTACCCACCTGTTACAGATCCATTCATAGTGTCGCCCATCTGTTACAGATCCATTCGTAGTGTTGCCCATCTGTTACAGATCCATTCATAGTGTTGCCCATCTGTTACAGATCCATTCGTAGTGTTGCCCATCTGTTACAGATCCATTCAGTAGTGTTGCCCATCTGTTACAGATCCATTCATAGTGTTGCCCATCTGTTACAGATCCATTCATAGTGTTGCCCATCTGTTACAGACCTGTTCATTATGTTGCCCGTCTGTTACAGAACCATTCATAGTGTTGCCCATCTGTTACAGATCCATTCATAGTGTTGCCAATCTGTTACAGATCCATTCATAGTGTTGCCCATCTGTTACAGATCCATTCATAGTGTTGCCCATCTGTTACAGATCCGTTCATAGTGTTGCCATCTGTTACAGACCTGTTCATTATGTTGCCCATCTGTTACAGATCTATTCATAGTGTTGCCCCATCTGTTACAGATCCATTCATAGTGTTGCCATCTGTTACAGACCTGTTCATTATGTTGCCAATCTGTTACAGATCCATTCATAGTGTTGCCCATCTGTTACAGATCCGTTCAGTGTTGCCCATCTGTTACAGATCCGTTCAGTGTTGCCCATCTGTTACAGACCCATTCATAGTGTTGCCCATCTGTTACAGACCTGTTCATTATGTTGCCCATCTGTTACAGATCCATTCATAGTGTTGCCCATCTGTTACAGATCCATTCATAGTGTTGCCAAAATGTTACAGATCCATTCATAGTGTTGCCCATCTGTTACAGATCCTTACATAGTGTTGCCCATCGTTACAGACCTGTTCATTATGTTGCCCATCTGTTACAGATCCGTTCATAGTGTTGCCATCTGTTACAGACCTGTTCATTATGTTGCCCATCTGTTACAGATCCATTCATAGTGTTGCCCATCTGTTACAGATCCGTTCATAGTGTTGCCCATCTGTTACAGATCCGTTCATAGTGTTGCCCATCTGTTACAGATCCGTTCATTATGTTGCCATTCTGTTACAGATCCGTTCATAGTGTTGTCCATCTGTTCCAGATCCATTCATAGTGTTGCCCATCTGTTACAGATCCATTCATAGTGTTGCTCATCTGTTACAGATCCGTTCATTGTGTTGCCATTCTGTTACAGATCCGTTCATAGTGTTGCCCATCTGTTACAGATCCGTTCATTATGTTGCCATTCTGTTACAGATCCGTTCATAGTGTTGTCCATCTGTTCCAGATCCATTCATAGTGTTGCCCATCTGTTACAGATCCATTCATAGTGTTGCTCATCTGTTACAGATCCATTCATAGTGTCTCTGGTACAGGACATGATCAAAGAGTTAGCAGAAAATCCAGGATGTTCCGCAGCTCTGGAGCAGCGCCTGGTGCCCACGCTTATCAGCATCCTCCGCAGTTCCACTGACACCGTGATGCCTGGACTAACCGCAGTAAGACACTAAGTGGGACGCAGGTCACGTGATCTTCACACAACAGGTGACACAGTGGACTGACCACTGTAAGACACTACCTGGGACGCAGGTGACATGATCTTCACAAGACAATTGACACAGTAGACTGACCACTGAAAGACACTACATTGGACGCAGGAGACATGATCGTCACACGACAGTTGACACAGTAGACTGACCACTGGAAAACACTACGTGGGGTACAGATGACATGATCTTCACACAGGTGGCACAGTAGACTGACCACTGTAAGACACTACGTGGGGTACAGATGACATGATCTTCACACAGGTGACACAGTAGACTGACCACTGTAAGACACTCTACGTGGGGTACAGATGACATGATCTTCACACAGGTGACACAGTAGACTGACCACTGTAAGACACTACATGGGGTACAGATGACATGATCTTCACACAGGTGACACAGTAGACTGACCACTGTAAGACACTACATGGGGCGCAGGTCACATGATCTTCACACGACAGGTGACACAGTAGACTGACCACTGTAAGACACTACATTGGACGCAGGTCACATGATCTTCACACGACAGTTGACACAGTAGACTGACCACTGTAAGACACTACATTGGACGCAGGTCACATTGATCTTCACATGATCTTCACACGACAGTTGACACAGTAGACTGACCACTGTAAGACACTACATGGGACGCAGGTCACATGATTTTCACACAACAGGTGACACAGTAGACTGACCACTGTAAGACACTACCCAGGACGCAGGTCACATGATCTTCACACGACAGGTGACACAGTAGACTGACCACTGTAAGACACTACCCGGGACGCAGGTCACATGATCTTCACACAGGTGACACAGTAGACTGACCACTGTAAGACACTACATGGGGTACAGGTGACATCACAGTAAGACACTACATGGGGTACAGGTGACATCACAGTAAGACACTACATGGGGTACAGGTGACATCACAGTAAGACACTACATGGGGTACAGGTGACATCACAGTAAGACACTACATGGGGTACAGGTGACATCACAGTAAGACACTACATGGGTTACAGGTGACATCACAGTAAGACACTACATACATGGGGTACAGGTGACATCACAGTAAGACACTACATGGGGTACAGGTGACATCACAGTAAGACACTACATGGGGTACAGGTGACATCACAGTAAGACACTACATGGGGTACAGGTGACATCACTGTAAGACACTACATGGGGTACAGGTGACATCACAGTAAGACACTACATGGGGTACAGGTGACATCACAGTAAGACACTACATGGGGTACAGGGACATCACAGTACATCACATCAAGACACTACATGGGGTACAGGTGACATCACAGTAAGACACTACATGGGGTACAGGTGACATCACAGTAAGACACTACATGGGGTACAGGTGACATCACAGTAAGACACTACATGGGGTACAGGTGACATCACTGTAAGACACTACATGGGGTACAGGTGACATCACTGTAAGACACTACATGGGGTACAGGTGACATCACAGTAAGACACTACATGGGGTACAGGTGACATCACTGTAAGACACTACATGGGGTACAGGTGACATCACAGTAAGACACTACATGGGGTACAGGTGACATCACTGTAAGACACTACATGGGGTACAGGTGACATCACAGTAAGACACTACATGGGGTACAGGTGACATCACAGTAAGACACTACATGGGGTACAGGTGACATCACAGTAAGACACTACATGGGGTACAGGTGACATCACAGTAAGACACTACATGGGGTACAGGTGACAACACAGTAAGACACTACATGGGGTGCAGGTGACATCACAGTAAGACACTACATGGGGTACAGGTGACATCACAGTAAGACACTACATGGGGTACAGGTGACATCACAGTAAGACACTACATGGGGTACAGGTGACATCACTGTAAGACACTACATGGGGTACAGGTGACATCACAGTAAGACTATTCAAGAGATGCATGACGTCATGTAACTTTCACACGACATGAGTAGAGTCATCAGTTTAATACACTACATGCTATGATGTGTGACATTACAGTAAGACACTACATGCTATGATGTGTGACATTACAGTAGGACACTACATGCTATGATGTGTGACATTACAGTAAGACACTACATGCTATGATGTGTGACATTACAGTAAGACACTACATGCTATGATGTGTGACATTACAGTAAGACACTACATGCTATGATGTGTGACATCACAGTAAGACACTACATGCTATGATGTGTGACATTACAGTAGGACACTACATGCTATGATGTGTGACATTACAGTAAGACACTACATGCTATGATGTGTGACATTACAGTAAGACACTACATGCTATGATGCTGTGTGTGACATTACAGTAAGACACTACGATGCTATGATGTGTGACATTACAGTAAGACACTACATGCTATGATGTGTGACATCACAGTAAGACACTACATGCTATGATGTGTGACATCACAGTAGGACACTACATGCTATGATGTGTGACATCACAGTAAGACACTACATGCTATGATGTGTGACATTACAGTAAGACACTACATGCTATGATGTGTGACATTACAGTAAGACACTACATGCTATGATGTGTGACATTACAGTAAGACACTACATGCTATGATGTGTGACATTACAGTAAGACACTACATGCTATGATGTGTGACATTACAGTAAGACACTACATGCTATGATGTGTGACATTACAGTAAGACACTACATGCTATGATGTGTGACATTACAGTAAGACACTACATGCTATGATGTGTGACATCTCAGTAAGACACTACATGCTATGATGTGTGACATTACAGTAAGACACTACATGCTATGATGTGTGACATTACAGTAAGACACTACATGCTATGATGTGTGACATCACAGTAAGACACTACATGCTATGATGTGTGACATCACAGTAAGACACTACATGCTATGATGTGTGACATCACAGTAAGACACTACATGCTATGATGTGTGACATTACAGTAAGACACTACATGCTATGATGTGTGACATTACAGTAAGACACTACATGCTATGATGTGTGACATTACAGTAAGACACTACATGCTATGATGTGTGACATTACAGTAGGACACTACATACATGCTATGATGTGTGACATTACAGTAGGACACTACATGCTATGATGTGTGACATTACAGTAAGACACTACATGCTATGATGTGTGACATTACAGTAAGACACTACATGCTATGATGTGTGACATCACAGTAAGACACTACATGCTATGATGTGTGACATTACAGTAAGACACTACATGCTATGTGTGACACTACATGCTATGATGTGTGACATTACAGTAAGACACTACATGCTATGATGTGTGACATCACAGTAAGACACTACATGCTATGATGTGTGACATTACAGTAAGACAGTAATGACATTACAGTACATTGTAAGACACTACATGCTATGATGTGTGACATTACAGTAAGACACTACATGCTATGATGTGTGACATCACAGTGACATGCATCACAGTATGACACTACATGCTATGATGTGTGACATTACAGTAAGACACTACATGCTATGATGTGTGACATCACAGTAAGACACTACATGCTATGATGTGTGACATTACAGTAAGACACTACATGCTATGATGTGTGACATCACAGTAAGACACTACATGCTATGATGTGTGACATTACAGTAAGACACTACATGCTATGATGTGTGACATCACAGTAAGACACTACATGCTATGATGTGTGACATTACAGTAAGACACTACATGCTATGATGTGTGACATTACAGTAATACACTACATGCTATGATGTGTGACATTACAGCTGAAGGTTGCTGATGTTGTAGGTGTCGCTGGACATGCTGACCACACTGGTACGAGGAAGCCAGACACCATTGTCCAGTGTGTTGATGACGGCATTCCCGGCTGCTGTGGAGTGCACCCTCAAGACTGATGACAACGCATCCATGCAGGTGGGTTGGTGCAGGCAACTCTCCAACTGAACATTATAATGTTTCCTTTTCCTGAATCATACTTATTGCTTATCTCCCTTTTCTCCTGAGATACAGTGGAAACCTCTGTCCTATGTTCCCAAGAACAGTTTAAAAATAGCCCACCATAAATGGGCTTCTCCCTCACCTGCACACCAGCGTCCCACGTTACTGCCGGCAGCTTGTTACTCTCTCCATTTTCTCCCTCCTGGACGGTTGGGTGGATTCCTCTCTTCCTTATACAAGCTACAGATCTGTTATTTCAGCACGTATATCAAAATTAATGCTTGTATATTCATTCCATATCCGTTCATAACCATGGATTATTTTTGCAAAAAGACGGTTAATTAATTACAATTTTCTGACTTTGTCAGAACATTATTTATTGGGGGTGATAAGAAGTCTTACCCAGGTGAGTTGGTGAAGACATCTCTCCTACAGAACATTATCTATTGGGGGTGATAAGAAGTCTTACCCAGGTGAGTTGGTGAAGACATCACTCCTACAGAACATTATCTATTGGGGGTGATAAGAAGTCTTAACCTCTATGAAACCACTACAAATTTACACACTCACTCGTTTCTTCGTTTCTTTTCAGAGTGGTGGCGAGTGTCTTCGTGCTTTCTCGTCAAAAGCGCTGGACCAGGTGACAGCATGGCAAGATGAGCAGGGTGAGTTTGTTCACCTCACCTGGCCATGTATCTATGTAGGGAGATTCACCTCACCTGGCCATGTATCTATGTGGGGAGATACACCTCACCTGGCCATGTACCTGTGTAGGGAGATTCACCTCACCTGGCCATGTATCTATGTAGGGAGATTCACCTCACCTGGCCATGTACCTGTGTAGGAAGATTCACCTCACCTGGCCATGTATCTATGTGGGGAGATTCACCTCACCTGGCCATGTATCTATGTAGGGAGATTCACCTTACCTGGCCATGTATCTATGTAGGGAGATTCACCTCACCTGGCCATGTATCTTTGTGGGGAGATTCACCTCACCTGGCCATGTATCTCTGTAGGGAGATTCACCTCACCTGGCCATGTATCTATGTGGGGAGATTCACCTTGCCTTGCCACATATCTATGTAGGGAGATTCACCTTGCCTGGCCACATATCTATGTAGGGAGATTCACCTAACCTGGCCATGTATCTATGTGGGGAGATTTACCTCACCTGGCCATGTATCTATGTGGGGAGATTTACCTCACCTGGCCATGTATCTATGTGGGGAGATTTACCTCACCTGGCCATGTATCTATGTAGGAAGATTCACCTTGCCTTGCCACATATCTATGTAGGGAGATTCACCTCACCTGGCCATGTATCTATGTGGGGAGATTCACCTCACCTGGCCATGTACCTGTGTAGGGAGATTCACCTTGCCTGGCCACATATCTATGTAGGGAGATTCACCTCACCTGGCCATGTATCTATGTGGGGAGATTCACCTCACCTGGCCATGTATCTATGTAGGGAGATTCACCTTGCCTGGCCACATATCTATGTAGGGAGATTCACCTCACCTGGCCATGTATCTATGTGGGGAGATTCACCTCACCTGGCCATGTACCTGTGTAGGGAGATTCACCTTACCTGGCCACGTATCTATGTAGGGAGATTCACCTCACCTGGCCATGTATCTATGTAGGGAGATTCACCTCACCTGGCCATGTATCTAAGGAGATTCACCTCACCTGGCCATATATCTCTGTAGGGAGATTCACCTCACCTGGCCATGTACCTGTGTAGGGAGATTCACCTCTCCCTGCCATTTATATACAGGCCACCATGATATTGCTGGAATATAGCTGACTGAGAACAAAAAATGACATTGTACATCGTAAATCTGTTTAGTTTACCGGTATGAAGAGTATTTAATGCTTGTATTTTGTTGAAGGTAAAAATGGCTTGTACTATATTGTACAAGTGATTTCGAAACTTCTGGACCCGAAGACGTCTGAGCACACAGCCGCCTTTGTTGGCCGCCTTGTCTCTGTGGTGATCAGCAAGGTTGGGACGCAGCTGGGAGAGAACCTCGATCTGATGTTGAGGGCAGTCCTCAGCAAGATGCAGCAGGCAGAAACTCTCAGTGTCATGCAGGTGAGTAGAGGCAGTGTGTCATGCAGGTGAATACAGTGTATCATGTAGGTGAATAGAAGCTCTCGGTGTCATGCAGGTGAGTAGAGGCAGTATGTCATGCTGGTGAATACAGTGTGTCATGTAGGTGAATAGAAGCTTTCAGTATCATACAGGTGAGTAGGGGCAGTATGTCATGCAGGTGAATAGAAGCTTTCAGTATCATACAGGTGAGTAGGGGCAGTATGTCATGCAGGTGAATAGAAGCTTTCAGTATCATACAGGTGAGTAGGGGCAGTATGTCATGCAGGTGAATAGAAGCTTTCAGTATCATACAGGTGAGTAGGGGCAGTATGTCATGCAGGTGAATACAGTGTGTCATGTAGGTGAATAGAAGCTCTCAGTGTCATGCAGGTGAATACAGTGTGTCATGTAGGTGAATAGAAGCTTTCAGTATCATACAGGTGAGTAGGGGCAGTATGTCATGCAGGTGAATAGAAGCTTTCAGTATCATACAGGTGAGTAGGGGCAGTATGTCATGCAGGTGAATAGAAGCTTTCAGTATCATACAGGTGAGTAGGGGCAGTATTTCATGCAGGTGAATACAGTGTGTCATGTAGGTGAATAGAAGCTCTCAGTGTCATGCAGGTGAATACAGTGTGTCATGTAGGTGAATACAGTGCTACATGTAGGTGAATAGAAGCTCTCGGTGTCATGCAGGTGAATAGAGGCAGTGTGTGATGCAGGTGAGTAGAGGCAGTGTGTCATTCAGGTGAGTAGAGGCAGTGTGTCATGATGGTGAATAGAGGCAGTGTGTCATGCAGGTGAGTAGAGGCAGTGTGTCATGATGGTGAATAGAGGCAGTGTGTCATGCAGGTGAGTAGAGGCAGTGTGTCATGATGGTGGGTAGAGGCAGTGTGTCATGCAGGTGAGTAGAGGCAGTGTGTCATGATGGTGGGTAGAGGCAGTGTGTCATGCAGGTGAGTAGAGGCAGTGTGTCATGATGGTGGGTAGAGGCAGTGTGTCATGCAGGTGAGTAGAGGCAGTGTGTCATGATGGTGAATAGAGGCAGTGTGTCATGATGGTGAGTAGAGGCAGTGTGTCATGCAGGTGAGTAGAGGCAGTGTGTCATGCAGGTGAGTAGAGGCAGTGTGTCATGATGGTGAGTAGAGGCAGTGTGTCATGCAGGTGAGTAGAGGCAGTGTGTCATGATGGTGAATAGAGGCAGTGTGTCATGCAGGTGAGTAGAGGCAGTGTGTCATGATGGTGAATAGAGGCAGTGTGTCATGCAGGTGAGTAGAGGCAGTGTGTCATGATGGTGAATAGAGGCAGTGTGTCATGCAGGTGAGTAGAGGCAGTGTGTGTCATGATGTTGAGTAGAGGCAGTGTGTCATGATGATGGTGAATGAGTAGGGCAGTGTGTCATGATGGTGAGTAGAGGCAGTGTGTCATGATGGTGAGTAGAGGCGGTGTGTCATGATGGTGGGTAGAGGCAGTGTGTGTCATGCAGGTGAGTAGAGGCGGTGTGTCATGCAGGTGAGTAGAGGCGGTGTGTCATGATGGTGGTGAGTAGAGGCGGTGTGTCATGATGGTGAATAGAGGCAGTGTGTCATGCAGGTGAGTAGAGGCAGTGTGTCATGATGGTGAATAGAGGCAGTGTGTCATGATGGTGAGTAGAGGCAGTGTGTCATGATGGTGAATAGAGGCAGTGTGTCATGATTGTGAATAGAGGCAGTGTGTCATGATGGTGAATAGAGGCAGTGTGTGATGCAGGTGAGTAGAGGCAGTGTGTCATGATGGTGAGTAGAGGCAGTGTGTCATGATGGTGGGTAGAGGCAGTGTGTGATGCAGGTGAGTAGAGGCAGTGTGTCATGATGGTGAGTAGAGGCAGTGTGTCATGATGGTGAGTAGAGGCGGTGTGTGATGGTGGGTGGAGGCAGTGTGTGAGGCGGGTGTCAGGCAGAGGCGGTGTGTCATGATGGTGGAGTAGAGGCGGTGTGTCATGATGGTGGGTAGAGGCGGTGTGTGATGCAGGTGTGTGGAGGCAGTGTGTCATGATGGTAAGTAGAGGCAGTGTGTCATGATGGTGAATAGAGGCAGTGTGTCATGATGGTGGGTAGAGGCAGTGTGTGTTGCAGGTGAGTAGAGGCAGTGTGTCATAATGGTAAGTAGAGGCACTGTGTGTTGCAGGTGAGTAGAGGCAGTGTGTCATGATGGTGAATAGAGGCAGTGTGTGATGCAGGTGAGTAGAGGCAGTGTGTCATGATGGTGAGTAGAGGCGGTGTGTGTGTTGCAGGTGAGTAGAGGCAGTGTGTCATGCAGGTGAGTAGAGGCGTGTGTGTCATGATGGTGAGTGAGTGCGAGGCGGTGTGTCATGCAGGTGAGTAGGGGCGGTGTGTGCCGTGCGGGTGAGTAGAGGCAGTGTGTCATGATGGTGAGTAGAGGCAGTGTGTCATGATGGTGAGTAGAGGCAGGTGTGTCATGATGGTGAGTAGAGGCGGTGTGTCATGATGGGTGAGTAGAGGCGGTGTGTGTTGCAGGTGAGTAGGGCGGTGTGTCATGATGGTGAGTGAGGCGGTGTGTCATGCAGGTGAGTAGAGGGCGGTGTGTCATGATGGTGAGTAGAGGCGGTGTGTCATGCGGGTGTAGAGTGTGTCATGATGGTGAGTGTGTCATGATGGTGAGTAGAGGCAGTGTGTGATGCAGGTGAGTAGAGGCAATGTGTCATGATGATGGTGAGTAGAGGCGGTGTGTCATGATGGTGAGTAGAGGCAGTGTGTCATGATGGTGAGTAGAGGCGGTGTGTCATGATGGTGAATAGAGGCGGTGTGTCATGCAGGTGAGTAGAGGCGGTGTGTCATGATGGTGAGTAGAGGCGGTGTGTGATGCAGGTGAGTGAGTAGAGGCGGTGTGTCATGATGGTGAGGTAGAGGCGGTGATGGTGGTAGAGGCGGTGTGTCATGATGGTGGGTAGAGGCAGTGTGTCATGATGGTGAGTAGAGGCAGTGTGTCATGATGGTGAGTAGAGGCAGTGTGTCATGATGGTGAGTAGAGGCAGTGTGTGATGCAGGTGAGTAGAGGCAATGTGTCATGATGGTGAGTAGAGGCAGTGTGTCATGATGGTGAGTAGAGGCAATGTGTCATGCAGGTGAGTAGAGGCAGTGTGTGATGCAGGTGAGTAGAGGCAGTGTGTCATGATGGTGAGTAGAGGCGGTGTGTCATGATGGTGAGTAGAGGCAATGTGTCATGATGGTGGGTGTGTCAGAGGTGAGTAGAGGCGGTGTGTCATGATGGTGAGTAGAGGCAGTGTGTCATGATGGTGAGTAGAGGCAGTGTGTCATTCAGGTGAGTAGAGGCAGTGTGTCATGATGGTGAGTAGAGGAAGTGTGTCATGATGGTGAGTAGAGGAAGTGTGTCATGATGGTGAGTAGAGGCAGTGTGTCATGATTGTGGGTAGAGGCAGTGTGTCATGATGGTGAGTAGAGGCAGTGTGTCATGATGGTGAGTAGAGGCAGTGTGTCATGATGGTGAGTAGAGGCAGCGTGTCATTCAGGTGAGTAGAGGCAGTGTGTCATGATGGTGAGTAGAGGCAGTGTGTCATGATGGTGAGTAGAGGCAGTGTGTCATTCAGGTGAGTAGAGGCAGTGTGTCATGATGGTGGGTAGAGGCAGTGTGTGTCATGATGTGGGTAGAGGCATGATGGTGGGTAGAGGCAGTGTGTCATGCAGGTGAGTAGAGGCAGTGTGTCATGATGGTGAGTAGAGGCAGTGTGTCATGATGGTGGGTAGAGGCAGTGTGTCATGATGGTGAGTAGAGGCAGTGTGTCATGATGGTGAGTAGAGGCAGTGTGTCATGATGGTGAGTAGAGAAATGTGTGATGCAGGTGAGTAGAGGCAGTGTGTCATGATGGTGAGTAGAGGCAGTGTGTCATTCAGGTGAGTAGAGGCAGTGTGTCATGATGGTGAGTAGAGGAAGTGTGTCATGATGGTGAGTAGAGGAAATGTGTCATGCAGGTGAGTAGAGGCAGTGTGTCATGATGGTGAATAGAGGCAGTGTTTCATGATAGTGAGTAGAGGCAGTGTGTCATGATGTCGAGTAGAGGCAGTGTGTCATGATGGTGAGTAGAGGCAGTGTGTCATGATGGTGAGTAGAGGCAGTGTGTCATGATGGTGAGTAGAGGCAGGTGAATAGTAATTCTCAGTGTAATGTCTGTCTTTTTTGCCTCTTCCTCCAATGTCTGTAGATCCGCTGTAAACCAAATCTGTCTTGCCTCCTCCCACAGAGTCTGTAGATCCACTGCAACTGAAGTTTATCTTGCCTCCTCCCACAGAGTCTGTAGATCTGCTGTAAACCAAGTTTATCTTGCCTCCTCCCACAGAGTCTGTAGATCTGCTGTAAATCATGTTTATCTTGCCTCCTACCACAGAGTCTGTAGATCTGCTGTAACCCAAGTTTATCTTGCCTCCTCCCCCAGAGTCTGTAGATCTGTAACCCACGTTTATCTTGCCTCCTACCACAGAGTCTGTAGATCTGTAAATCATGTTTATCTTGCCTCCTCCCCCAGAGTCTGTAGCCCACGTTTATCTTGCCTCCTACCACAGAGTCTGTAGATCTGTAAATCATGTTTATCTTGCCTCCTACCACAGAGTCTGTAGATCTGCTGTAACCCAAGTTTATCTTGCCTCCTACCACAGAGTCTGTAGATCTGTAAATCATGTTTATCTTGCCTCCTCCCCCAGAGTCTGTAGATCTGCTGTAACCCAAGTCTGTCTTGCCTCCTCCCCCAGAGTCTGTAGCCCACGTTTATCTTGCCTCCTACCACAGAGTCTGTAGATCTGCTGTAACCCAAGTCTGTCTTGCCTCCTCCCCCAGAGTCTGTAGCCCACGTTAATCTTGCCTCCTACCACAGAGTCTGTAGATCTGTAAATCATGTTTATCTTGCCTCTTACCACAGAGTCTGTAGATCTGCTGTAACCCAAGTTTATCTTGCCTCCTCCCCCAGAGTCTGTGGATCTGTAGCCCACATTTATCTTGCCTCCTACCACAGAGTCTGTAGATCTGCTGTAACCCAAATCTGTCTTGCCTCCTACCACAGAGTCTGTAGATCTGTAACCCAAGTTTATCTTGCCTCCTCCCCCAGAGTCTGTGGATCTGTAGCCCACGTTTATCTTGCCTCCTACCACAGAGTCTGTAGATCTGTAACCCAAGTTTATCTTGGCTCCTCCCCCAGAGTCTGTGGATCTGTAGCCCACGTTTATCTTGCCTCCTACCACAGAGTCTGTAGATCTGCTGTAACCCAAATCTGTCTTGCCTCCTACCACAGAGTCTGTAGATCTGTAACCCAAACCTGTCTTGCTTTCTCCCACAGAGTCTGTAGATCTGTAACCCAAGTTTATCTTGCCTCCTACCACAGAGTCTGTAGATCTGTAACCCAAATCTGTCTTGCTTTCTCCCACAGAGTCTGTAGATCTGTAACCCACGTTTATCTTGCCTCCTACCACAGAGTCTGTAGATCTGTAACCCAAATCTGTCTTGCTTTCTCCCACAGAGTCTGTAGATCTGTAACCCAAATCTGTCTTGCTTTCTCCCACAGAGTCTGTAGATCTGTAACCCACGTTTATCTTGCCTCCTACCACAGAGTCTGTAGATCTGTAACCCAAATCTGTCTTGCTTTCTCCCACAGAGTCTGTAGATCTGTAACCCAAATCTGTCTTGCTTTCTCCCACAGAGTCTGGTCATGGTTTTCGCTCACCTGATCCACACACAGATGGAGGCGGTCCTCGACTTTCTGACCAGTGTCCCAAGTCCTACTGGCCGACCAGCACTTGAGTTTGTCATGTCTGAGTGGTGCTCCAGACAGCATCTGTTCTATGGCAGCTATGAAAGGAAAGTCAGGTAAGTTAATGCACTATCAAGTCTGTCCAGTGTGGACCTCCCCGTATCACTATCAAGTCTGTCCAGTGTGGACCTCCCTGTGTCACTATCAAGTCTGTTCAGTGTGGGCCTCCATGTATCACTATCAAGTCTGTCCAATGTGGGCACAAGCATGCACATCTTGATGTGTAGTATCAGAGATCTGGACAATGAAGGTTCTTTATGATCTGGTTAAGAAGCCCAACACAAGGATTCCCATCTAGATGAGTAGTATCAGAGATCTGGACAATGAAGGTTCTTTATGATCTGGTTAAGAAGCCCAACACAAGGATTCCCATCTAGATGAGTAGTAACAGAGATCTAGATATGAAGGTTCTTTATGATCTGGTTAAGAAGCCCAACACAAGGATGCACATCTAGATGAGTAGTATCAGAGATCTGGACAATGAAGGTTCTTTATGATCTGGTTAAGAAGCCCAACACAAGGATTCCCATCTAGATGAGTAGTATCAGAGATCTGGACAATGAAGGTTCTTTATGATCTGGTTAAAAAGCCCAACACAAGGATTCCCATCTAGATGAGTAGTATCAGAGATCTGGACAATGAAGGTTCTTTATGATCTGGTTAAAAAGCCCAACACAAGGATTCCCATCTAGATGAGTAGTAACAGAGATCTAGATATGAAGGTTCTTTATGATCTGGTTAAGAAGCCCAACACAAGGATGCACATCTAGATGAGTAGTATCAGAGATCTGGACAATGAAGGTTCTTTACGATCTGGTTAAGAAGCCCAACACAAGGATGCACATCTAGATGAGTAGTAACAGAGATCTAGATATGAAGGTTCTTTATGATCTGGTTAAGAAGCCCAACACAAGGATGCACATCTAGATGAGTAGTATCAGAGATCTGGACAATGAAGGTTCACTACGATCTGGTTAAGAAGCCCAACACAAGGATTCCCATCTAGATGAGTAGTATCAGAGATCTGGATGACATCAACAAGCAGATAGTCAATATCAGCTCATCATCAATAGGAATTTATGTGTGTGATGTAAAAGTAGTATAGTATCTAGTGGTACAGCTTGTTCAGCTTGACCTGAGCTACTCTATATATGCATGACCCAGGAGGTCAAATGGCACAAACGGCTTAATTAAATAGGTGAGTAGAGAATGTTAAACAGCGACATTGTCTCGGGTGTTCGAACATGTTGACAATCAACTGACAGAGGTGCACCCCTTCACAGCAATAGACCCAACCAGTTGTGACACGGTCACGCAATGCATTAGTATTCACTTGATCAGGTCAAGCTGAACAACCTGTAGTGTAGTTAGAATATGTACACAAATATAAATATTATTTTTCCTTATCCTGACTCATGCTCTTTTTGCTTGTCTTCTTCTTCTTGCGAACATAGTGGAACACTTGTATCTCCCTAATTGAAGCTCCCTTCAATGTAAAATCACTAATTAGTACTCAGCACGAGTTACCTCCCTTCCACAAACGCGGGAACGAGGGCGCCACCTCCACCCATGTGCCTCACTCTCTCCTTCTTCGCCCAGTGAGCTGGACGTGAGAGCACCTGTGTCTCCCGACACACTATATCCTTTGATTATATTTAGTTAGTTACCTCGTATAGACATCTATAGAGGTTTAGCTAGTATCCTTCAACAATTATATATTGATATTTAGTCGTGTTTCTACTGTTTATTCACGGGACGCCGTGTTTGTTGTTTCAGTGGATTACGTTGATAAAAATTCTGTTCTGTTGCAGATTACGTTTTTATTCTGCTGCTGATCCGCATTTAATATGCCCTAGTTGTACTCGCCATGTTCATTTTATTCACGTTGCAGTTAGCGGTACTAATTTATCCATTTCTGCCTTTAATAAATAATTACTTTGCGTTTGAGGCGCCAGCAGCAGATAGAGTCGCGTTATGCAGAGTCTAGCCATGACTGAGACACCTGAACCCCTCGCCAGTCTACTGCTGTTGGTCGACCCCGCTCCGTCTGGTGTTCCGCTAGAGTGGTGGAGAGTGGGGCGTAGTCCGCCGCCTCCAAGAAGTGTCCTGCTTCCCCAGACATCCCATCGTGCGGCGAAGACTAGAGTTTTTCTACTGCATCTCAACGCCACCTCTGAGGGGAAATCAACGAAGTCTACTTGAACTTTCTCAGCCGAGATTGTTCCCGTCGCGAGATTTGGGCCTGTATGATGATCAGCCGATCATCATACCTGATGTACATCAAAAGAATGACCGATGTCGGCAACAGTGATGTCAGCGCAGATCAACATGCAGCCTGATGTACCAACGCTGATATTCTATGATCTTCCTGAGGGTCCCGCCGCTACCAACAACTCTCAGCGCAGACTTCGCACCCCCAGGGCAGCGTCGACCTCTGAGGGGAAATCAACGAAGTCTACTAGGACTTTCTCAACGAGATTGTTCCAGCCGCTGAACTGGGCCTCTCGATGATCAGCTGATCATCATTCCCGGCGTCGCCACAAGAAGCGACCGAGGCAGCTACAGTGACATCAGCAGAGATAAGCCATGCAGCCTGATGTCTCTACACTGGCGTCAGGCGACTTCCTGAGGGTCCCGCCGCTAACATCGCAGAGAGGCACCGACTAATTAAATCGCAGACCATCCCAGATGAACTGTTGCGCAAATCATGATCATGATGGAGGGCCACCACAGACTGGGAAGCAGCCAGCCCAAGGCCGAGCCAGCCGGGTTCCAGCATGAGACGACACCCCAGAGGCACCCCCATCAGCGTAGCAGCCACGACGAAGCCACCTTCGCGAGAAGGAAGTCGCAGACCACCTCCACGAAGGACCCAGATGTACAGCTTTCGCCGGCGAAGGCCTTGGCGAAGGCGGATAGATCATCACATTCCTCGGCTTCATCCCTAGATGCGGACTCAGACCGTCAGACCTCACGGAAGCCTTAGCGAAGGTCAAATCGCCGTTCCCAGGACGGACGCAGAGGAAAGCCTTTCGCCAGGCAGCCTTTCGCGAAGCCTTCCGCGACACCTGACTACACGAGAGCTTGGAAGCTATCAACATTCTCCTCACAGGTCTCCGAGAAGGTCAACGCATAGACGCCAGTTCACCAACACGCGATCTCAGCGCCGTTAACCGTGCCGATCTCCTCGTACATCACCACGTCGATCGTCTCACAGGTCACCACACAAGTCTGCACACAAGTCTACAGTCAGGTCTCCCCGGCGTCACCCGACATAGAGATAGAAATACACAGTCCACCATCAGAAGAGCATCAACCTCTCATCAGTGATGCTGGGATAGAAAATGATGGAGCATCATTTTCTCAGGCGCTGAGATCACGATATTGGATGGTAAACAACCTAGATCTCTCTTCACCTTCCAAGAGTGGCAACTTCGGCGCGCAGACATACCTGATAAAGGAAGACGAGGGCGAGCGCCATCACCTTACCTCCAATCGACTCGATTGCTGCGGTGCCACAGTATGTGGACACAGCCTACCATAAAGCCATAACAGTTCAAGCGCCAGAGGCGATTATGTTGTTGGCATTAATAGATCTAGAGCGATCAATGAGATTCTTATCACCAGATTTCGTGCGACTTCTGAAGATGATAGGATGATCTACTCGGCTCTACTTATGCAGAACCAGCAAGAACCACACCCTGTATGAAGCTAACGCTCATATATTGATCGATTTCTCGACACTTCGCCTAGGAAGTCCCAGGCCACCTCCGCGAAGGAGCTAGAGCCTCACCAGTTACGCTCACCAGCGGCGTAAAACAATACACTCACTCACTCCTGTTGAACACAGAGGTCGTTCGCGAAGCAAGCGCTCATATATTATATATATACTGATCGGGCTCTGACTCAATACCTTCGCGAAGGTCGCGAAGGCTAAGTGGCTCCAAGTCTACCTCACACAGGAAATCTAGATTGGATACTTCGAGAGCTTCGCGAAATCTCCGGCGTCCATCGAAATTGAACAGCAGCCTTGTTACAGCGAGTATAACTCATAATCGTCAAAGTTTCTGAGAAGAAATATGTACAACAAGTTCAGCTTTAATTCTACAATTATGACGATACATTCATGTATACAGTCTACAAGCTGACAACTTGCAAGTTTATTGTACCTTTATATAAGAAAGTCGGAATTATATTCAAAACTGAAGTTACTTTCACGACAGCCAGGAAAATAACCTACCCAGCATTAATATTACAGAGCGAGGTATTTCGCGCCGGAGGTTTCGCGCGTTTACCTTTAACCCTTGAAACACGTGGTCACTCGGGTAACTTCGGGAAGCTACGGTGAAGACCGACGATTATGCTAATATCAACGACGGCAACATTTTATACAAGGTTTTTTCCTGCTACACCGGTGACATCACAGCGCGGGTATTCTACAGAATCAAAATGCCTTGTTCTGATTGGACCGCGTTGGACAACGACCTACGCAGAGGTCGATCTTTCTTCACAGGTCAACACTTACGTTACAAGTGACAACTATATTTCAGTGAACGAGCAAGCCTCCTTACAGTCCAGTTAATCTGAACCTTCATGATTGGGCTGCTTTCTTCAGGTTAGAGACCTCCCCTGTCAAGTTAGGACGAGGGCACGGCAGTCAGGCAATTTTACATAAACTTCAACGAGGACAGACACACCTGGTTGTGCACCTACATCGTCAAGGACTTCGCAGCGAATAACCTAGACGACGGGATACAAGTGGATCTAAATCCACAGCGTCTCAGACTACAGCTGAATTTCATAATCAAGCTACTAACACAACTAGATGGTTAGTAAACCTACTTAAACTTTCTGATTGAAGAATTAAAACGGAAGTTTCACCCTCCAACTTGAGGATCTGAATATAGTGCTCCAACACCTCACAAGTGAGGTTTATGAACACGCCTGGATGACATACTTGGACTTTATGATATGATGATTCTATCACGATGGCCAGCAAGAGCACTGTAAATTTATCTCCACCGAACCAAACAGAAGGGAATAATACAACAGATTATTTCCTCTATCATCAACTTAAGCAGAATGAAATCTCACGTACTATATCTCCGTTTGGATCAGAACTGTCATACTACGTGCATACAAGACGGATGGACCCAATCCGACCCTCCATGAGCTTTTTAATACTCATGATATTAGAGCGCTAACTTCTGCATTGATCTACACAATGTTATTTGAAATAATGGAGGGTTTATTTTCTGGAGATCCGATATGGTGGTTGCCAACCATTATCTGAGAGATATCATCACCGAGGACGTCTCAGGTATCCACCAATTCGATCCCATGGTCCTCGCACTACAGTTGACAGTTCCTCGGAGAAGATAAGTCAATCTCACAGATTTCTACTTATCTTATAACAGTACTAAATAGCTACATGCTATATATAATTTGCTTAAGTTCTTTTTATCATCACAGTACTATGATTATTACATCATACAATATATAAGTTAACAACTCTACAGAGTTGGTTATTATATATTTACCTTAACTTAATTATATCTTAAGCATAGTACTATACTCAGATTGTAAAAATATATAAGCTAACAAACTCTACAGAGTTTGGGCTTTTATATAGGTAGCTTAAGCTTATTCATATCTTAAGCTCAGTACTATGTTTATATCATATAGGTATTTTAGCTATCAAAACTCTAAAAGAGTTTTTTGCTATTATATATTTGGCTTAAGTTTCATCATAATTTAAGCTTTATGGTTACATTATAACTTGTATTAGCTAACAAACTCTACGGAGTTTTTTTTTTGCTATTATATATGTAGCTTAAGTTTCCTTCAAATCTTAAGCTCAATACTATGTTTTTATCACATAAGTATATTAGCTAACAAACTCTACGGAGTTTTTGCTATTATATATGTAGCTTAAGTTTTCCTTCATAAACTCAATACTAGGTTTATATCATATAAGTATTTTAGCTAACAAACTCTAAAGGGTTTTTTGCTATTATACAATTAGCTTAAGTTTCATCATATCTTAAGCAGTATGGTTACATTATAAAATGTATTAGCTAACAAAACTCCACGGAGTTTTGCTATTATATATATAGCTTAAGTTTAATTATATCTTAAGCTCAGTACTATGGTTATAACATAAAAGTATATTAGTTAATAAACTCTAAGGAGTTTTTTTGCTATATACATTTAGCTTAAGTCTAATCTTATCTTAAGCTTAGTACTATGGTTACATTATTAATCTATAAGCTAATAAACTCTACAGAGTTTGGCTATTATATATGTAGCTTAAGTTAATTATATCTTAAGCACAGTACTATACTCATATTGTAAAAATATATTAGCTAACAAACTCTACAGAGTTTTGCTATTATATATGTAGCTAAAGCTTATTCATATCTAAAGCTCAGCATTATATATATATCATATAAGTATATTAACTAACAAACTCTAAAGAGTTTTGCTATTATATAATTAGCTTAAGTTTAATCATATCTTAAGCTTAGTACTATGTTTATATCTTAAAAGTATTTTAGCTAACAAACTCTAAGGAGTTTATACTAGCATATTAACAAGCTTAAGTCTATTAGTCTTAAGCATTGTATTAATGTTATATATACTTTATCATAATAAGTACTTTGTAATAACCTTTATATGGCAGCTGATAAGTTAGCAGCAGGAATTCATCAGTTCAGTACCTTTATGAAGTTCCCATAGGGTTATTACAATCATCACAGTTCAAATCACTAATTATTAAAATCCAAAGTATTATATTTTTCCCACCTCCTTTTCCGTCCGAGAGTCTACAAGCAAAAGAGCATGAGTCAGGATAAGGAAAAATATGTAATTTTAGAGTAAAATTGATATTTTATACTTATCCTGACTCATGAGGTAAGCCCTCCCATCCTCCCCACATAACACTTTGGATTTCCCTGTAAATTCAAATGTTGGGCTCAGTATATGAGGAGAGAGTGAGGCACATGGGTGGAGGTGGCGCCCTCGTTCCCGCGCTTGTGGAAGGGAGGTAACTCGTGCTGAGTACTAATTAGTGATTTTACATTGAAGGGAGCTTCAATTAGGGAGATACAAGTGTTCCACTATGTTCGCAAGAAGAAGAAGACAAGCAAAAAGAGCATGAGTCAGGATAAGTATAAAATATCAATTTTACTCTAAAAATTACATATTTGATGATGTGAAAGAAAATCCTGTGATTCCCTTGCAGCTCCGTGGCGCTGTGTAAACTGCTGCAACATGCTGTGTCAAGCAACGATCCTCGCTTGCAGAACATCACCGTCCGGGGAGAGCAGATCGTGCAGCAGAATGGAGGTGTGAGAACACGCTCCAAGAGTGCGTCAGGTGGGTCAGTCAATCTGCTCCCACCAAGCCCTCTAGTGGAGAGGATGTGTGTTGCCGCAGTAGTAACCCCCGTACATACTCCAGAACCACAAACTGTCCCATATTCTATTCCTCGTGGAGCCCTAATGCCGATTTGTAACGCTCTTTGTGTGCTCCAGCAAAGCGCATGTGTAGTGGTCTTATAACATGTACAATATGATTCACTGCTTGAGATACTTTCCTTCATATATGTGAGGACTTACATTTTGATAGTGCAACTATTTATTTAGTTGATAAGTTGTTAAATGTGTGCTATCTATATAGTACCAACCAAATACACATAAAGTTGCTTCGTAAAAAATTAAGGCACACATTTGAAGTGTCCAGATGTACATTATGACAAGGGTTGTTCGTCTGGATGTTTAACCTCTTAAAAAAGTGAGGATGTTTGATGGAGAGGCTGCTGTAACCTGTGTGGGTGGGGAGACTGCTGTAACCAAGGTGGGTGGAGAGGCTGCTGTAACCAAGGTGGGTGGGGAGACTACTGTAACCTGTGTGGGTGGGGAGACTGCTGCAACCTGTGTGGGTGGGGAGACTGCTGTAACCTGTGTGGGTGGGAGGCTGCTGTAACCAGTGTGGGTGGAGAGGCTACTGTAACCGGGGTGGGTGGAGAGGCTACTGTAACCGGGGTGGGTGGAGAGGCTACTGTAACCGAGGGTGGGTGGGGAGGCTACTGTAACCGTGTGGGTGGAGAGGCTACTGTAACCGGGGTGGGTGGGGAGGCTGCTGTAACCAGTGTGGGTGGAGAGCTGCTGCTGTAACCAGGTGGGGTGGAGAGGCTACTGTAACCTGCTGGGTGGAAGGCTACTGTAACCGTGGGTGGAGAGGCTGCTGTAACCAGTGTGGGTGGAGAGGCTTCTGTAACCGGGGTGGGTGGGGAGGCTGCTGTAACCAGTGTGGGTGGAGAGGCTTCTGTAACCAATGTTCAGTGGTGTTTCAGACCCAGAAGAATGGACTACAGTGCCTCTGCTGGTCAAGATCTACAAGCTGCTCATCAATGAGTTGTCCAACCAGATAGAGTCCAGTCTGTCTGCACAGGTTGGAGAGGATGAGGTACATAGTAGTAGGTGTCAGGTTGGGGGAGATGTACTCAAAGGCAAAAGTTATCATCACAAACAGCAAACTGAATGAGTGTTAGGCTGCTCATGAATGCAGTGTTATTACATGGACACATTTCAAGGTATGGTAACAATTAGAACACCTGACATATGCAAATGAGCCACAACACAAGATGGGGTTCACAAGCAAGGGTCCACCTTGTGCATTAATGCAGACCTGGCCCCTTCACTTCCTTGAGGCCAATAAACAGGGATGAATGTCCTGGGGAAGATCATTCCATATGTGAAGAAGGTTTCAGCAGAGTTCACCTGTGGGTTCCCCTGTTGGTTCACCTGTTCACCTGTGGGTTCACATGTAGACAGCTTGGTGAAGGAGACATGACTCATCAGTGAGGAAAACTCTTTTCCATTCATTTCACTGCCGCTGTTACAGGTCATTGGCTCCCTCCCTCTGCAAGCAGTCTGCGGTCTGCTGTTTATTTTGTTGACAGTTTCATAGACAGATTCTTTAATACAAATGCATAAAATCGGTGATTTACAATGTGATTAGGGCATCCGACAAAACATCTTGCACAGTTTGAGATCGATTGGGTCATTGGATGAAGAGATATTGACAAAAAATCGGGTCCACATGCATTTCATGCCAAACTATACACCTCTGTTGCCAGGTATGGTACGGACTGTTCTCGTAGATACACCTCTGTTGCCAGGTATGGTACGGACTGTTCTCGTAGATACACCTCTGTTGCCAGGTATGGTACGGACTGTTCTCGTAGATACACCTCTGTTGCCAGGTATGGTACGGACTGTTCTCGCAGATACACCTCTGTTGCCAGGTATGGTACGGACTGTTCTCGTAGATACACCTCTGTTGCCAGGTATGGTACGGACTGTTCTCGTAGATACACCTCTGTTGCCAGGTATGGTACGGACTGTTCTCGCAGATACACCTCTGCTGCCAAGAATGGTACGGACTGTTCTCGTAGATACACCTCTGTTGCCAGGTATGGTACGGACTGTTCTCGTAGATACACCTCTGTTGCCAGGTATGGTACAGACTGATCTCGTAGATACACCTCTGTTGCCAGGTATGGTACGGAAATTGTACTGGGTGCTTGATACGAATTGTACTGGATGGGTGATACAAATTGTACTGGATGGGTGATATGAATTGTACTGGGTGGGTGATATGAATTGTACTGGGTGGGTGATATGAACTGTACTGGGTGGGTGATATGAATTGTACAGGAAGGGTGATATGAATTTTGCTGGGTGGGTGATATGCATTGTACTGGGTAGGTGATATAAATTTTACTGAATATGAATTGGACCGAGTGTGTGATATGAATTGAACTGGGCAGATGATCTGTTCAGATGGGCAAGATTGGTTGGTGGCTTGAGTTGGGATAGACAAGATGTATCTTTGGGTTTTCAGATGTTAAAGTGGAGCAGATGTTTGGGTGGTTAGATGTTTGCATGTTGCAGATGTTAGGTGGGCAAGTTATTTGGATGGGTAGATCTTAGGGTTTTTAGATGTTTGGGTGGGGAGTATGCAGGGCAGATGGTTTGGTGGGGCTGATGCTAAGGTGGGGGAGATATTTGGATGAGCAGATGTTTGGGATGGAGATGATGTTTGGTTTTACAAGACGTGTTCAGGTGGGCAGCATAAATTAGAGCTCTAGTGACTGTATATGATGATGCAGGGAGAAGGATGGGAGGAAGAGGAGGAAGATGACCTGGATGATGACATCGCTATCGGTGGACAGAGTTTGTCTGAGCTTATAGACCAGTATGCTGGCGAGTATGGAGGTCTTGATCTTGATGACGAAGAGGACGACGATCCAGATGCTCAAGCAGATCCCACCAACCAGATCAACCTGCAGGTCAGTACCAGGTGTCCCCCTTTCTGTATGTAGCTGATGCCCTCCCTACCTGTATGCAGCAGGTGCCCCTCCCTTTCTGTATGTAGATGGTGCCCCTCCCTTTCTGTATACAGTTGGTGCCCTCCTTTCCTGTATAGCGTGGGTGCCCTCCCTTACTGTATGTAGTAGGTGCCGCTCCCTTGCTGTAACAGGTGCTGCACCCTTGCTGTATGTAGCTGGTGCCCTCCCTATCTGTAGGTACCCCTCCCTGGCTGTATGTAGCAGGTGCCCCTCCCTTGATGTAAGTAGCTGGTGCCCCTCCCTGGCTGTATGTAGCAGGTGCCCCTACCTGGCTCTATGTAGCAGGTGCCCCTCCCTTGATGTACGTAGCTGGTGCCCCTCCCTGGCTGTATGTAGCTGGTGCCCCTCCCTTGCTGTACGTAGCTGGTGCCCCTCCCTTGCTGGATGTAGCTGGTGCCCCTCCCTATCTGTATTTAGCTGGTGCCCCTCCCTTGCTGTATGCAGCTGGTGCCCCTCCCTTGCTTTGTATGTAGCTGGTGCCCCTCCCTTGCTGTATGTAGCTGGTGCCCCTCCCTTGCTGTATGTAGCTGGTGCCCCTCCCTTGCTGTATGCAGTTGTTGCTGCTACTCCCACTGCCTTTGTTGTATGTGACACATGCCCAGTGTTCAGACATGTGAATTTTCCACAGATTTCTGGGATTTTTGTTTCATTTTTAACGTTTTTGTGATCGGTGTAAATCTGCAATAAAAGAACCCTGGCTAAATTTTCAGTGTTTTTTATGCCCATATATGGCTGGGGGCATATAGGGTTACCCTCCGTCCGTACAAAACAGGGAATGTACTCTATCCACTTCTCCACAAAAAACGCACTGTGGAATTCAATGAACTTATACTCTAATGGTGTGCATCTTATATTTTGTTTTTGTATTTTATTGGGTTTTTTTTGTAAGACATTTGAACTTAGGTACATTTTGCTGAATTTCTCTATGATGATAGTGTAATAGGGGATGAAGTCTATCCACTTCTCCACAAAAACTGCTCAACAGAATTGAATGAACTTCTACATGTCTATCGTAGGGACTCTAAGGGTGTGCATTTCATAATTCTTTGTGCAATTTCTTAATTTTGTCACTTTTACAGATGTTTGAACTTAGTTGAATTTGGTTTTATTCATCCTGTCCATCCCATACAACTGGGGGTGTACTTAATCCACTTTTCCTCAAAAAACACTGCACAAAACTCATTTAGCTTAAGTCTTTTATAGACTCTAAAGGTGTGCATCTGATATTTTGTTTTTGTATTTTATAGTTTTTAGTACGTGTAGACATTTGAAGACAAAAACTGCTCAACAGAATTTATTAAGCTTATACATGTGTTTCATTGGGTGTGCATCTCATAGTTCCATAGATGTTTATTGAACTTGTTCGTGAATTTTGTTCAATTATTGATCTTTATATGTCTTATGAATGTTAGCGGGGGCATCCGTGTCCCTGGACACAATTTTTTCTTGTTTGTGCTTTGCCATCTGAGTGTTTTTACAGTATTGTTGCCTGTCTTCCAGAGTTACCTGACCGAGTACCTGAAGGTGTTTGCCAGCTCACAGTGCTACTCGCTCTTCAGCTCACACCACAACGAGTCTGAGAAGCAAGTCCTACGTTCCATCAGAATCAGTGTGTGACCTTCTTTATAGGCAGTTCAAGTGCACTGGATGATGGAAACTGTGAACTTTGGTGTGGTTGTGCAATATGGCGCCATGAATGTTGACATTTCTCCAGATTGAATTGTGGCAAACCTTTCAGTACACAGTCAGCCAGATGCTGGTGCTGCTACTAGTTGATGGACTGAACAGATCTGTGATTTCTACTGATATTTAATTTCAGACTTAACAGTTTTATTATTTGAAGTAAATGAAATTAGTTTTCATATGTTTATGATCCTTACTCTGTGCTCTAGACAGTAGTTAAATCTACTCCCAGTTATTCATCCTTCCATTCTCCAGGGCAGTTGCCCAACTAGTCAGTGGCTACAATTGTTTAGGCTACAGGTGTCCAGGTAGTCAGTGGTATTGTTCTACTGGGCTACAGGTGTCCAGGTAGTTTGTGACACTGTTCTGCTAGGCAACAGGTGTCCAGGTAGTCTGTGATACTGTTCTGCTAGGCAACAGGTGTCCAGGTAGTCTGTGATACTGTTCTGCTAGGCAACAGGTGTCCAGGTAGTTTGTGACACTGTTCTGCTAGGCAACAGGTGTCCAGGTAGATTGTGACACTGTTCTGCTAGGCAACAGGTGTCCAGGTAGTCAATGATACTGTTCTGCTAGGCAACAGGTGTCTATGTAGTCAGTGATACTAGGCTGTAGGTGTCCAGGTAATTGGTGATACTGTTCTGCTAAGCTACAGGTGTCCAGGTAGTGTGTGATACTGTGTGGCTGCATACTGGGCTGCAGGTGTCCAGGTAGTCAGTGATACTGTTCTGCTAGGCTTCAGGTGTCCAGGTAGTCCGTGATGCTGTTCTGCTAGGCTTCAGGTGTCCAGGTAGTCCGTGATGCTGTTCTGCTTGGCTGCAGGTGTCCAGGTAGTCAGTGATACTGTTCTGCTAGACAACAGGTGTCCAGGTAGTGTGTGATACTGGGCTGTAGGTGTCCAGGTAGTCAGTGATACTGTTCTGCTAGGCTGCAGGTGTCCAGGTAGTGTGTGATACTGTTCTGCTGGGCTGCAGGTGTCCAGGTAGTGTGTGATACTGTTCTGCTAGGCTACAGGTGTCCAGGTAGTTGGTCATACTGTTCTGGGACCCGTTCCTCAAGGCGATCGTAGCGCTAAGATGATCGTCACTCCCATACTTCAACACAGACTTACGACTGTCGTAGCGCTACGATCGCCTTGAGGAACGGGGCCCTGTTCGGCAACAGGTATCTTGGTGATACAAGGAGGGTCTTGGAACAGCTTATCAGGCTGTTCTGGTCAGTCAGTCCAGTCTCTTACAGTGACAGTCATACAGAACACCCTACTTGTCAACACCTTGTAAAATGTCCACAGTATTAATTGTTTGCCACCGTTTTGTTACATTTATCACGGTATGTCTTGTAAATACATGTAATATTTTTAAACAGGACAAATCCTACTTTTGTAATTAATTGTACATAAACACTATCAACCAACATGTTGTCCATGTTTACTTTCCTTAAATGAAACAATGTTATATTTAAGATGACACTTTCTTAGTAAAGTACAGATTCTAGTACTTTAGTTTGGTTGATTCCCATCCAAGATTCGAACTCACACTCTCAGAGTCAGGCACCTTATCACCAGCACATAAAGGCAGATGGCGAGCCCACACAGCCGGAGGAGACTCAACCCAACAAAAGTACTAGATCAGTACTTTACTGAGAAAGTGTAATCCCAAATATAACATGGTGTGTTTGTGTCGACAGTCCTTTCTCCAGTCCCGACACACTTCACCAGCTCTGGATAGATCAACAAAAATCTGGTGTTAGCCCTTTCAGATGGCGATAGTGTATTCACTTGCAAAGGTCAAACTTCCACATCTCACCTCACTGTCAGCTGTATGGAGAAGGTCCCCAGTACCTCACTGTCAGCTGTACGGAGAAGGTCCCCAGTACCTCACTGTCAGCTGTACGGAGAAGGTCCCCAGTACCTCACTGTCAGCTGTACGGAGAAGGTCCCCAGTACCTCACTGTCAGCTGTACGGAGAAGGTCCCCAGTACCTCACTGTCAGCTGTACGGAGTAGGTCCCCAGTACCTCACTGTCAGCTGTACGGAGAAGGTCCCCAGTACCTCACTGTCAGCTGTACGGAGTAGGTCCCCAGTACCTCACTGTAAGCTGTACGGAGTAGGTTCCCTGATCAAGTCATCTAGTCTGACTACTAGATCCTTCAAATTACTTCATACAATCATAATCAAAACATCAGACCAACCCCACGAGTTTTTTGCAGAATTTATGTCCTAATAATAAAAAAGTTGTTTAACAAACTATCATTAAAATATTTACAAAGTTCACTATTTAGTGCAGAGAAAGGGACATACAGGTGTACGAGAAGCATGTGCACAAGTGCCGTTGCACACCCATGTGTTCCTCTGTTTGCACAGAGTATTATATGTTTATTTATTCTCGAGTTGAATTGGGAAATATACAATTCATCGGTCCGCTTTTGAGCCAGAAGTAAAAATGTTATGTATATTTACTATCATAAAAACTATTTCACATCACACATCTTTCTCTCCAGCAGGTCACTTACCTGTCCCTTTCACAGAAATAACAAAGACTCACAAGCACTTTGACAATTTATCATCAAAGCTTTACAAAGCTACTGTACAGACCACAGTTGAGCAAATAAAATATATACACAATAATTATCTGATAACAAGCAACATTGAGTCCATGTTACTAGAAGCTGCCTTAGGTTTTTTTCTTGCGTCCCCTCTTTTTGCCTTTGGGTTTTCCATCCTTGGGTTTCCCCCCCTTTGGAGCTCTGGCTCTGATTTCCTGACAGCGAGGACAGTACCACTCATCCTCCTTGGGTTCCTCGGTGATGTTCATGCATGTCCTGCAATGTCACACAACAGCCTTGTTTATCAAGTCACAGGCTCAAAGACAGTTTGTTGTGAGTTGCAACTCTCACAGTGGACCAAGTGTACTGCCCTGTCATTACTTTGTTTATTCATCAGAAAGTTTAATTCTGTTCAGTCTCCTATACAGGGGACCCGACCTTATAGAAAAACATATCACTACATGGAACTCACCCCAACAGGCAACTCTTCCATACAGGGAACTCACCCTTATAGAAAAACATCCCTACATGGAATTCACCCCAACAGACAGGAGATAGAAGGCACAGTACTATACCACAGATAAGGCAGCAGAGTCCAGGAGACAGAAGGGACAGTACTACACTACAGATAAGGGCAGGAGAGTCCAGGAGACAGAAGGGACAGTACAACACTACAGATAAGGGCGGGTGAGTCCAGGAGATAGAAGGGACAGTACTACACTACAGATAAGGGCAGGAGAGTCCAGGAGACAGAAGGGACAGTACTACACTACAGATAAGGGCAGGAGAGTCCAGGAGACAGAAGGGACAGTACTACACTACAGATAAGGGTGGGAGAGTCCAGGAGACAGAAGGGACAGTACTACACTACAGATAAGGGTGGGAGAGTCCAGGAGACAGAAGGGACAGTACTACACTACAGATAAGGGCAGGAGAGTCCAGGAGACAGAAGGGACAGTACTACACTACAGATAAGGGCAGGAGAGTCCAGGAGACAGAAGGGACAGTACTACACTACAGATAAGGGCAGGAGAGTCCAGGAGACAGAAGGGACAGTACTACACACTACAGATAAGGGCAGGACAGTCCAGGAGACAGAAAGGACAGTACTGACACTACAGATAAGGGCAGGAGAGTCCAGGAGACAGAAGGGACAGTACAACACTACAGATAAGGGCGGGTGAGTCCAGGAGATAGAAGGGACAGTACTACACTACAGATAAGGGCAGGAGAGTCCAGGAGACAGAAGGGACAGAACAACACTACAGATAAGGGCCAGGGTGAGTCCAGGAGATAGAAGGGACAGTACTACACTACAGATAAGGGTGGGAGAGTCCAGGAGACAGAAGGGACAGTACTACACAACAGATAAGGGCAGAGGAGTCCAGGAGATAGAAGGGACAGTACTACACTACAGATAAGGGCAGGAGAGTCCAGGAGACAGAAGGGACAGTACTACACTACAGATAAGGGTGGGAGAGTCCAGGAGACAGAAGGGACAGTACTACACAACAGATAAGGGCAGAGAGAGTCCAGGAGATAGAAGGGACAGTACTACACTACAGATAAGGGCAGGAGAGTACTACAGAAGGGACAGTACTACACTACAGATAAGGGCAGGGAGAGTCCAGGAGACAGAAGGACAGGACAGTACTACACACTACAGATAAGGGCAGGAGAGTCCAGGAGACAGAAGGGACAGTACTACACTACAGATAAGGGCAGGAGAGTCCAGGAGACAGAAGGGACAGTACTACACTACAGATAAGGGCAGGAGAGTCCAGGAGACAGAAGGGACAGTACTACACTACAGATAAGGGCAGGAGAGTCCAGGAGACAGAAGGGACAGTACTACACTACAGATAAGGGCAGGAGAGTCCAGGAGACAGAAGGGACAGTACTACACTACAGATAAGGGCAGGAGAGTCCAGGAGACAGAAGGGACAGTACAACACTACAGATAAGGGTGGAAAGTCCAGGAGACAGAAGGGACAGTACTACACTACAGATAAGGGTGGGAGAGTCCAGGAGACAGAAGGGACAGTACTACACTACAGATAAGGGTGGGAGAGTCCAGGAGACAGAAGGGACAGTACTACACTACAGATAAGGGCGGGAGAGTCCAGGAGACAGAAGGGACAGTACTACACAACAGATAAGGGCAGAGGAGTCCAGGAGACAGAAGGGACAGTACAACACTACAGATAAGGGCGGGTGAGTCCAGGAGATAGAAGGGACAGTACTACACTACAGATAAGGGTGGGTGAGTCCAGGAGATAGAAGGGACAGTACTACACTACAGATAAGGGTGGGAGAGTCCAGGAGACAGAAGGGACAGTACTACACTACAGATAAGGGTGGGAGAGTCCAGGAGACAGAAGGGACAGTACTACACTACAGATAAGGGTGGGAGAGTCCAGGAGACAGAAGGGACAGTACTACACTACAGATAAGGGTGGGAGAGTCCAGGAGACAGAAGGGACAGTACTACACTACAGATAAGGGCAGGAGAGTCCAGGAGACAGAAGGGACAGTACTACACTACAGATAAGGGCGGGTGAGTCCAGGAGACAGAAGGGACAGTACTACACTACAGATAAGGGAAGGAGAGTCCAGGAGATAGAAGGGTACTACACTAGATAAACTGGGATGGTAAAAATCAGATCTCACCAATGGTACCAATCATCACACGTGTCACAGCCGATCATTGGGCTCCCATCGTCCTGCATCTTACATGAAGGGCAGATCCACACCTTGTTGCCATCAGCATCCTACAACATCACAGGACACAAGTCACATACACGAGTCCAAGGGATGCATGTAAATATACTATAGACAGAACACTGGTTGTCTGAATCAAAATAAGACATGGATATTTAACAAAAACAGTGGTATGCATCCAGACAACCCACATAACATGGGGAAGGGGCGTGTATCAAGACAACCCAGGTAACATGGGGCAGGGCTATGTATCAACACAACCCACATAACATGGGGAAGGTGTATCATGACAACCCACATAACATGGGGAAGGGCCGTGTATCAAGACAACCCAGGTAACATGGGGCAGGGCGATGTATCAACACAACCCACGTAACACACTCCAACAGTTTCAGCCACAACTGACAATGAATGATCCTACAATTTCAGCCACGACTTACAATAAATGATCCAACAGTTTCAGCTACCACAGTCCTCTGAACAATGGGTCCTGTGATAGGAGTTTCGCTGACGGTCTCTGACGTCACAGATGGGACAGACTTGGTCCTGGATTTTGCTGCTGCTCTTGTGTCCCCTGCGTTCTCCTCCTTGGGCTTGCGACCACGCTTCCCCTTTGGTGAAGGTTTTGTTTCTGCTTTCACTTTGGGGGATGATTTAGCTGGTTTGGGTTTGGGCTCAGGTTCTGGATCCTTCTCCGACTCGGAGTCAATATCCATCTGTAGATGGGGGGAGGAGGGGGAGTGTTGGGGGGATGATTTCACTGAATGAACATGTGATGGGGATGGGGTCCTTGGAGGTAATGGGAACTGCTGATGGGCTGGAGGGGACTTAGGTGATGGGGAACAGGATAATGGAGTTGGAGATTTGCAAACAGGAGAACTCAAAGGAGATCGTAACTTTGGCTCTGGCGATGGTGTGAGAAGTTTCTCGGGTGTGGGAGACCGAGGGGGAGGGGATGGTGAGGGCAAAGGGGAGTGGGTGATTTGTGGACTTGGGGAGGTGGAGGGAGAGGGTGGGGGTGGAGGGAGGGAGTTGGAGACTTGGGAGGCGGGGTTTTGGGTTTCGGGGGTGGTGATGGAGATTGTGGGGGACTTTTGATCTTTGGAGGAGGTGGTAAGGGTGGTGGTGGGGATGGGGCTTTGGGAGGTGCCTGTGGGGGAGGAGTTGGAGGCTTAGCTGGAGACATAATAGCTGGTGATCGTGATGCTGCTCCCAGCTTGGCCTTGGCTTCCAAAGACTCACGGCGAATTGGCTTGATAACTCTGAAAAATATGCATGATATCCATCAATGCTCAATATCAAAACTTTCTGCAGTTTATCCACCTCAGAAAGAAAATCTCATGCAAACATTAATGAAGTTAATATCTGAAGTTCAAGTTGTGCAGGCGCCATGTTTGATTTTGATGCATGTGAGCAAATGTCATGGATGGACCAATGGATCAACACTGTGTCACCACTAGGTTTGAATAGAGACATGCCTGCCCTGGTGAACACATAATTTCCCTGGTGAACAAATGCCTGCCCTGGTGAACACATAATTTCCCTGGTGAACAAATGCCTGCCCTGGTGAACACATAATTTCCCTAGTAAACAAATGCCTGCCCTGGTGAACACATAATTTCCCTAGTAAACAAATGCCTGCCCTGGTGAACACATAATTTCCCTGGTGAACAAATGCCTGCCCTGGTGAACACATAATTGCCCTGGTGAACACATAATTTCCCTGGTGAACAAATGCTTTCCCTGGTAAACGAATGCTTTCCCTGGTAAACAAATGCTTTTCCTGGTCAACAAAGGCTTTCCCTGGTAAACAAATGCTTTCCCTGGTAAACAAATGCTTTCCCTGGTAAACAAATGCTTTTCCTGGTAAACAAAGGCTTTCCCTGGTAAACAAAGGCTTTCCCTTGTAAACGATTGCTTTCATCATCAACTTTCCAATTTGTTTCTTTTAGGCATTGCATTATAAGCAGGGACTTAGATTACTGTGTGTATTTTTCTGGTAAAGTGAGCTGGAAACAGAAATGCTGTTCATATATTTACCCTCATCTTATGGTCATTTAGTTGAAACGCATCCAGTTATATCACACAAATGAATTTTGATGCAGTGATTAGAAAAAAACGGTATCTCAAACTAATATCTTACCGAGAGATATATATTCTAGTATTGCCTTATTTTAATTTCATGTTTTACTATATAAATATAAAAGAATTAAAATTAGGTTATGCAGCAGCACTTTAGTGTATTATACTTTTTACATATTTTCAAGGCGTGAGTAGCGGCAATATCATTGTGGTTGATGTGGATCATGTAAACTGAAGTAGTCATTATCAGGGGCACACACAATTTTGCCACAATTAACAGAAACCCAATTGAATGATATTTTGAGTACAATTACTAAACTAGATTAGATACATCTGTCCAAATAGGCAAAGAACATGTTTTATTACTATATATTGTAACGACAGGCTTAACTTGCTTATTCAATAAGGATTTGTAGACAAGACTATTTCCGACAACTGATCATGATGAGATCACATACACTGGTCGTCGGCTCAGCCTAGTACCAGACATACCAGTTTGATAGTGATTTTAAGGGTCAAGTTAAGTGCCACAACCAACCACATACACACCAAATTTCATTAAACTTATTAAAAAGAAACCTGAATAATGACCATAAATAATTTTTCAGTTCAGGTTCAAACCTTTGGAGCTAACTGGACATACAGCATGGTGAGAACAAGTATGTGATGTCCAGCCTCCCTGGAGCAGATCAACAGAACCAGACAAAAGCTCACTAGACATTGAAAACAAACTGCTGTCTACTACACAGCGTATTTTGTGGCTTGTACTCACAGTCTGGGAATATCCCGTTTGGGTGACAACAGCGGCTCAGGCCGAGGCGTCTTGGGAGAAGCGAGGACAGTCTCTGTCTTTGGAGAGGTTATCTTGGTTTCTGTGACAACGGTGCTTGTTGCAGCTGACAGGCCCCCAAACTTGATGTTCAGCTTGATTGGGGCCACTGGACCTCCAGAAGGAACACTGCCCGACGCCTCCTACACAGTAACAATGTCCATCTGCATCAGCCATACACGCATCAATAGTACACACACTATGTAACTATGGCAACATATCTATTGTTACCTCCTTATTGGCACCAGGTATCGCCACTACCACAAAATGTTGGCGGCCACAGGTATAGAAACTCAACATTATGGTCACACAGGATCACACAATGGTCACATCATAGACCAACAGTAACACAGGATCACACAATGGTCACAACATGCAACACAACAGTATCACAGGATCACACAATGGTCCAATCAAGCAACAGTAACATATGATCACACAATGGTCACATCAAGCAACAGTAACACATGATCACACAATGGTCACATCAAGCAACAGTAACACAGGATCACACAATGGTCACATCACACAACAGTAACACACACGAACACACAATGGTCACATCACACAACAGTAACACAGGATCACACAATGGTCACACCACACAACAGTAACACAGGATCACACAATGGTCACATCAAGCAACAGTAACACATGATCACACAATGGTCACATCACGCAACAGTAACACATGATCACACAATGGTCACATCAAGCCACACTAACACACAGATCACACAATGGTCACATCAAGCAACAGTAGCACAGGACCACACAATGGTCACAACAACAGTAAACAGTAACACAGGATCACACAATGGTCACATCACACAACAGTAACACAGGATCACACAATGGTCACATCAAGCAACAGTAACACAGGATCACACAATGGTCACATCAAGCAACAGTAACACAGGATCACACAATGGTCACAACATGCAACAGTAACACACGATCACACAATGGTCACATCAAGCAACAGTAACACAGGATCACACAATGGTCACATCAAGCAACAGTAACACAGGATCACACAATGGTCACAACACGCAACAGTAACACAGGATCACACAATGGTCACATCACGCAACAGTAACACAGGATCACACAATGGTCACATCAAGCAACAGTAACACAGGATCACACAATGGTCACATCACACAACAGTAACACAGGATCACACAATGGTCACATCACACAACAGTAACACAGGATGACAATGGTCACATCACACAACAGTAACACAGGATCACACAATGGTCACATCACACAACAGTAACACAGGATGACAATGGTCACATCACACAACAGTAACACAGGATCACACAATGGTCACAACATGCAACAGTAACACAGGATCACACAATGGTCACATCACGCAACAGTAACACAGGATCACACAATGGTCACATCACGCAACAGTAACACAGGATCACACAATGGTCACATCAAGCAACAGTAACACAAGATCACACAATGGTCACAACATGCAACAGTAACACAGGATCACACAATGGTCACATCAAGCAACAGTAACACAGGATCACACAATGGTCACATCACACAACAGTAACACACGAACACACAATGGTCACAACACACAACAGTAACACAGGATCACACAATGGTCACATCACACAACAGTAACACACGAACACACAATGGTCACAACACACAACAGTAACAGGATCACACAATGGTCACATCACGCAACAGTAACACAGGATCACACAATGGTCACATCAAGCAACAGTAACACAGGATCACACAATGGTCACATCAAGCAACAGTAACACAGGATCACACAATGGTCACATCAAGCAACAGTAACACAGGATCACACAATGGTCACAACATGCAACAGTAACACAGGATCACACAATGGTCACATCAAGCAACAGTAACACAGGATCACACAATGGTCACATCAAGCAACAATAACAGAAGATCACACAATGGTCACATCAACACCAACAGTAACACAGGATCACACAATGGTCACATCAAGCAACAATAACAGAGAGATCACACAATGGTCACATCAAGCAACAATAACAGAAGATCACACAATGGTCACATCACACAACAGTAACACAGGATCACACAATGGTCACATCAAGCAACAGTAACACATGATCACACAATGGTCACATCATGCAACAGTAACACAGGCATCACACAATGGTCACATCACAATGCAACAGTAACACAGGATCACACAATGGTCACATCAAGCAACAGTAACACAGGATCACACAATGGTCACAACATGCAAAAAGTAACACAGGATCACACAATGGTCACATCAACAGTAACACAGGATCACACAATGGTCACATCAAGCAACAGTAACACAGGATCACACAATGGTCACATCAAGCAACAGTAACACAGGATCACACAATGGTCACATCAAGCAACAGTAACACAGGATCACACAATGGTCACATCAAGCAACAGTAACACAGGATCACACAATGGTCACATCACACAACAGTAACACAGGATCACACAATGGTCACATCACATCGCAACAGTAACACAGGATCACACAATGGTCACATCAAGCAACAGTAGCACATGATCACACAATGGTCACATCACACAACAGTAACACAGGATCACACAATGGTCACAACACAAACAGTAACACAGGATCACACAATGGTCACAACATGCAAAAGTAACACAGGATCACACAATGGTCACATCAAGCAACAGTAACACAGGATCACACAATGGTCACATCAACGCAACAGTAACACAGGATCACACAATGGTCACATCAAGCAACAGTAACACAGGATCACACAATGGTCACATCACGCAACAGTAACACAGGATCACACAATGGTCACATCAAGCAACAGTAACAGAAGATCACACAATGGTCACATCACGCAACAGTAACACAGGATCACACAATGGTCACATCAAGCAACAGTAACAGAAGATCACACAATGGTCACATCAAGCAACAGTAACACAGGATCACACAATGGTCACATCAAGCAACAGTAACAGAAGGATCACACAATGGTCACATCAAGCAACAGTAACAGAAGATCACACAATGGTCACAACATGCAACAGTAACACAGGATCACACAATGGTCACATCAAGCAACAGTAACACAGGATCACACAATGGTCACATCAAGCAACAATAACAGAAGATCACACAATGGTCACATCAAGCAACAGTAACACAGGATCACACAATGGTCACATCAAGCAACAATAACAGAAGATCACACAATGGTCACATCAAGCAACAGTAACACAGGATCACACAATGGTCACATCAAGCAACAGTAACAGAAGATCACACAATGGTCACATCAAGCAACAGTAACACAAGATCACACAATGGTCACATCATGCAACAGTAACACAGGATCACACAATGGTCACATCAAGCAACAGTAACACAGGATCACACAATGGTCACATCACGCAACAGTAACACACGATCACACAATGGTCACATCAAGCAACAGTAACACAGGATCACACAATGGTCACATCACGCAACAGTAACACAGGATCACACAATGGTCACATCAAGCAACAGTAACACAGGATCACACAATGGTCACAACATGCAACAGTAACACAGGATCACACAATGGTCACATCAAGCAACAGTAACACAGGATCACACAATGGTCACATCAAGCAACAATAACACAGGATCACACAATGGTCACATCAATGCAACAGTAACACAGGATCACACAATGGTCACATCACGCAACAGTAACACAGGATCACACAATGGTCACATCAAGCAACAGTAACACAGGATCACACAATGGTCACATCACACAACAGTAACACAGGATCACACAATGGTCACATCAAGCAACAGTAACACAGGATCACACAATGGTCACATCATGCAACAGTAACACAGGATCACACAATGGTCACAACAAGCAACAGTAACACAGGATCACACAATGGTCACATCACGCAACAGTAACACAGGATCACACAATGGTCACATCATGCAACAGTAACACAGGATCACACAATGGTCACATCACACAACAGTAACACAGGATCACACAATGGTCACAACATGCAACAGTAACACAGGATCACACAATGGTCACATCATGCAACAGTAACACAGGATCACACAATGGTCACATCAAGCAACAGTAACACAGGATCACACAATGGTCACATCACGCAACAGTAACACAGGATCACACAATGGTCACATCAAGCAACAGTAACACAGGATCACACAATGGTCACATCACGCAACAGTAACACAGGATCACACAATGGTCACATCACGCAACAGTAACACAGGATCACACAATGGTCACATCACGCAACAGCATACAGCCTCTCTTTGCCAGCTCTCGACATACAAGACTTCAGCTGGCGTCTGTCCTACCTTGTCCTCCTTGTGGCGGTCCTCCTTCCTCTTGTCACGGGACTTCTCCTTGTCTTTATCTTTGTTCTTCTTCTTCTTCTCCTTGTCTTTCTTCTTTTCCTTTTTCTCCTTCTTGTGATCCTTATCCTACCGATACAAGATGGCTTATTTCACATACTTATCCTACCGATACAAGATGGCTTATTTCACATACTAACCCTACCGATACAAGATGGCTTATTTCACATACTATAGCATCCACCCTACCGATACAAGATGGCTTATTTCACATACTAACCCTACCTATACAAGATGGCTTATTTCACATATTAACCCCCTACCGATACAAGATGGCTTATTATTTAACACATACAATAGCATCCACCCTACCGATACAAGGCTTATTTCACATACTAACCCTACCGACATAAGATGGCATCTTTCACATACCCTACCGATACAAGATGGCCTATTTCACATACAATAGCATCCACCCTACCGATACAAGATGGCTTATTTCACATACTAACCCTACCGATACAAGATGGCTTATTTCACATACAATAGCATCCACCCTACAGATACAAGATGGCTTATTTCACATACTTATCCTACCAATACAAGATGGCTGATTTCACATACTTATCCTACCAATACAAGATGGCTTATCTCACATACACAACATTCACTCTACAGAGATACAAGATGGCTTATTTCACATACAGAACATCCACTCTACAGAGATACAAGATGGCTTATTTCACATTCAGAACATCCACTCTACAGGGATACAAGATGGCTTATTTCACATACAGAACATCCACTCTACAGGGATACAAGATGGCTTATTTCACATACATAACATCCATCCAACGGAGGTATGATATAAGATGACGTATTTCAGACTCTTAACTATCCATCCTACAGAGATACAAGACTGCATTTAACACACATGCAGGAGATATACCAAAAAATTTAAGTGGCACTTAGAAGCTGGTATGATGAAATTTTATGGATTGTCAACTTCTTTATTGCAATATTTTCAACATTAGCTAGCACCTACATCAAAACGTCCATAAAATGTGTTCCTCTTTGATATACAAGAAGAACTATGGGTAACATTTCTCCTTTAGTCATCTGATATGCTGACAAGATGGGAGGGTTACCTTGGTTACCTTGGACTTCTCCTTGTCCTTTTGCTTGTGTTTGAGATCAATCTTGAGAGTCATGAGTGGCGGCTGATCATCATCTGGTGGCGGATGGGGCTCCTCTCGGGGTGCAGGAGGAGCGGGAGGGGGTACTACTGGTGGGGCAGGGGGAGGAGGAGGAGGAGCAGGAGGGAGTGAGACTGGTGTGGGTGGAGTTGCAGCTGGAGGATGCTGGGCTCGTTTAGGGGAGGTGCCAGATTTAGGAGTGGCTTTCTTGGGTTGAGGGGGTAACAAAGATGGAGGGCTTTCTGGAAAGTCATACACACTGTACTCTTTGGCAGAAAACTTGTCTAGTACTGAGGGTTTTTTGTCAGGCTGGAACAAATCTAGTTTCTCTGTTTTCACTTTCAATTTGTCCTTAAGTTTATCTTTTGCAGAACCTAATTTATCTTTTTTCCCACCCTTTTTCTTGGGTTTCTTTTCTGCTTTTTCTTTCACTTTCTTGTTGCTTTGTTCTTGTATCAAGACCGGTGGCGGTATGTCCCTAACCAAAGGAGGTAACTCCTCCACCACACGCTTCACCACCTCCTCAACACTAGTACTGACACTAGGCACCAATTCCACTTCCTCTGAAGACTGTCGTATCACTGAGTCAATACTTTCGTCAATCGACTGAGAGTCTGATTTCTCTTTCTTTTCTTTCTTTTTCTGTTTATCAGAATCTTTACCTGATTTCACTTTGTCCTTCTTTTTACCTTTAACAATTTTGGGTGACATATCCACTGACACCTCCTCACTGAAGGTAAAGGTATCAGTTTTGTCCTTGTGGGCTTGTGAGTCACGAATAACACTTTCAATACTATCATCAATGAGAGCCAGTCGGGCCAGCCGAGCTTCTTTAGTGTTCTTTACCCGCACATCCCCCTCTGCAATCACCAGCCGCTGAGGAGAGTCGTCACGGGAGTTGCTGGACAACTCCTCCTCTAGGGTGGGCACAAGCCGTGATGTGGAAGCAGTTTCTGGCCGGGACTGGGCTCCTTCTGCAGAGACTGGCTGTTGTTTGAACTGGGCTTCCGGATCTACCCTCAGAGGCTTATCAACAACTTTGGCTTTCTTGTCTTTGTGCTTGTGTTTAGAATCTGATTTGGTTTTGGGGGGATGAAAGTTTGGGTGAACTAAGTCTGGCTTTCTCTCCTTTGTGCAAGTCTAATTTCGATGAGAGAAGCAAGTCCTTGAGACAACTTTCCCCTTGAATCCCCCCACCCCCACTTGGTGCCACACTATTGTCACTTTTCTTCATGTTCTTGTCCTTGGATTTCATCTTGTTCTTGGGTTTGGTGTTCTTGGTCACAAGAGGGGATACCTGTTTGGGTGGCCGGGCCAGTTTCCCCACCTTGGGCGACCGCGGCATACCCGAGGTGGCATCATCCGCTGCCATTTGTTTATACTGCTTCAGCATCTTCTTTTTGGGTGCCACTTTCTCCATGCAGTTGATGGACTTGTCGAGGTGATCTGCACCACCATCCTTGCCATCTCGTTTGTCTGCAAGTTTAGGAAGCTGGTCCTTGTTTTCTCGTCCCTTCTCCTTGTCCTCCTTGAACTGCAGCGCTTGCCTGAATGTGGGTGGTGTGCGAGCATCGGGCAGTTTGCCCTGCCTTGTTGGTGTGAGCACACCCGCTTGGGTTCATCAGGACAATCTTCATCTCGTACTGGGAGTGGCCAGCCTCTTCCGGCAGATTCGTCAGTCTGGGACAAAAACATATAGCTTTGTTATAGCTTGAGGCACTACAGGCAGAAACGTTCAAATTTTGCCTTGCATATTGACTAAAAAATCCATGAAAATTGTGACAGTTCTTCATATCCAAAATTCAGAGGTAATGTAACACTGCACTCTATGCCAAACTGAACAGCATTAGCATCAGCCATTAACAAGAAGACAAAGTCATCAATATCCCTACACTATATGAATATGTCTACTAGTCATGATTATGTCAAATGTTTTGGAGTGTATATAGCAAAGTGGAAGGCGAGTATTGAAAGTTTTTAAGTTCTGCTCCAGAAAGGAGCACCAGAAAGGAGCACTACCACTAAATTCAGCTGAAGCCTAACTTGTTGCCATGGAAGACAAGATGACATCCTCATAGTCACAGCCTAAGTCATGTTTCCACGGAAACTACAAACTACAAAAATGTAATTTTCTGACAATTAAGCATGAATCAGGATAAGGAAAAATATGTAATTTTCTGACTAAAATTGATATTTTTCCTTATCCTGACTCATGCTTAATTGCTTGTCTTCTTCTTGCGAACTATAGTGGAACACTTGAATTCCCTTTTAAAGCTCCCTTAAAAAAAGTGGACGTAAAATCACTCACCCCAATTGCCTCCCTTGAGCCCATCTTTTGGCGCGAAAAAGGTCACATGATCGGCCATGCTTGTTACTCTCTCCGTTAATTGCAGGGAAATCCAGAGTGCCATGAGGGGAGGTTGGGAGGGCTAACCTCATGAGTCAGGATAAGTATAAAATATCAATTTTAGTCAGAAAATTACATATTTTTCCTTATCCTGACTCATGCTTAATTACTTGTAGAATCAGACGGAATCGGTGGTGGGTCAAGCCACTCTGGATTCTCTGCTGATTTACATCCTTATACCCCCCAGGGAACTTCTAATGGCATTTGTCCTTTCTTCCAGCTTCCTCTGATGAATGTGGGGGACCACAACTTGTCAGATTTATCCTGGAAATCTTCTCCTGACATTTTGTGTGGATTTATACGACTCCATCTCTTGATGCATGCATCAAGTGGAGAAGTGACCCTGCTTAAGTGTACAAGGGCAAATGTCCTTTTCAAGTACCGGGTCTATCACTTATGCTAGCCTGTCCTAGGCGTGATGCATACATGGACTCTAAAACCGTACTCTGTTGAGTGTTGGCTTTTACAAGTCAAGTGACAAAAGGGGTGAGATTTATCTCAGCGCCTTTGAGGTACCGTCAATTGTTGTGCTACAACAAGAGGCCCAAACTGGTGTATGCTGGAGACGTCCTCTGTAGCCATGTCTCTGAGGTAGTGGTTGGCAAACACCGTCTCCGATCTCCAAAAGCAGCCCTCCATTATTGTTGATATGGAGCAGTTTCCGTGCAGAGCTAGCATGGATGCCAGTGCTCTGACTTCATGAGGATTGGAGGCTCGTGGAGGATCAAGTCCTGCTGCTTTATAGGCTCTCAATATGACAAATCTCATCCATATTGATATGGTTGTACGTGAGACTTCTGTAGGTGTCTCCGTAGATAAAGGGATGAAAAGGCGCTTGAATTTTCGTCTCCTCAATTTAGATGTCTATAGATATATTTTCAATGCTCTGACAGGACATAAGGATCGGTCTTGCGTATCCTGTGGTCCTAATATCGACGAAAGTGCTGGGATATGGAATTGTCTGTCTGGTTGACCGGGCAGTTGATTCTTTGCTATAAAATCCCATCTTAGTCCCAGATGCACTGTGTCACGATGCGTGTCAAATCTTGTTCCTTCGAAGTCTAGAGCATGAATTTCTGACATCCTTGCCACTGTAGCTAAGGCTACGAGGAACAGTGTTTTATGAGTTAATTTCTCATATGATGTCCTTTCTAGTGGTTCGTAATCTTCGCTGGTAAGATGTTGTAGAACCACATTGAGATCCCAAGCGGCCGTCTTGAATTTTCTTTGTTGGTCTTCCAACTTGAATGAGCGTAGTAGTGCCAGTATCTCTGGTACTTTGGTCAGTTTTATACCCGTTTTCATCGTGATAACTGAGCTCAAGGCCGCTAGGTATGTAGAGAGTGTAGATCCCTTCATTGTTTTGTCTGTCTAAGATGACAAAGGTATTCCGCCACTGGAGGATGTGTTGCTTCCATTGCAGTGAAGCCTTTATTCCGAGCATATTTCTCAAAACTTTGCCACTTGTCATCATACAAGTTACGGGTTGATCTACGTAAGGCTAAAGTTACTGCTTTGGCTGCTCTGGTGGAATATCCTCTTTTCCTCAAGCACGTCGTGATACGCTCCATGCGTGTAGTTGAAACATAGTTAGGTTTCTGTGTGCTTGCTTGGTGTGTGGATGAATCAGTAGATTTGGATTTCCTATATCTTGTATGAGGTTGGGGAACCACTCTCTCGCTGGCCAGTAAGGCGCAACCAAAATCAGTTGTAACTTGTTCGTCATTTTGATTTTCTGTAATACCTTCGGTATTAGTGCCGGTGGAGGGAATGCGTACGCGTTTAGTCCTTCCCAAGATATGCTCAAGGCATCCGTTGCCCATGCTTGAGGATCTGGGACCGGAGAGACGAATGTTGGTAGTTGTTTGTTGAACTTGGTTGCGAACAAATCTACCAGTGGGAATCCTATTGTCCGAATGATGTCCTTGAATGCCTCTGGGTGTAGCATCCACTCTGCCGGGGACGGATTCATAGGACGGGATAGGGCGTCTGCTATCACATTTCTGGCTCCGGGAATGTGTGACGCTTTTATGTCGATATTCAGGTTGTCTACTATGCTGAATAGTTGAAAGCTGAGGTCCAACATGCTTCTTGATCTTGTTGACCCTTGTTTGTTGATGTAGAACGCCACTGTGGAGTTGTCCGTATGGATCATCAGTTGAGCGTTCCTTAGTATGCTTTACCAGTGTAGTAAGGCGTTTATAACTGCTTTCAACTCTAGCATGTTGATGTGCAGCTTTTGCTCCTGATTCGACCACTTTCCCGATGCCACTTTGTTGTTTAAGTGAGCTCTCCATCCTTGGTGGGACGCATCTGCGTAGAGATGAGTGTTGGATCCCACTCTGCTAAGTAGGTTCCTGCGCAGACATTCGACTTCTGTGTCCACCATAATAGGTATGGTTTCAGTTCGTTCGGTAGGACGATTGGATCCAGACTGCCTCTGCGTGTCTTGTGCCGACGTGAGGAGACCGAGTAGACTCTGCCACTCTCGTAGTGGTAACGGAGAGAGTACAGTCCGTTTGGCTCAAAAGCAGACCGATGAATTGCAATCTAACTAGAAAACTAATAAACATAACATACTCAATGAAACGCTGATCATAATCAAAACATCATACCCACTCGGTGAGGTTTTTGCAGAAATTTTGTCCTAGAAAAAAAAAAGTTGTTTAACAAACTATCATTAAAATATTGACACAGTTTACTGTTTGTAACGAGGGAGGAGTGCAGAGAAAGGGACAGCCAGGTGTTCGAGAAGCACGTTCACAGACAAAGTTATTTATTCATTAACCTGTGCTGTGCCGTCTCCATCCGTTCTGTACCCTGCTAATTGGACTCTAAAGGGGAGCCTTCCTCCCACGTTGAGAAGTTGTTTTCGATTGTAGATAACTTCCTGACACGTGAGCTGTGACTGACTTCTGCACAGGGCGTTGTCTACCATGGACCAATCAGATTGCAGCATTTGATTCATCTCAGATTCCCGCGATGTGACGTCACCCGTGTTGCAGGAAAAAGGTCCTTGTAAAATCTTGTGCAGTCGTTGATTTCTCTCATCAACACTCGGCCTTGTCCGTAACTTCCCTCAATACCCGAGTGAACACGTGTAAAGCAGGCTGAGTCGAAAACGCGCGAAAGATTTCGCCGTGTAATACCGATGTAGGTCGACTGTTTCCCTGGCTGTTGTGACTTTTCTCTTCTTCACTGAAGATAATGCAGTTGTCATTTTATACAGATGATCAGCTGAAGTTTCATACTTGCTTAACATTGATACTTGTAGACTGCAGTCATCAGTCTCAATGAAGTGCCTTAAAATAACCGATTGTGTTGAATATACAAAAGTTATTGTAGAGTTGCCATATTTCTTGTCTCTAGCTCTCTGAATTCCTGCAAATTTAGATTTGCCAGAGTAGCGCTATGATGTCTGTCTGATAACGCTGGCCAGTGTATCGATGGACTTGATCATCATCACTTCTCTGGACTCCTTCGTAACTTCTTTAGCCACGTCCTCAATTTCTCCTGCGAAGATATTCGTTGCTGCCCATGGAGCTCTGAATAGTGGTTTGGTAAACTTCTCACTCCATTTACAAGATGATAGTAGACCTTGTCTTCGTAGCAGTGTTAATCCCGCCGATGTAGACGCTTGGTGTTCTGACATGAACTGTTGGTCTTTCCTTTGGGTTAGTAAGGCTGAGTAGATCATCCGATCTTCTTCAGATGTAGAGTTTGCAAACTTGGCAATTAGGGTTTCGTTGACGGCCCTTGATCCGGCTAAACCGAAGAAGGTACGTCTAGTGGTTGTGTCTAGTTACGCTAGCTTCTTGTCCTCCACTTCATAAGTCCTGATGCGAGCGTCATTGATGAGTTTATAGTTTTCATCTACTTCTGGGGCCTTCATGAATGGTTCCATATGATGTAGAGAAAATCTCTTGGCATTAAACGGTGGAATGCTCTGACTCTGATACTTCGTTGCCTTCGTGAAGGCTGAGCTGAGGTTGTCTGGGACGTCCAGTACCGGATCTATGGGTGGCAGTGTTAGCATGTCAAAATCGTCGTTAGACATCATGTATGTGTATGCTTCATTATTCTCTTTAGATGGTGATGCAAGCTCCAGACCATTAGCCATCCAGGATTTGATCTCTGTGTCGAAGAAGATGACTCCTCCATCATCTTCCGGTTTCGATGTGTCTCGTTCCGAAGATCGTTGCCGTTGGTCCTGATCTCTAGGTGGAGATCTATGTGTAAGCCTGCGCGAAGAGAGATGTACTAGGTGATCTGTATCTGCGTGGTGACGACCATGAAGACCTTGCCGAGGATCTGTGCGACGGTGACCTGTCTTTGTAAGTTGAATGCCTTCGTGAAGGCGTATAATCTCTTCTGCGTGGTGTACGCGTAGACCTCTGGTGATTGTCTGAGTCCGAGGATGAAGATGATCTGCGATGCCTTCATGAATGCTCCTCGTCTGTAGCAGGAGTTCCTTCATAATTGTTGCTTCCTTCGCGAATGCCTTCGCAGGTGTTGTCTCGGTTGTTGTTTCCATGAGTGTCTTCACCAGTGGTCCTTCTGCGAATGCCTTCGCGAGATTCGTCACAAGCGTTGCTGTCATCCTGGGCGTTCCCTACATGAACGTTTTCTTCACGCAGGTTGCGTCCTTCATCCCGCTGAGGTGTAGACGATGTTCGTCCTCCTTGCAGACTCGTCTGCTTCTCTGCAGTCTTCTCCTGAGCGAACCTACGTTCCATCAGGTCCATCATCTGCTGGTTAAACTGCTGCATAAAGATGCCCGGGTTGAAGGTCTGCGCTGATAACTGCTGTTGTTGTACAGATGACACTGCATCTGACAGTGCTGAGGTGTCATCTAAGGACTGCCTGTCCTCTCTGGTAGTTGCAGTCTGCGCAGATAGGCCGTCTGACTGCGTTGATATAGTTGCAGACGTCAGTGAAGAAGAAGACCTCGTCTTCTTTCTCGCCGGTACTTCAGGGATGAGGATCGTCGGTTCATCGTAAACGTCTGCTTTGTCCGATGGGTTGATATCTGCGGCGAAGGACCTCGACTTCTTCGCTGCCCCCACTGACGACTTCGACTGTAGACTTGTCTGAAGACGGCTTAGTCTTCGCAGCAGACGGCGTCCTGGTCTTCTTGGACTGCGACGAAGATTGTTGAGTCGAAGATGATCTTTTCCTAAGGCCGGAACCCTCATTTCTCTGCTCTGCAGAAGTCACCGGCAGCACACTGGAATGATGTACCTCGACAGACAACAACCCACGGTTATTAACGCATTCACCCTGTTGAGACATGATTTGTAATTGCCGTCTCAATTTGTCCTTGGCACGTCTACAAACAGAATATAAATAATTACAAAATTCAATTTGAGATAAATGCTGTCAAAGATTACAGCGGAGGCTGGAAAAACATATAGAAGTGCAGTTAGGACATAGTAAATGCGGATCAGCAGCCGACAATCGAAACCTGCAAGAAATGCAAGTCTTCATGAAATGTAAACAAGTTGAGACATGTTGTCAACAACGTGAAAAAACGGACAAATTTAGAATAAATTTCAAACCATATTGTTGGTAAATCCTTGATAAAGCCCTTATACAGCCTAATTTAGTATAAAAGCCTAAAAATTCAAAGGACATATGCCGTATAGGGGACCCAGGCCCTCTCACAACCGTCCATCAGGGCGAAGAAGGAGAGAGTGACAAGCATGGCCGATCATGTGACCCCTTTACGCGCCAAAAGATGCGCACAAGGGAGACAACTGGGGTGAGTGATTTTACGTCCACTTTTTTTAAGGGAGCTTCAAAAAGGGATTCAAGTGTTCCACTATAGTTCGCAAGAAGAAGACAAGCAATTAAGCATGAGTCAGGATAAGGAAAAATAATACATTTGGTGTCTGAGGCAGTGGGATTTTTGGAGAAACATTTAAATATACAGTTCCATGCCTCCAGAGGTAACAGTGCTTCAGAAACTGACAAAACAAGTTAACCAAGACAAGCAAGTTCATCTTCGACTAAACTTGATCTAAATCTTTTCAAAACAAGGTCAACTCATATACAATGTTTTACCGAAGATAACTGCACTAAAAGACTTTGAGCAAGTGTTAAAACATGTCTTCTAGGAATACAGTAGTAGACAAGCATCTCAATGCAGCATGCAGGGTGATATTTAAGTATCACTTGGTGAAGTAGTAGGACACGCTTTTCAGTGAAACATACATGGTGGTATTTGAGTATCATTTGGTGTAATAGTAAAACATGTCTTCTAGGTTAGTGTATCCTGTCTTGTGATCTTGGCCTTGGACCAATTGATAAATACTAGCATTAATGGCACTTGTAAACTTGATACTATTGAGATATATCATGCATTGCCCTGCCTGTCTGTTGACTGCTCACCTGGGTCTCTTTGGTGGGGGTCCCTCAGCTGAGTTGGACAAGGGACGCTTATCTGTTGGGGTGGGGCTGACTGCCAGTGGGGACACAGATTCCTGAGGTAGCTGGCAGGGGGTAGGCAGGGAGGGCTCCTCTTCAACCTCATCTGCACAAACACAGAATCACACATCAATCAGAACATGTATATCTTCACAAAACAGGATACACACAAACACAGAATCACACATCAATCAGAACATGTATATCTTCACAAAACAGGATACACACAAACACAGAATCACACATCAATCAGAACATGTATATCTTCACAAAACAGGATTCACACAAACACAGAATCACACATCAATCAGAACATGTATATCTTCACACAACAGGATACACACAAACACAGAATCACACATCAATCAGAACATGTATATCTTCACAAAACAGGATACACACAAACACAGAATCACACATCAATCAGAACATGTATATCTTCACACAACAGGATACACACAAACACAGAATCACACATCAATCAGAACATGTATATCTTCACCAAACAGGATACACACATGGAGTTGAACATGGACATGTGTCAAAAATCCATATAGCGTAATCTTCCGTTCATACCTGGGTATGTGAACAAACAATGCATCTACAATCTATGGTCGTGTATATGGTGTACTCTTACCCTCCATGCCTGGGTACATATAAGGGAGGTGATCATGTACATGCTCTTCTCGATGTTGAAGTAACTCCCGACTTCGTGGATTAGGGAATCCGAGGTTATTACGTTTCCGGGCAGGAAAAGACACCACTTCTCGTGCAAATGCCACTGGCTCAACGTGGCGGATGTAGTCTTCAAGTTCTCCAAGTTGAATACCATAGTGGCGGAAGGTCAAGGCCAAGTCATCCAGGTTTGGCTCAGTTCTCCCAACTGCAACACAAAGAAACCTATGTAACCATGGCAACAGTGACATGAAATGTTCCTTGGTTTATGATGACTGGTGAGAGGCCTCCCTCACTTCATGCTGTCCTCCATGATCATGGACACTAGCGACTGACAGGGATGTAACAGAAATACATACTGACCCACAGACTCATTATTTGTACGACACCCATGATGACAGAATATACACAGGTACATCACATCATACATCACATCATCACTGGTCAATACGTACATTGTTGAACACATACAGCAAATCACACCATCACTGGTCAATACGTACATTGTTCACCACATACAGCAAATCACACCATCACTGGTCAATACGTACATTGTTGAACACATACAGCAAATCACATCATCACTGGTCAATACGTACATTGTTGAACACATACCGCAAATCACATCATCACTGGTCAATATGTACATTGTTGAACACATACAGCAAATCACATCATCACTGGTCAATACGTACATTTTCATCACATACAGCAAATCACACCATCACTGGTCAATACGTACATTGTTGAACACATACAGCAAATCACATCATCACTGGTCAATACGTACATTGTTGAACACATATTGCAAATCACATCATCACTGGTCAATACGTACATTGTTGAACACATACAGCAAACCACATCTTCACTGGTCAACACATACCTTCACATCATAACTGGTCAATACGTACATTGTTGAACACATACAGCAAATCACATCATCACTGGTCAATACGTACATTGTTGAACACATACAGCAAATCACATCATCACTCGTCAACACATACCTTCACATCATCATAATTATCACCAATGGTCAATACGTACAGCAAATCACATCATCACTGGTCAATATGTACATTGTTGAACACATATAGCACATCACATCATCACTCGTCAACACATACCTTCACATCATCACTGGTCAATACGTTCACTGTTGAACACATACAGCAAATCACACCATCACTGGTCAATACGTACATTGTTGAACACATATAGCACATCACATCATCACTCGTCAACACATACCTTCACATCATCACTGGTCAATACGTACACTGTTGAACACATACAGCAAATCACACCATCATTGGTCAATACGTACATTGTTGAACACATACAGCAAATCACATCATCACTGGTCAATATGTACATTGTTGAACACATACAGCAAATCACATCATCACTGGTCAATACGTACATTGTTGAACACATACAGCAAATCACATCATAACTGGTCAATACGTACATTGTTGAACACATACAGCAAATCACATCATCACTGGTCAATACGTACATTGTTGAACACATACAGCAAATCACACCATCACTGGTCAATACGTACATTGTTGAACACATACAGCAAATCACACCATCACTGGTCAATACGCATGCATTGTTGAACACATACAGCAAATCACATCATCACTGGTCAATACGTACATTGTTGAACACATACAGCAAATCACACCATCACTGGTCAATACGTACATTGTTGAACACATACAGCAAATCACATCATCACTGGTCAATATGTACATTGTTGAACACATACAGCAAATCACATCATCACTGGTCAATATGTACATTGTTGAACACATACCGCAAATCACATCATAACTGGTCAATACGTACATTGTTGAACACATACAGCAAATCACATCATAACTGGTCAATACGTACATTGTTGAACACATACAGCAAATCACATCATCACTGGTCAACACATACCTTCACATCATAACTGGTCAATACGTACATTGTTGAACACATACAGCAAATCACATCATCACTGATCAATACGTACATTGTTGAACACATACAGCAAATCACATCATCACTGGTCAATATGTACATTGTTGAACACATGCAGCAAAAACACCATCACTGGTCAATACGTACATTGTTCACCACATACAGCATATCACTGGTCAATACGTACATTGTTGAACACATACAGCAAATCACACCATCACTGGTCAATACGTACATTGTTCACCACATACAGCAAATCACACCATCACTGGTCAATACGTACATTGTTGAACACATACAGCAAATCACATCATCACTGGTCAATACGTACATTGTTGAACACATACCGCAAATCACATCATCACTGGTCAATACGTACATTGTTGAACACATACAGCAAATCACATCATCACTGGTCAATACGTACATTTTCATCACATACAGCAAATCACACCATCACTGGTCAATACGTACATTGTTGAACACATACAGCAAATCACATCATCACTGGTCAATACGTACATTGTTGAACACATATTGCAAATCACATCATCACTGGTCAATACGTACATTGTTGAACACATACAGCAAACCACATCTTCACTGGTCAACACATACCTTCACATCATAACTGGTCAATACGTACATTGTTGAACACATACAGCAAATCACATCATCACTGGTCAATCGTGCATTGTTGAACACATACAGCAAATCCACATCATCACTTTCGTCAACACATACCTTCACATCATCATAATTATCACCAATGGTCAATACGTACAGCAAATCACATCATCACTGGTCAATATGTACATTGTTGAACACATATAGCACATCACATCATCACTCGTCAACACATACCTTCACATCATCACTGGTCAATACGTACACTGTTGAACACATACAGCAAATCACACCATCACTGGTCAATACGTACATTGTTGAACACATATAGCACATCACATCATCACTCGTCAACACATACCTTCACATCATCACTGGTCAATACGTACACTGTTGAACACATACAGCAAATCACACCATCACTGGTCAATACGTACATTGTTGAACACATACAGCAAATCACATCATCACTGGTCAATATGTACATTGTTGAACACATACAGCAAATCACATCATCACTGGTCAATAATCATGCATTTGTTGAACACATACAGCAAATCACATCATAACTGGTCAATACGTGCATTGTTGAACACATACAGCAAATCACATCATCACTGGTCAATACGTTACATTGTTGAACACATACAGCAAATCACACCATCACTGGTCAATACGTACATTGTTGAACACATACAGCAAATCACACCATCACTGGTCAATACGTACATTGTTGAACACATACAGCAAATCACATCATAACTGGTCAATACGTACATTGTTGAACACATACAGCAAATCACACCATCACTGGTCAATACGTACATTGTTGAACACATACAGCAAATCACATCATCACTGGTCAATATGTACATTGTTGAACACATACAGCAAATCACATCATCACTGGTCAACACATACCTTCACATCATAACTGGTCAATACGTACATTGTTGAACACATACAGCAAATCACATCATCACTGATCAATACGTACATTGTTGAACACATACAGCAAATCACATCATCACTGGTCAATATGTACATTGTTGAACACATGCAGCAAAAACACCATCACTGGTCAATACGTACATTGTTCACCACATACAGCATATCACTGGTCAATACGTACATTGTTGAACACATACAGCAAATCACATCATCACTCGTCAATACGTACATTGTTGAACACATATAGCACATCACATCATCACTCGTCAACACATACCTTCACATCATCACTGGTCAATACGTACATTGTTGAACACATACAGCAAATCACATCATCACTGGTCAATATGTACATTGTTGAACACATATAGCACATCACATCATCACTCGTCAACACATACCTTCACATCATCACTGGTCAATACGTACATTGTTGAACACATACAGCAAATCACATCATCACTCGTCAACACATACCTTCACATCATCATAATCATCACCACTGGTCAATACGTACAGCAAATCACATCAATACTGGTCAATATGTACATTGTTGAACACATATAGCACATCACATCATCACTCGTCAACACATACCTTCACATCATCACTGGTCAATACGTACATTGTTGAACACATACAGCAAATCACATCATCACTGGTCAATATGTACATTGTTGAACACATATAGCACATCACATCATCACTCGTCAACACATACCTTCACATCATCACTGGTCAATACGTACATTGTTGAACACATACAGCAAATCACATCATCACTCGTCAACACATACCTTCACATCATCATAATCATCACCACTGGTCAATACGTACAGCAAATCACATCAATACTGGTCAATATGTACATTGTTGAACACATATAGCACATCACATCATCACTCATCAACACATACCTTCACATCATCACTGGTCAATACGTACACTGTTGAACACATACAGCAAATCACATCATCACTGGTCAATACGTACATTGTTGAACACATACAGCAAATCACATCATCACTGGTCAATACGTACATTGTTGAACACATACAGCAAATCACATCATCACTGGTCAATACGTACATTGTTGAACACATACAGCACATCACATCATCACTCGTCAACACATACCTTCACATCATCACTGGTCAATACGTACATTGTTGAACACATACAGCAAATCACATCATCACTGATCAATACGTACATTGTTGAACACATACAGCAAATCACATCATCACTGGTCAATATGTACATTGTTGAACACATGCAGCAAATCACATCATCACTGGTCAATACGTACATTGTTGAACACATACAGCAAATCACATCATCACTGGTCAATATGTACATTGTTGACCACATACAGCAAATCACATCATCACTGGTCAATAAGTACATTGTTGAACACATACAGCAAATCACATCATCACTCGTCAATACGTACATTGTTCACCACATACAGCAAATCACATCATCACTGGTCAATACGTACATTGTTGAACACATACAGCAAATCACATCATCACTGGTCAATACGTACATTGTCCACCACATATTGCAAATCACATCATCACTGGTCAATACGTACATTGTTGAACAAATACAGCAAATCACATCATCACTGGTCAATACGTACATTGTTGAACACATACAGCAAATCACACCATCACTGGTCAATATGTACATTGTTGAACACATACAGCAAATCACATCATCACTGGTCAATACGTACATTGTCCACCACATATTGCAAATCACATCATCACTGGTCAATACGTACATTGTTGAACACATACAGCAAATCATACCATCACTGGTCAATATGTACATTGTTGAACACATACAGCAAATCACATCATCACTCGTCAATATGTACATTGTTGAACACATACAGCAAATCACATCATCACTGGTCAATACGTACATTGTTCACCACATACAGCATATCACAGCAAACTTTTGAAACATTGCCACTTCCCCAAAACAAACTTTTGAAACATTGCCATTACACCTCACACAACCTTTTAGAAACATGACCACTTCACACCTCCATCTTTTCAAATAGAGCAACTTCAGATGAGTCCTTTCCGAATATGGCCACTTCCACTGTTAGTGTTAATAAGTTCAAGAATCCTTCCCTTTTCTCAACATAAACACTAAAACCACAGTCCGCATACACCATGTCTACTAGACTAAATCTGCTCAGTGTCACACTGACATCACCTCCATTCACTTACACTGCTCCGAGTAGCGGTGAGATATCTTGCCTAAGTCTATAAGGTAGCGCTCTAGGACATCAGTGAGCAATTCAAGGGGAGACGACTGCGTAGCATTCCATCCTAGATTCTGACACAGCTGAGCTATGCAGATTCGCAGCATCCTGCGACAATACTCTGTAGCCATCCTGAAAAGTATATTTACTAAGAAGTATTACATGTTTTCACTTGTCCAACAGTCGTACATTACCTGACATGCAAACCATAACTGACATCAGAACGTTCATACTGCTGTCATTTACTTGTAAACAGTAGTGTTGACTCATCAGTATTGCTTGACAATAATTGATCTGTGATGACTTTTGCACACACTGTTAGCAAGTGTACACTGTCTGGTGAATGGATGTAGACATTCGTTGGTTTCACATTAATTTTGGACTCACTGCGCTCATGCGTAGAGCGTGTAAAAATATCCACTGGTCAACTTCCGGTTTGGTCGTATTACCGATGGTGTAAACACACTGTAAATAAAAGCTCTATTAAGGTTAATTACGTGTGACAACTGTTCATAGTTGAGTACATACATCCATTTGCCTATGCTTTTCAATAATTGATGTCCTATTTTGGTGGCAACTGCATCAGAGATGGGTTTTTTTAGTTGTGAGAAGGGGATGTGCAGGAAGGACAGTGGACGGGTGGTGGTGAGATGTGTTTATACAAGAGCTTGTTAACAAACGTGAAGCTATTTATTTAACTAACCCCGGTCCCTTCCATTCATAAATGACTGACTGACTGACTGACTCAGTTTAGTTTTACGCTGCTTTTAGCAATATTCCAGCAATATCATGGCGGGGGACACCAGAAATGGGCTTAACACATTGTGCCCATGTGGGGAATCGAACCCGGATCCTCGGCGTGACGAGCCAACGCTTTAACCACTAGGCTATACCCCACCGCCCCCATTCATAAATGAATTGAGATCAGTTAAATTCGACATAAAACCATATATCTGTTTTGATTTTTGCTTTCTTTAGAGTGTGTTTACACTATCGGTAAAGCATACGACCAAACCGTAAGTTGTCCAGTGGATAGTTTTTACACGCTCTGCGCATGCGCACAGCGAGTCGAAAAATAATGTGAAACCAACGAATGTCACTCTAAAGTTAAATTTCACACTCAAGAAACACTACTGGCTTGTGTGGGTGGGTTTGTGCTAACTCCTGTGTGAAACATGTTGTCAGCAGTATAAGGTTGCAAATGATATGCCTTTGTGAACAGGTCAACCAATTTCTGGTATGATCAATGATTACCTGGTCATTGTAAGTAGCAATACAATCAGACAAAACATATCACTTTCCACAGTCATCCCTTAAACTACTAGCACAGGGAAACAAATAACACTTCAATGGAGGTGTAGGCATTCACTGCCATGCAAGTACCTTGGGACATTGTGTATAGTGCTGCCAACAGTGTCAGCTACAGGACTAGGTCAATGTTATCTACAAGTTGACTACCTGCTAGTGTAGCCAGCTGCACCGAGTCAGGTGAGGCTGTGATAGAAAAGTCCTCTGTCCGATCCTATCATCCAGTAACACTTGATCCATGCTCGGCAGAATAAACTGGCCGCCCACAAGGCATTACACACTCTCGTCCTTTAACTCGCCTTAAAGATGTGCAATAAACTGCAATTGTTTAAACTAAAGAATTACTCGAATTGGGTCATGCGTATGTGATCGATGGCCAATCAGTATTGTTAGCTGTGCCGGCTTCATGCTGGTGTCCACACAGCAATCTGCCAATGTCCAAAAGTTCAAGGACAGGGAATAAAAACTCCATCCACGGGTTTGTCAGGCAATAGATAGCAACAGTCATCGGCCTCCAAAAGACACGGATATTCAAGATATCAAAAGCATATATGCAAAAGTGTGTAACGTAGCACAATACAATACAAAAGCGGCTAAATTGGTGTCAAATGCGCCTTCTATCACAACAATCTTGACCGACTTTTCCTGACAGAGTTACTTCCCTTCTCGAAATGCTATTCCCAATACTACTAACTAAATATTTACTGATTCCTGTTGAATTCAACAAAACACACATACATTTTAAGCCATGATTCGCCTGTACAAAGAACAAAAACAAATGTGTGCCTCCTTTCAGCATCACCTGAACACCTTTGCATACTGTGCAAAGTAGAAGTTCAAACATACAGTTTGCAGGCTCAGATAGGATGGTTTTGATGTATTTATAAATATCTTGTATGAGACAAATTTTGGCGCGAAAGGTGAGCCACTCCTGAAACGGGTTGAACAGTCTGTGTAAACAATATATTATTTACATGAATGAAAACCTGGATTGGTCAGCAGGCAAATTCCCTGTTTCACGACCTCCCCTGTACCAGAGACCATATACCGATATATGTCTTATTGTTTTATGTACCATGCATTTGGGAGGTAGACACCCTGATCCCTGTTTATTGCTGGGAAACTGAAGTCCTCGCAAAAAACATCAGTGACTGGCGGAAACGCAAGTTGATTGAAGCTATCTTCATCAAACGCACAAAACCAGCAATAAACAGGGATCAGGGTGTCTACCTCCCAAATGCATGGTACATAAAACAATAAGGCAATACCCTACCCTCGTCACTGTTCCCATGTATAAAGCATAATTTCTATGTATACACTGCTATTACTTTACATTCTATACATTTATAAATACGTCTCTGTACATTTCTAAATCAATCAACAATTTTGTATAAGTATCTGCACAGTTCTAAATTGATCCATTAATTTTGCAGTAAACGACATCTTATATATTCATAATAACATGTATTCTATTAGCCATGTCATCTGTATCTATTGACCACCACATGTATTGCGTCGTCATAGCATTGTGACGTCATAAGCATTGTGACGTCACGGCCAGAGTTAACAGTTACTGTTCAGTTTTACCTGATGATGGGGCCAGAACAAGCCCTGAAACGTTGTACTCGAGAATAAAAAGAAGATGTAACCCAGAAAAAATCTCTATGTTCATGAATGCTTATAGTTTTGAATATTATAAACGTGCAACACTGATAAGCTACAAAAGTATATGTTTGGGTAAAATAATGATATACATATTTAATTATTTTTAACCCCCTTGATGCCGAGTTTTTTTCCAGGCGCACATTTTCATACGGTTTGAAAAGTGAACGTTGTGCGAGAATTGCGCTCGCGTGGTCATGGATCTACGTACAGCTATAAAATTACACAGAAATGTAGAATATTAAATTTCCTATCCGTTGGTATAAATATAAGTGCAACTACCTCTGCGGTTTGAAAAATAGACCTTGCTAAATGTTGTCCAAATTTTTGTTATGCGTTAAAAAACAGTAAATTTCTCCGCTTTTTATCGCGCACCGATAAAAGCACTGTGCTACGAATTTTCTATTTTGGCATCTTTACGGAAAGTGTGAGCGAAGAAAATACAGCCTGATATCTGAACGACATAAGTGTATATGAATTGGATTTATGTGCTTATGCATAACATTATACGCTCAACATTAAAAATGACTCGCAATAAATGTCAAAAATGGATTTTCTTCTACGACGTCATACGACGACAGAGAGGTCATACACGTATAATGATAAGGGGGCATAACTCCGTTATTCTTAACACGAGGTCAATGTAACTCTAATCACATGGAGAGTATTTGTTGTGGATACGGACGCTATATTTTCGTTATTTTTTGTTCACGGTGAACCAAACTATTCCAATTCAAAGTTCCCAATGTGAGCAGATACGCTTTGGTAGTTTCACAATTAATAAGAAAAGATGACAACGTACTACATGTGAAAGCACGTAATAGCGATTTGGATGGCCCTATCCGATATATAAGTTAGTTCTTAGATTCCCATATTCTCCTGTTTGTGTAGATGTATTTTGACTCATTTTGCATCGTTATTACCAGAATACTAGCCATATCTTCAAATGTATTGAAATTGCTGAAAATAATACAACATTTTAGTTGACGTCATTGCTTGTTTTATGCATTTTGCGACGTCGGAAAGTGACGACATTGGTATTCCGATTAGTATATATCTCACCTAATTTCCATTAATTGTGTGAAAGGTCTCGGCTTCTTTGTCAGAATTAACACTCTTTAGACAAAACATAAAATGACTGTTTTTTCCATTTTAAATAGTGTCTTGAATATATCAACAATTAGACAGCTTGACTGTGTATCTTATCATGAGCAGCACGCGCACCTGTTTGGCATCAATTTAACGTAAATGAAAAATAACATTTCACAACACCTGAATATTTTGTTTAGGATAGGAATTTACTTTATTTATGATTATGCAGCTATTTCTCTTCTTACGTATGCAATGGAAGATGCAAAAAAGATAGCTTTTATATATGGAACTAGTACGTACGATATATTAGAATATGGATGTAAGATTTGTCCAAATTAAGACATGACATGCTTTATACATTTTTAAACAATTTTCGTATAAATATAGTTAGAGTTTGATATCCTGTCATCACAATATTTTTAAATCGAATATGAATTGATTATATTATCGAAAACAATGATAGTGAATCATAAAACGTTTCCGACAAACGCGCATCTGGCCAATCAATTTACATCATTGTTTTCTCTATAAAACGACACAAAAATGTGCAATGAACAAGACATTTCCTTTAAATGTGTGTGCATATACATTTCATAACATACATAAATCATTTTCATTAAATATTATCAGTTTTACTTATAAGGTTTAATCAAATCGCCATCCATTAACCTGTTCATGTGAAACTGCAATATTAGTTCAAATGCATTGAATATTGTACATCATAGGAACTAAAGTAATATTGCAGTTATGGCTACGTTTGATCTTCTAACACTTGTGTAAAGGTTTAGAATATGGTGTACTGCACTAAATGTGTCAATTTCTTATGTAAATATTATTCAAACAATCAAAACCTTTCAAAGAATAAAACACCGTAAACCCTATATGCAAGTATGATATGATATTTGACAAGGCTAAATGTAGATACTGAGGTCAGTTTCATGAAAAAGTATCTGAACTATCCGCAAAATATACATTATAATACTGACAGTGAAATCGGAAGGATTGGGCAATTGTGTTTACTCTTGTTCAACCGACCTTCACCTCAAAGAAATTGCCTAATATGTACAACAATGTTGACGTATGACATCACTACCGATGACCTATTTCTTACAAAATGGCGGCTTTGCTGACAAGGATAGATAGGATTTTGCGAGGACTCTTCCATTGATTCAGGGATCGTTTGTACATAAATATGACATGTAAGTAATCAGAATGATTCTGACTAACTGTGTATTGTTATATGTTTCTATCGTTTTCACTGTAAGTAAGAGAAGAAGCCAGAAATGCTGATATATTACAGTTGTCGTTCTGCGTGATTTTGCGCCAGTCGTGGCGTCACGCTGCACGGAAACTTTGACAATTTCTTATGAATTATCAAATCATTTCATTGTATCTATTTATAATTTCCTATTTCTTACTACGATACTCTTTCCATGCATATTCAAAAGGTATTGAGCTATTGCAAGCTATGAATAGACGGATGAATGTTGGAATTTCAGAAAATGCTACGCAGTGTAAAATCGGAATTTGTCTTTGTTTACGTTTCGAACCAGCGTAGTCTTTCGAGCACAGCGTTCGTTTTCACACCCAATATGTTTCGACTCATTTTATCTAGACAGTTGGTATTGGTGACACAGACCAGTTGCAATTTGATTCTAAAATGTATGGGGAATTCAGTGATGCATTTTTCGAAGCTGAATATGAAATATACGTGATTGTAATAGGCGTCTCAATACCGGCCTTCGCGAAACGAGATTTTGTAAACACTATCCAATATGGCGGAAAGCGCTCTACGGCGTTCGTGTAAGTGCATTTTCGAAAACATCCCAACCGATTCTAGATTCATCGGCAACGTTTCAGAATTATAATTAGCGATTTCATGTAAAACTGATAACAGTGATCATGAATAGGTTAGTTTTGAAATTCAGTACTCCTAGGAATTATCCGATTTTCACGTTTCAAAACATACAGCAAATAACGCTGTGAATCGCGATTTCATACTGTGTCAAAAATGTCGCCATTTTCGATGAAGCCTATTTTGAAAGGTCATTTTCAGCACTTGAGCTTTGTCTAAAATAATAGTGGATGGTATCAAGAAACAGGAAATTTCCCGCAGAATTCGAAACTGTGAAGTGTATTTGTGTGCGTGGGATATTTTGATTTTTATTGGACTTGAAATTGAGGGTTGAAGGGGAAGGACATATATGTCCCTGTGGCATCCAGGCACAGTATTAACTGGTGATTTACTGAACAATATTGTCATTATACTTCCCTAACAACAATTTGATCACGTAAATTGTGTCTATTAAGCCTCTACAACCAATTAGAAGTTTTCAGTGAGTATTCTAGTTCCATACGTTTTCAACATGTGTTGTACAGTTTTTTACAATAAGTCTTTTATAATAAGGGTCTATTCAACATATTTCTGTCGCGTACAGTGGATGGTAAAACGGTGTTTTGTACGTTCTTTCTGTCGCAGCGACACAGGGACACCAGGAGCTTGTGTTGGACGACCTAGCTTGCAGCAGATGTGGAACTGGAGATAATTAAGTAGATCTAATTGGGCTGGACTCCGCCCTGTGTACGATAGCGGGACACCGTCACTAGATTCTACAAACGCCTGTGTACCATTAGACTAATGCGTAGTCTCTGAATATATATAATTTTGATAGTAACAAATAAGCCCATTTAAATTGAAAAGGAGCCCCAGGGAGACCAGAGATTCAGAACCTGAGGAAATCTAGACTTGCTTTATTTAGGACTTTAGCACTGCAGAGAGGGCTTGGAAGTAGGGAAAATAATGTGGCCCGGGACTGTGAGACAGACTAGTGTACCTTCAACAAAGACAGACTTGTACTCAGACTTGTGTTCAAGTGGGCAAATGTGAAAGCGGACAGTAACAAGAACAACTGGAACAGAAGAGTCCACAAGAAGCTGAAACAACGTGACCTTCAACACTTCATGCCTCTGAATAACACCTTTTATGTAAACTTTATATCAGCAGAGGTCCGTGCCAAAGTGATGGACAAATATCGGAACGAATGGAAGAATGACCTAGGACGAGAAACCAGCAGAAGAGGGGATGGAGGCAATAATTAAGTTACATTTTTACCGATCTTTTAAATATACATTTAACGCCGACAAATACGTTACAGAGAATCTACCGAGAAGTCATCGGAGAGCACTAGGTAATTTTCGCTGTGGCACCGCCCCTCTACTTACTGAAACTGGTCGCTATACCAACGCACCAGTAGTTTTAACTGTAAAAATTGTGTCAAGGACGAGTATCAAGTTCTACTACATTGTCCATTATATCCCGATTATCGCTTAGCTTTATTTTATCAACGTAAATCGGTGAATAACAATTTTGATATTTTAACTGATGTTGAGAAAATGAGTTTTATCATGTCATGCCCAGAAGTTGTTTATTTTACTGCCAAAACGCGTATACTTGTTTTACATTGAGAAAGATTTATTGTTTGACAACTAATATATCAGTATTCATCTTATTTGTATTGTGTATTTTATTTATTTGACTTCATGTATAATTATATGTAATTTATTACTTTATAGTCTCTCATAACCCACTTTGGGTGGGTCACTTTTTATATACATACGATTTTATGCTTTTGTACCATATGTTTTTTATGTATAAATTGAGATGACATTTTAATGAATTATCTGTCTGTCTGTCTGAAAGATGAAGAAGCCCGTTTATTTACATATCTTAGAATGAGACATTCCTCGCACAGACCCAACTATAGTTGTTAATATAGGATCATGTTGTGTTTATAACAGCATGTCTTGGGTCTTTGTATACAGTTCTTCCAGATGTAATCACCCCAATTGAATAGTGGTATAACGAATGAGTTAAAAAACAACTTTTGGACTATATTTGAAGCTTGTTAAACAACTGATGATCATTTGACAAACTGTGACACTGATACTATCAACCGGTATGATTCACTGACCATCAGACAACAATTATCTCCAGATATTTGTCAGAATATACAAATACAGACAATTCCCCCAGTTTTCATCAATTATAAATGTGTATTTAAAGATAATGTTGAATGATGGCCATCAGTTATCACACATTTAGCTTGAGCATGGCATAATCTCCATATAGAATTGCGTTGTAATTGTAATGCTAACTTGTTCAAAAACCGAATGCATTAATGTTTGTATTTCAAATTTGAAAACATATATCCTATATCCTAATAACTACGGTGAGCACCCCTGTCCGAACCCTCTCAACCCAGCCCAGCCCCAGATATAGTCCACTTATTATGAGTACGACAGCAGAAAGAATGGGCGCATTATGAACTTTGAATAACTGTTTTACTAACAATAAACGCATTTAAAAAGGCAACGTTGGAAGCACCTGACTGGGTGAAGCTGATTTCAAGAGCATCACGATCACCATACCTCCGTGTATTAGAGACTTAACCGCTTCTAGTAGAGATCGGTACATCGCAAATACGGTACTCTCATCTCCAGTATAGGACATTTCATATCAAAGGTCTATGTCATGTCTGTACTACAATGTACTAGTGACGGACGGAGGAACCATGGTCCTACATAGTGCCCCTGCCGGGCCAGCGTCTATAAGCGCGCCTGGGTTCGCACAGTCATCACCAAGACGGTATAATATGTACGTTCTGACTCATGGGCGTTGCTACCATTGTAAAAAAAGCCCCGGCTTACACATGATTGTTGCTAAAAAGGTTGGGCAAGTTCTCAATACTATATAAATAAATAGCTTTGCAACCTATCGGGCCTACACGAATAAAAATGGCTTGCTGAACGGTACTGTTACTGAACACGCCTCTCGAACCGATTGTAGGAAAACAGTCCTTCCATCTAAATTCCAGGAAAAGCTAATGGGTGCTACTAAAATGTAATGGATTTTCCGATTCTGCAAATCGAAATTATGCACTGAACTAGTGTGCTCTATTACGTGTAAAATTATTGTTTTTAATCGAAAGTATCAGTTTACCAACGTATTTGATCAGTGAAAAAACAAAGTGTTTAAATTAGATATTTATAGAAAACTCGATTTCCGCATTAAAGCGGGACAATATTGTTTCGGATTAAGAGACTAAGTATCATTGGCTGGAAGTACATTTTGAGTTCAAGTGTATATATATATAGAGAGAAATTTCACCTGAAAAACAAATTCAGCCTGATTAAGAGGTTGGAGGCGCAAACAATGAGTCCTTACTACAAAGACAGAGAAACCAAGTTCTTCATACTAACATCGTCTCAACATGCCCTTCGCCTTACACCCTTGTCAAATGTGACATGGACACAACTGTCATATGATACTGCGACACCATCGAATGGTTAAACACCCTTGTCAGTGGATTACAGCCATCCCAGTCAGTGGATTACATACACCCTTGTAAGTGGATTACATACACCCTTGTCAGTGGGTTACAGACATCCTTGTGAGTGGATTACAGACACCCTAGTCAATTGGTTGCAGACACCTTTGTCAAATGGTCTATAGACATCCTAGTCAAAGGATTACGGGCACCCTAGTTAAAGGGTTACAGACACCCTAGTCAATGGGTTACAGGGGGCACCCTTGTCAATGGATTATGGACACCCTAGTCAAATGGAACTTACACTGTTACAGACACCCACGACGATAAGAAAGGTAGCATATGGACCTGCAGCAGTTTCCATCTCATCACAATTCCATCTGGTGTAACCAAATTCCTGCATATATCAAGACATTGTCACAGGCATATCTCTACTACCTTTGCCCTCTTCCTACTTACCGAACGGAAGCCTTCCACGCCAGGCATAATCTATAATGTGTTGGCCGAAAGTAGTACTTAAATACTTTCTGCGCATGATCGGATGCGGCAGGTGCTTGTGGGACATATTTATGACGCCGGCTTCTAGCAAAGAGGTATGTGTTAAATATTGTGTGTTGTTACCATCCATTCTTTATGAATTCTCATCTGAGTGTTCGTCTGATGCACAATAATCAAATTTAACTGCATTGTTTCAGCAGTACGGTATTGCCTCACGTGAATGAGTTACTGACGTTCTCACACAGTGAAGACACTGGACCTTGACAACCCAAACACTTCCAACTTGTGTTGTTAACACATTCAACAGAAAGCAGACCATGGGGTTCTTCGATACACTTGCCAAACTCCTTGGGTTGAAAAAGAAGGAGGCCAACGTTCTTGTCGTTGGATTGGATAACTGTGGTAAAACAACAATAATCAATCAGTTGAAACCTGAAGACTCCCAGAACACACACGACATCGTTCCAACAGTTGGATTCAATATAGAAAAGCTGAAGAACAAGAGTCTCCAGTTTACTATATTTGACATGTCAGGGCAGGGTCGCTACCGGAACCTTTGGGAACATTACTACAAAGAATGCCATGGCATTATCTTTGTTATAGATAGTGCAGATAAACTGAGGATGGTGGTTGCTAAGGACGAACTGGACGTGCTACTACAGCATCAAGACATCAGAAACCGACGGATACCTGTGCTTTTCTTCGCTAACAAAATGGATTTGAGGGATGCTGTATCAAGTGTGAAGTGTTCTAGCTTAATGGGTCTGTTAACTATCAGAGATAAGCCTTGGCATATATGTGCTAGCAATGCTCTCACAGGGGAGGGCCTCCACGAAGGGGTTGAGTGGTTGACAGACCAGATTAAAGACTTAGTTATTGGAAAGAAATGATAATCGCTGCCAATATTAATGAGTACTGTGCATTTTAAGAAAGATTTGTTCATATGATCTGGATAGTTCCAACTTGTGTATCTATACATAATTGATTATCTATAACAGTTATGTGAGTTGGATGAAATCATTGTGTGCATGATGTTAGATGATGCAAATCATGTTCCCTGCATATGTAAATGTTAAAGATCCACAGAAAATTGAAGTACATTTTTTTAATGAAAATACTTTGACTTGGGAACAGAAACTAAAACACCACCACCTGAAATGTCAACACATTTTCATTAAATTGTTAATATCGTATATTTTGAACATTGTAATTGGTATACACAACAAGTGGAGTGTGTATGTGTGTGTGAGGAATGAGAAGAGCAACAGCAAGTAAGAAACTAAAGATGTACAACATCAAGAACGTGGTACAATAATTTAAAACTGTATAAACAGTTGGTCCCCAGATACTTGTCCTGGTCATAGGTGGTTACTGAATGGTTTGGAAAGGCCAGGGTTTGTGACTTGGTTGATGGTATGTGTCATTTTAGTTTGTTGCTCAGTTCTTATCACACTGTACTGTCTGATCCAACATTGATTGTTTACAGCTGGTATATTGTGTATGTGTTGTTGAAAATCAAACCGACTGATCCTGACAGTAATACAGACGATTACCACTAGGGTCCCTGTGTGAAAATACTATTCTGTCAGTTGTAAGAGGTTATGGTACTGTTCCATCCAGAACAATATTTCTTTTATTGCAGCTAACACTACAAGAGTAGCTACAAGCATCTTGTTGGTGTCAATTTAAAGTCTCTTCAATATAAAAACACCACAGAGCTGTGTTGCCACTTTTGGTAATTAAGTGAAAAAACAGTAATTACTGTTTTCGTTAAAACTGTTGCTCTTTAGGACATTTACCATTCACAGGTACAATCTGATCCATGTAAGCCTAATGATGTTGATAATGAGGTATTCACATTGAGCACTCTGTATGCCAGAACATTAGTTCACATTTCAAGGTTGGAACATTATTGTAGTTCTACCATTTGTTCTTTTTCATTTTCTGTCTATTCCTTGATGTTTAATCAAAGTGTGTAATAACTTGTGTAGTGGAATATGTGAATAATGGAATGCTGGTATTTTACATTTTCATTGTTTCAGGAATCTCATTATATTGATTGAATCTATTCAAATGAATTTATATTGATGGCACTGTACATTATTGTGTGAGACCCTTTTACATGTCCTGACTATAAGTTAAGTGAACTTTTGTCATGATCTGTTTGTACATTATTGATTGTAGACATCTGGGTCTCACAAAGCACTAAAGTACTGTCGGAAATAGAAACAAAACTGCTTTTAGGCTGTTACTCTGTATCCCTAAAATTTACACAACTACTAATAGCATATGTCGAAATAACCCACTTCGGCCTAACTGGGCATTCAGTGGGATGTGTAATAGGATATCCATAAAAGCATGTTTACTGGTAAAATGGGGCAAAACTTAGAATACGAATAGCTGCTGAAAACAATAGATCAGACTATAGATGGCAATTAGGTCATTCAGCCACGTATGACAACGAACCGTCGACTCACCTGGCATGAAATGCATGTGCTGCCTACAGGCACAAGGGGTCATCTCAAAGATATTTTGTGCTTTTTCATGTGTGTTGACTATGTCTCATCTATTGATTAACATCTTGCGTGTCTTTCTTTCATAAAGTTTATGTTGAGATATGTAAAAGAGTATGATACCTGAAAACCATAGAAATGCATCGTATTAAATGTCTTAAAATATATAGGTTGCATGACCACCTGAAGATCGACAGGACTGGATGTTATTTGTAAAGTGTTATGACATGCCGTGTACTTCCCCAGTATAATTCCCCTAAATGATTATCTTATCTTAGCTTGTAAAGCCCATTTCTTGTGTCCCCCGCCGTGATGTTGCTGGAATATTGCTAAAAGCGGTGTAAAACCAAACTCACTCAGTCAGTCAGTCTTATCTTAGCTGATATCTGTATCCGGCCAGCCCAACCCCAACCATCGTCTGCGACACCTGTCCAGGTTTTGCTTTTGAGACGACCCCTCCTAACTGTTTCTTTTTATACTGACAGTGAGATTCATGATAGCTACATCCCTAATAGTTTCAGCATGAATTATATATATTTTTTATGTCAGCTATCGTTTAAAAAAACGCACTGCTCATTTCATTTCCTTTTTTTAACGTTTCCTATCTCCCCACCACTGAGACTGTAGTTAGGCCGAACTTAGTTTTAACAGATATTACACACTTTCACATATCAACTACATAAATTGTAGAGATAAATGTGAAAATACAGTACCTTAGGCCAGGGACTTCTGTTCAAGAGATAGGAATCACATTTTCAATAAGGTCACTAACATTTGAAACTGTAAATTTGTAAACATGAAAAATATGAAAATAAAAACAAAACAAAACAAAACAAAAAAAACATTTGAAACTGTTTACTATATGTCCAGGTAAGCCTGTAGTTAAACACTGGCTAGCTGTTAGATTTCCCAAGGAGTTTTTATTGGATAGTGTTTGGACTGGGTTAGTTCCACCTTCATAATCAAACAGCAGCGTGAGAATTTAAACATTAGGATGGAACTCTAACATTGTCTCACACTAATGACAGTTGTTTCAAGACTGAGATATTGCTTGAACAAGTCTTCATGTTTGCCACTTTGTAAAGACACTTAAGGTTCATAACCAATGTAAAGTTGTTATTAGTATGTCATACTGCAAACCATTCATTTCTGATGGGGAGTTATTGTCATGCCTCACAAATTTATCTTTGTCACTTTTCCCACTGATGAATGTATTGTAATCATTGCGGTACTGAGATGCTACAAAGACTCACTTTTTTTACATATTTTGTATCAGGATAGCTGATTTTATTATTTTTCTACCCCTTGGGATCATTTAGAATTACATTCCACACACACACAAACTGTGATATTCAATATGTAACCAAATATCTCTGCAAGGTGCTGCCACTTTGAGAATATTGTTTGTGATGTAGAAATCATTGGACATTATTTGTCCTGAATGTGATGAGTGAAGTTTGCCGTCCATTTATGAGTGTTGTGTGCCTTGTGACGCAGCAGCCGGTAATGGTCATCTCAAACAAAAATCTTGCATCCTCTTTCCATAGATGGAAAATTAAATAGTCTCTCTTTAAAGCCGGGTGAATTTTAAAGTTGATTTTTTTTAAAGACAGTTGGATTATGAAATTTGTCTTTTGTCACTGTTGAATCATGACTGCCTTGCCTTCAGAAAAGCAGCGCAGAGGTTTTTTTGAGTTTCCTACATGTGTCTTAAGCACATGGACTTGGGTGAATATTTATTGTATAGTTTTGACCTGTGTTACTTGGATCATTGAGGCTCTGTATAGAAGTAAAGACCATGATAGGTAGGTAGAAAGTGTGGGGGTGAAAGCAAGTTTGTCTGCTGTATTACCATTGTGAACAGACTAAAATCTGAATTGATAAATATAGTGGCTATGCATTTCATTCTGAGGGAAGATATTGCTATATTAAATGCCAAATTCATACCTTACTATAGAGGCACATAGTACCATATCTCTAAAAGCTTGAGCCAGGTGATGATCCAAGTAACACGTTACATTTGCTTAAATTGAAGGTTGTACCACAATCCGTCCACTTGTGTACATGGTGTTTAAGATAATGTTTGTTTAAAGAGGCCAATACTTTGTTGCCTACTTTCATAAATATATTTTGTTCGAAATACAACCAAACTTGTACGGGTTTTACTTTCTGTAGTGGTGGAATGGTCACTGGTGGCCATGTCATCTGAGATGCTCTGTTTCTCTGTGCAGAGTTGTATACCATCATCGTGCCCTGATCTGCTGATAGTGGGTTCCGAAGCCACATCTTTCCTGAGTATTGACTTTAGTGGTTTGTCAGCTCCATACAACTGCTCCCGATTTTCACCTGCTCCTCCGGGTTTCACTTGCTCCTGGGGGTTTCACTTGCTCCTGGGGGGTTTCACCTGCTCCTGGGGGGTTTCACCTGCGAGGTGGTAGACACACCATGTGCAGCACCTTGGGTTTCCTCCCACTTTTGGGCGGTGGGGGTAGCCTAGTGGTTAAAGCGTTCGCTCGTCACGCCGAAGACCCGGGTTCGATTCCCCACATGGGTACAATGTGTTAAGCCCATTTCTGGTGTCCCCCGCCGTGATATTGCTGGAATATTGCTAAAAGCGGCGTAAAACCAAACTCACTCACTCACTCCTCCCACTTTCTGTTGTGTAATGTTTGATCTGACACAGAAGAAACACGTTCCATACCAGTGGGATGGTCACATAGAAAGCTGTGCTTTTTTAAAGGACTTTTCTGTTGCAGGGGTGATCAGGCCAAGGCTGTCTTGACAATGATGCAATATTTTTTAGGCTATATTTGAGTTAAATCTCATTCATGCAACAGCCTTCTGGTCTTCACACTATCGGATGAGAAGTATGTCTATTAACACTTGTGGCAAGACACATGGTATAGTGCATGTACATTGTGTCAGCAGTTATTATTGAACTGGATAACGTTTTGGACACCAGTTGAGGAGCAGTCACTGTTTAGCACAGGCCTCCCATGGGATGTTTGGGCTTACAATTGGTCCTAGCAACCTAACATAAGTGAGGGCTAATCTTAATGTCTTAGCTGATTGGGCATACGAGTTGACCAGTTGCTCAGGAGTCTGTCCACCATTTCCATACTTGAACATACAGAATTCCTGCAAATTTACTACCTCTTATACATCATTGCCACATTCCTGTATTTGGGCACTAATCACACAAAGTGTGTATAGTATATGTTATCACTCATGACAGCTACCACTGACCTGCGGAATGCAAGTTGCATTATTTTCTATCCATACAAAGCATAATCATCTCTGTGTGGCACGAAGCTGCTCTGAAAGAAACAGCCAAACACTTAGCAAACAACACAACACAAGCATGAACAGGCAGTCAACATGTATATTTTATAACACACAGGTGTACTTAACTTCCATTGGTGTTGACAGACAACACAAGCATGAACAGGCAGTCAACATGTGTATTTCATGACAATAAGGTGTACTTAAACTCCATTGGTGTTGACAGACAACACAAGCATGAACAGGCAGTCAACACGTGTATTTCATGACAATCAGATGTACAGGCAGTCAACAACACAAGCATGAACAGGCAGTCAACACGTGTATTTCATGACAATCAGATGTACTTAACCTCCATGGCTGTTGACAGACAACACAAGCATGAACAGGCAGTCAACACGTGTATTTCATGACAATAAGGTGTACTTAACCTTAACCACACACAGTCAACGTGTGTATATGCACTCTCCAATGTTCCACACAGCTGAACATATTACTACTATATATTCAAGAGTATTTAAGATCAGACAGTTGTTTGGAGAGTTGATGAATAAATTATTTCATGAAAAGCCTGATTACATCCTGATCAGTGAATTATTTTCAATTACATTTGGTAATGCCTGAATGTCCAGATCAGTAGCTGATTGTGGTGTTCAATAATCACTGGCTTGCTACTGACAGCAATACAACCAGGGTTTGACTATGAAGGGAGATTTCCTTACTTCAGGCAATCACTTGCGTCTGCAGAACATAGCAGGAATAAAGGGATGTTATATTTTACAGATGACATTGCTCATATTACAAGATTTGTTGAATAAATACTGTGCAGGTTGAGTGTGTCAGCATCACGTGGCCTTGAAAACTGCAACTGACAGACTGTCACAGCTCTTGATGAGGACGCTCCTACAACAAAAGGTAGATTTCGAAACTTCACCTCAAGTGCCCAGTGTATACAGAACAACTGAAAAGAGTATGTAGCATGTGGACAGAGTATATAGGATGGGGACAGAGTATATAGAATGTGGATAACGTATATAGCATGTGGACAGAGTACATGGGATGTGGATAGTGTATATAGCATGTGGACAGAGTACATGGGATGTGGATAGTGTATATAGCATGTGGACAGAGTACATGGGATGTGGATAGCATATTTAGCATGTGGACAGAGTATGTAGCAAGTGGACAGAGTATATAGCATGTGGACAGAGTATATAGGATGTGGACAATACATGGGATGTAGATAGCATGTGGACAGTATTTAGCATGTGGACAGAGTATATAGGATGTGGATAAGGTATATAGCATGTGGACAGAGTACATGGGATGTGGATAGCGTATATAGCATGTGGACAGAGTATTTAGCATGTGGACAGTATGTAGCATGTGGACAGAGTATATAGCATGTGGACAGAGTATATAGCATGTGGACAGTATATAGCATGTGGACAGAGTATATAGCATGTGGACAGAGTATGTAGGATGTGGACAGAATGTGGACAGTATATATGATGTGGACACTATATAGGATGTGGACAGAGTACATGGGATGTGGATAGCATATTTAGCATGTGGACAGAGTATGTAGCAAGTCGACAGAGTATATAGCATGTGGACAATACATGGGATGTGGATAGCGTATATAGCATGTGGACAGAGTATTTAGCATGTGGACAGAGTATGTAGCATGTGGACAGAGTATATAGGATGTGGATAACGTATATAGCATGTGGACAGAGTACATGGGATGTGGATAGCGTGCGTATATAGCATGTGGACAGAGTATTTAGCATGTGGACAGAGTATGTAGCATGTGGACAGAGTATATAGGATGTGGATAACGTATACAGCATGTGGACAATACATGGGATGTGGACAGAATGTGGACAGAATATATAGGATGTGGACACTATATAGGATGTGGACAGTACATGGGATGTGGATAGGCGTATATAGCACGTGGACAGAGTATTTAGCATGTGGACAGAGTATGTAGCATGTGGACGGAGTATTTAGCATGTGGATAGCGTATATAGCATGTGGACAGAGTATATAGGATGTGGATAACGTATACAGCATGTGGACAACACATGGGATGTGGACAGCATATATAGCATGTGGACAGAGTACGTAGCATGTGGACAGAGTATATAGCATGTGGACAGAGTATATAGGATGTGGACAGTATATAGGATGTGGATAACGTATATAGCATGTGGACAGAGGACATGGGATGTGGATAGCGTATATAGCATGTGGACAGAGTATTTAGCATGTGGACAGAGTATATAGCATGTGGACAGAGTATATAGCATGTGGACAGAGTATGTAGCATGTCGACAGAGTATTTAGCATGTGGATAGCGTATATAGCATGTGGACAGTATATAGCATGTGGACAGAGTATGTAGCATGTGGACAGAGTATTTAGCATGTGGACAGAGTATGTAGCATGTGGATAACGTATACAGCATGTGGACAATACATGGGATGTGGACAGCATATATAGCATGTGGACAGTATTTAGCATGTGGACAGAGTACGTAGCATGTGGACAGAGTACGTAGCATGTGGACAGAGTATATAGCATGTGGACAGAGTATATAGGATGTGGACAGTATATAGGATGTGGATAACGTATACAGCATGTGGACAATACATGGGATGTGGACAGCATATATAGCATGTGGACAGAGTATTTAGCATGTGGACAGAGTACGTAGCATGTGGACAGAGTATATAGCATGTGGACAGAGTATATAGGATGTGGACAGTATATAGGATGTGGATAATGTATATAGCATGTGGACAGAGGACATGGGATGTGGATAGCGTATATAGCATGTGGACAGAGTATTTAGCATGTGGACAGAGTATATAGCATGTGGACAGAGTATATAGCATGTGGACAGAGTATGTAGCATGTCGACAGAGTATTTAGCATGTGGATAGCGTATAGAGCATGTGGACAGTATATAGCATGTGGACAGAGTATGTAGCATGTGGACAGAGTATTTAGCATGTGGACAGAGTATGTAGCATGTGGATAACGTATACAGCATGTGGACAATACATGGGATGTGGACAGCATATATAGCATGTGGACAGTATTTAGCATGTGGACAGAGTACGTAGCATGTGGACAGAGTATATAGCATGTGGACAGAGTATATAGGATGTGGACAGTATATAGGATGTGGATAACGTATATAGCATGTGGACAGAGGACATGGGATGTGGATAGCGTATATAGCATGTGGACAGAGTATTTAGCATGTGGACAGTATATAGCATGTGGACAGAGTATATAGCATGTGGACAGAGTATGTAGGATGTGGACAGAATGTGGACAGAGTATATAGGATGTGGACAGAGTATATGGGATGTGGATAGTGTATATAGCATTGGACAGAGTATATGGGATGAGGATAACGTATATAGCATGTGGACAGAGTACATGGGATGTGGATAGCGTATATAGCATGTGGACAGAGTATTTAGCATGTGGACAGTATGTAGCATGTGGACAGAGTATATAGCATGTGGACAGAGTATATAGCATGTGGACAGTATATAGCATGTGGACAGTATATAGCATGTGGACAGAGTATGTAGGATGTGGACAGAATGTGGACAGTATATATGATGTGGACAGAGTATATAGGATGTGGACAGTATATAGGATGTGGATAACGTATATAGCATGTGGACAGAGGACATGGGATGTGGATAGCGTATATAGCATGTGGACAGAGTATTTAGCATGTGGACAGAGTATATAGCATGTGGACAGAGTATGTAGGATGTGGACAGAATGTGGACAGAGTATATAGGATGTGGACAGAGTATATGGGATGTGGATAGTGTATATAGCATTGGACAGAGTATATGGGATGAGGATAACGTATATAGCATGTGGACAGAGTACATGGGATGTGGATAGCGTATATAGCATGTGGACAGTATTTATACATGACAGTATTTAGCAAGTGGACAGAGTATGTAGCATGTGGACAGAGTATATAGGACGTGGACAGAGTATATAGGATGTGGACAGTATATAGCATGTGGACAGAGTATATAGGACGTGGACAGAGTATATAGGATGTGGATATATAACGTATATAGCATGTGGACAGAGTATTTAGCATGTGGACAGAGTATATAGCATGTGGACAGAGTATATGTGGACAGATATATAGAATGTAGACATGAGTATAGGAGTATATAGGATGTGGACAGAGTACATGGGATCTAAATAGCGTATGTAGCATGTGGACAGAGTATATAGCATGTGGACAGAGTATATAGGATGTGGACAGAGTATATAGCATGTGAACAGAGTATATAGGATGTGGACAGAGTATATAGGATCTGAACAGCGTATATAGGATGTGGACAGTATATAGCATGTGGACAGAGTACATAGGATGTGGACAGCGTATATAGCATGTGGACAGAGTATATAGCATGTGGACAGAGTATATAGCATATGGACAGAGTATATAGCATGTGGACAGGGTATATAGCATGTGGACAGAGTACATAGGATGTGGACAGAGTATATAGCATGTGGACAGAGTACATAGGATGTGGACAGTGAGTGAGTGAGTTAATATTTAACGTTACATCGGCAATATTTCAGCCATATATTGACGAGGATGTGGACAGAGTATATAGCATGTTGACACAGTATATAGGACGTGGACAGAGTATATAGCATGTGGACAGAGTATATAGCATGTGTGGACAAGTATAGAGCATGGACAGAGTATATAGCATGTGGACAGAGAGTATATAGCATGTGGACAGAGTATATGTGGACATGTGAACAGAGTATATAGGATGGACAGAGAGTATGGACAGAGTATATAGCATGTGGACAGAGTATATAGGATGTGGACAGAGTATATAGCATGTGGACAGAGTATATAGGATGTGGACAGAGTATATAGCATGTGGACAGAGTATATAGCATGTGGACAGAGTATATAGCATGTGGACAGAGTATATAGGATGTGGACAGAGTATATAGCATGTGAACAGAGTATATAGCATGTGAACAGAGTATTTAGCATGTGGACAGAGTATATAGCATATGGACAGAGTATATAGCATGTAGACAGAGTACATGGGATGTGGACAGAGTATATAGGATGTGTAGAGAGTATATGGGATGTGTAGAGAGTATTTAGGATGTGTAGAGAGCATATAGGATGTGCAGTGAGTATTTAGGATGTGTAGAGAGTATATGGGATGTGTAGAGAGTATATAGGATGGGTAGAGAGTATATAGGATGGGTAGAGAGGATATGGGATGTGTAGAGAGTATATATGATGTGTAGATAGTATATACTGACTGACTGACTGAGTTTAGTTTTTAGCATGGGCAATATCACGTGAGTGAGGGACACCAGAAATGGGCTTAACACATTGTGCCCATGTGGGGAATCGAACCGGGTCTTATTGTGCGAGGAGAACCACTATAGGCTACCCATGGACAGATAGTATATAGGATGTGTAGAGAGTATATAGGATGTATACAGGATGAATGATATGGGATGTGTGAAGTATATAGGATGTGTAGAGTAGCATATAGGATGGGTAAAAGTGTATATAGGATGTGTAGAGAGCATATAGGATGTGTAAAAGAGTATATAGGATGTGGAAGAGAGTATATGGGATGTGTAGAGGTGAGGTGAGGTGAGAGTGGGTTTATAGGATGTGTGCTTGAGAATATATAGGATGTGGCCAGATGTATATGTCTGTAGGATGTTGTACTAGCCCAGACTTAAGCTGGTTTTATAGTGCTAGCCCACTGAGATACCGTGCATGATGAAGCATGAATATCCCACTCAGACACATTATACTGACTCGTGTAGACCAGTCCTTGTTGTACCCATTA